TACCACAGTTACACCTGATCGAGGCCAATCAATCTTGCATAACAAGAAACCCGATACCATACCAAAAGATAACTCGACCTTTGTAGAATATTGATTCATTGTACTCCATTCATCTCGAGGATATCGTCGTCTATCTACAACATCTACAGCATCTACAACTTGCTATGTATCATCGTGTGGATTCGAGATCGACCTCGAAACGAAACGAACATGGGTTTATCACCCCGGGTCTTCTCCAGTTTTCCGTTCTTCGATGCCCAACTTACGTGGAGAGGCCCTTGTTTGTGAGATCTTTGACCGACTCTTCCCACCTAGGTAAGACTTTTGATGCATCTTCAAGCAGGCGAGGTGTGCATATCGATACGATATCGTCAATCATCGGCAATTGGTGGAATGTATCATCAGGATGAAGAACACGATTGTAGCCAATGGCGTGCTCTATACGCTACTACGTCGTGGCAAGGCCCACGCAAGGGGGCAAAGAGAACATGCCAATGACTAACGATAACATTATCGCGAGTGGTCTTGTAAACGGGGCCTGATATTATTGCTTCCATTTATCGACAAGCTCGTCACTCTGGCCCCTCCTATTTCCCTGGCCAAATATGCACGTATGCTCGTTTTTGATGACTTAGTTGCTTAGGTAGGTAGCTGTGGATGATGAAAATATGACCCGATACGACTTCTGGACTTCTATGTACGGTATCATCACATAAAATCAAATTGACCAATTTAGTCGTGTTCATACATTGGGATTTACACATCTGTGCAGACCCCCTCCAATATCTTCAATATGTATTTCCTAATTTGGACAATATGTCGCTGCTGTGGCGTTTCAAGATTTATCCGAAATCTCACTCCTACCCCTTGAATATCAAAATCGACATCACCAACAATATCATTGGAATGAAGTCCCCCTCCAGTTAGCAACTCCGCGGCTTTGTATACCTAGATTTCCCCTCAGTCCCCCCTGAAGCCACACATTCCATCACTCAAGGTTCTGACATATGGCCTGGGGATGTCTTATCCAGCCCTAGCCAACGATCTTGGCCAGTGTCACGGGCCACAAGCCCAATCATGATTCTCACAAGCATCGTCATCATCCCCGATCTCCTAATTACCGCATCTCTTAACCCAGGGCATCGATGAACGAACGTCGCAATGACTTGGCAGGCAGTAAAAGTGCATACGTACATATCATCAATATCAGGTCATCGTATAGCACCCACAAGATTTTTAGACTAAAACGATTCGAGTATCCAGTAAAAAAAAAAAAAAAAAAAAAAAGGAATGCATCGCATTTGACCGACAACTCTTAGACTACACGCCGCACCCGGGCCGACCCATCCACAGCAAACCTTGCACTTTGAGCAGAACTGTTCGGGCCAAGACTTCACCGCCGTTCACCAACATCTGAAAGACAATATATTTCCGCTTACAGCTATCCGTAGAGGGAAGCTGAATATTACTATACGTGGGTACCTACTATATATGCATGTATCTGCTATAGTCGTCCGTATTCCTGCCGGATAGCTGCCGGGCTGGAAAAAGATGCAGGGACCAGAGTTAATCAAGTTCGGTTATTGGTTGCAGCCGCCTCGAATCGAAACAACCCAGGCCAACTAGGCAATCCAATGATGGGAGAGTGCTTAGCCCATTATACGGAAAATAGCAGTATTTTATGCCGTGTGGCTGATGACCCTAGATGACCTAGACCCCTTTCTCTCCGGACCGGTAGGGGTTGGTGCTCGGTAGACCAAATGGGAGGTGCAGATTGATCAGCCACGTATTCCGTACATCATGCCTCGGCCTCACGAGGCGATAGACAGCGCATTCATACATAGTACATTACATGTAGTTACATACATGTTAGTATGTAGTTATATTACTTAGGAACACATAAACAAATGAGGAAATCAAAAGTAATCTATCGTTTACACGTTGCACATACAGTAGCTATTGCCCGCAGCTAACAGACGTGACGTTGCGACGATTCAACAGAATATGCCTTGGATTACCTAGAATAACAAAATCCTGCCATCATGACCTGATGATCTCAGCTGCCCTCACGTCTTCGGCAGTATAGGTTTATGTACATCAAAAAGGGAAATCAAAGGTGTGGCTCACGCTCTACGCAATCCAATCATCCCCTCAGTCAGCAGTCTGTTAAACCCTCCCCCGCTGAAGAATTGTCGATCCTCTTCCCCAAGCGGGAGCCAAGGCTGTGGCTTACTGCCTTACGATGTCTCGCGAGGCCCGCTTAGGAGGGCCTATTCTGCTACTGTTCATCTCAACTCGGGCCTATCGATACCGAGAGCATCTTCACGCGGCAGTTGAGCCACTGCATGTCGTAGAATTCTCCATCTCCGATGATATTTTAAACTTGATGCGTAGTAGATGGTGCGTCGATGCCCCTCGTGAGTGGCTATCGACAACTTTAGAAGCCACACACATATACCTAGCTGGGACGACAAACCTACCTAATCTACTGCATGTATGTTTCTCTCCGCCACTCGATTTAACCCGTGATTGCTCTGCTCCACCTATCGGCCGATGTACACACCGCCGACACACTACACCCAAATGTTGAATCTCCGGGTGATTAACATCGCTACAGCACCAAGGCATAATAAGCGACGATAATATTACTGTCTCTCGCTCTGACAAATAGCCACTCCAGAAGGTCCCACCTCAGTCCCTCGGGCTGAGCTGCATGTCTCGACGAAATGGAAGGGCATATTAGGTAGGTAGTAGGTAAACAGGTTTGATCTCGCGTCTGTGCGTCCGAGTTTCGATCACCAGCTTCAGACAATAACAAAACAAAAACAATTGCGTACGTGTCTCTGAAACACAACACCAGTGCGGTGCTTCCACTAAGCGGAGGCCTGGCGGCATTTTCGAGGCTGAGCCGGCTGCCGGCTTTTGACAACCAGCGCGCGTCTACCGGCGTATCATACCACGGCATCTCTACGCGCCTGTCTATCGCCGGAAAGCAGCTATCCGCCCGAAATGCTCCGTAATTTAACCCAACTTTCATCTCCCTCATATGTATTTACCCTTCCGCCCCGCCTTGTTTCAGCAAGCGCAGTAAACAGATGCTCCCGGATCATTTCATTAAGCGCCGCGCTTCGATCTCATTTTAGCTACCTATCTAGGGGTATGTACATATTTAATAAACGTACATGCGCAGCTTGCCGCCGAACCCCAGATTCTTTAATCCATACTGTATGTATCCGGCGGGCGGATCCGCCCCCGGTGTATGCGCGCTTAATTCACAACGGAGCCAATCACGTAGTCTCCTCGGTCCAAAAATAGCATCCCGCGCTTCCCCTACGCAAGCATGTCGGCGCTTCTATCATATGCTATGAAAAGCAGTAAAATCATCAGGTTATTTCAATACATAACTGTAAAAATGGGTTCTTTGTGCGGATTCCCGGATCTCTCTACCCGGTGACGCTCCGCTTCCTTGCCCTCGGGTATTTTCACTGCCGGCAGACGGAAGATGCGCCTCCCGCGGCTAAGCTTAGTAGTAGGTACTTAACATGTGGTGGTCTAAATAAAATATAACGGTACGTTCACGTGGAAAATAAACGCCATGCGGAAGATGTCCAATATAGCTCAGCTCTAGCCGACGCGTCGCTTTCGTAATCCGAAATTAGACACGGAATAGTTTAAGAAAGTAAAGCGTTACGCGGATCCCCAGTCGCATGCCTATGTCTCGAAGAGGATACCTACAGGAATAGTACCAAATCTGCCGTGACAGTGCCGGACTTATAGGCACGGATTTATATAATCAACCTGACCTGACATGATATCGAGGAGCAACGTCCGGATATCTTGCCGTAAAAGTGGATCCACCCGCTATTCGCCGGTCGAGGCACGGCCGGGAGGCCGAATCTCGCTCCCATTATAATACAGGCAAGGATTTCTATGTATCAGTGTATTGAGATGGCAGTTTTCATAGTAAGCTTAATTCATGCGACGCATTTAAGTAGTGAGCCTTAGAGTCAGCCTTGAGTCTAGACTTTTTTCGAAGTTCTGAATGTACTTGCTTGTGAAAATATTTACGACGAAGATGGCACGAGGTGGAGTCAGAAACATGGAAACGATGAAGTTGTTCCGTAAGGAACTTTAAGCAAACTATGGCAACGTACGGATATACATATTAAAAGTACCTAACCTTTTGTTCTAGATGTCTCATCTAGAATGCTAACAGAAGAGATCATAAGCATAGGTTGGACGAATGGTTGATACCAAATCGGAGATGTTATATGTTTAAAGTAATGAAATCAAATATTGATAAACTTGAATTATTACAGCGAAGTATAACTAACTTGTAACCATTCTAGTAATATTTGTAAAATCCCATACGTGAATAAGACAACTCTATTCATGAGCCTAGCTACCTAAGGTAAAACAGCCACTAGTATAGCTAAAGTCTCCTACCCTACGCAACCTAGTAGTCTAAGAATTTTCCAGACTATTTTATTCAGAATGAACTTGAAAATTCTTACAGGTGGGCACCCGTATACAAAAGGTATAACTACATGAAGTTACCCCTAAACTGACATAAGACAGCACCCCTTTTAGTAATCGGTAAAGTACGTGAGGTTTAACGCGACTTATTATTGGAACACAAAAGGAAAAGACCTTGCGATATGCCTCTATAATATGATTAGCCGATCTAGTAACGTAGAACCAATTTATTTTCCTTAGTCAATTTTGACGTATTAATATTGAAAATAGTAGAGATGCTGTCTTATGCCAGTTTAAGGGATAATGTTCAAAACATCTTACATCTCTATAAGAAGTAAACTGTGCTAGTATCAGCAAACTACTTTCAAGGGGGTTTTCATCACTTAAACTGCAAGTCCACCTTACTCATAAGCATATAAATATTACGAAACCCGTGAGATTACGTATTCATCCTCTTTCGTAGCGAGTCATAGTTCTAGGAGTATGTTTCACTACAAACCACAGCTTTCCGTTAAAATCATTCATTTAGTCAAGACTTTTATTCGAATATTCTTAAACCCATATTTACAACGCTAGAATTGAATAATAGTTCGCATCAAAATCGTTGATTGCGAGATAAAACACCGCTTACACCAAAGTTGAATCATAAAACCCTATGTGGAGAATAGAATCTAGGTATCTCAAGAACGAGCCAGGTATTTCTTAAGCAATCTCATCACTGCTGTCCTCCTTTCCTGTAAGCCCTTATCACGAATGCGAATACGCCCATCCATGCCTAGCTGATCTTAAGAAGGTAAGCTCGGAAAGCCTGTGTCGCCTTTTTATTCCTTCATCTTGACGTAATTGCTAGGGAATATGCCATGCCTTGAGCCGATCATGCCAGTCCTAAAACAGGTGTGTGTTAGTGTCAAAGTTTCAGTAAGTCGCGCGGGCTAGTATGTCCTTACCACCAATCATTAGCACTATCAGTCTTTTTTAACACTGTGATAACATCGCCCTTTTTGAAACCCAAATCGCCCGGCTGGTCCGGTTCGAAGTTGTATAACGCAACGGCCTCATTCTTCTTCATTAACGCTTGCTTACTTGCGAAATTCGGTTTCGGTGCCGCGGGTCTACCGGGGCCGGCCCGCCCCCCTTCTGAATAACCACCCACAGGGGCTGAGGCTCGAGCGTTCACGGTGCCGGATCTAGCAACGCTACCACCAGCGGCCGGTCGATCGTACACGTCGTCTTGCCATGTATTTGCGCGCCTCGGCGCACCGAATTCATCCTGACCATTGTTGTGCTGAGGTTCGCCGTAAGCACTCCCTCGTTGGCCGTTCCATACTACGTCATCATGGCGATCTTCATAAACAGGGACGTCATTGTACATGGCATCGTCCATGGTACCTTGGCGCACACCGGCAAATATTCTGGAATTGAGGACGGACATTAACGGGGCGGCTTGCGGTGGCGGTCGTACGGAACCTGTGAGGAGCTGTGCTGCTGTCCAGCGCTGACCGTATAACTTTTCGTTCGCGTCTCGTCGTTCCACAATCGCCGAGCCCTCTAAAGATACTCCAGCAAATAAACCTTTCGTCTTGCTATAACTGAACACACCCGCCACACCCTTCAGAGATGCGGCACCGGCAGCCTCTGCGTTTCTGCCTACTGGTCCTGCCGCTATAGAGACATTTCCACCTAGTGTAATAGAACCTTGTTGAGAGAATGTTTTAACGGCGTGGGAATCGTTGAGAATAAAGACGAAATCGGTCAGTTCGAACCCGATCTGGCCACCGAAGCCGCCACCCGCGGTGATGATGGCCGATGGCGCAGACCACGTGCCGTCGGGCAAGCGGGCGACGACAAGCCCAGAACCAAATCGTGCAGACCCGAGGAAGCCAGCTTTGATGACAGTGAGGATCGCAAGGCCCTAAGTTAAGTATTTGTAAGTCACGGCCTTTGCATATACGGATAAGGATAGCATCGTTCCCAGATGTCTCGCCGGAATGCGACGGGTAGCTCACTTACTTTAGCATTCGCTAGGACCGACGGAGGAATTATCTTGTCGGGACCAAACGCTTGGCGAGGATCGATGAAAGAAGTAAGAATCTTGCCACATTTCTTGCATTCCGCTACGGGAAGTGTTAGCAATTTACTTTATAATCGTAGTAGCAAGTACCCGATCGCGCGAGACTGCGCGTATTCGTAGTTAGAGACTTACACGCCATAGACGACGGGATAGGGTTGTTGATACCCATCTTGAGATTCTTGTTGGTATCTCAAGTCGAAAAGCGGTCTAATCCGAAATTTCCGAGCTTAAAGCCTTTTTGCGACGGTAAGGAATATTAAATAGTTGATAGGTATCGCGGTGAGTTGCAAACACCAACTGCGGGGGTTAAACTCGTCAAGTTAAATTGGATCTTGTGAGAAGGTGATTTTAAATGACAGAATGTATTGTCAGGATATATGAAGCTATAACGCGCAACTATTGCGACCGTATTTTTTTGGATGTGGAAAGATGAAGTAGATAGGTAGGTAGTAGGTAGGTGCCTGACTAAGGCTGGTATGTAATATTTGTATGAAATACAAATGTTTACCTTTACGAAGGAAGAACCAATACTAATGTCGTCAGCTGCTGAAGCTCTGCCACCTCGGCGGGGCAAGCGGCAGCAACGGCAAAGTTCCAAAAGCGCCAAAGCCAACGCAAGGCTACGCACACAAACATACCTAGGTACATGCATATACTTAGCGAGTACAGAACGATGAGGTCAGAGTTGGGACGGCCCCACGTACCACGAGTAATGATTTCCGAGCTGCTGGAAGCTAAAAGCTAAGCCGGGGGTAGATGCCAATTCAAGTGGCAGACGGTACAATCTTGGTACCGATACAACACTGCAAGGATCCGCGGCGATATCTGAATGTAGAACGCTAAAGTCACCAGCCACAATCTGCGTCATCTAACCAACTCGCCTCCTTTTCTCGTCACGGAACCAAATGATGCTCCCGTTACAGCCAACTTTTAGGGTAAAAGAATAGCGAATAATACACTTACGGAAAACAAAGACGGCAATCGACAATCAGTCTTCGCCCACTGGGGGCCCTGAGTATTAACGAACCTCCAAGTACAACGATTCGCTTATCGCCGCCGTTTCATATTCCTGCTCATTCCACGATCCTTTAGCGGCGCATTGCAAGACCGAAAGAGAAGCGAATCCCGATTCTACCGTTCTTCTACTACTTCAACCATCGTAAAACATACGCGAGGGGAATCCGACTATCGAGGTCAACATGTCGGAGGCGTACGAGCGTGAGCGCCAGAACAATGCGCGCCTGGAGGAGCTGTCCGCGAAGGTGTCGTCGCTGCGTGGCGTAACGGTGGATATTTACGATAACGCGAGAGCGCAGGACGTGATCGACAATACTGTACGGGATTACCGCTTAACATCTATCAGCCTTTTAGGCATAAGACTAACACTAAGCTTTCGCATTATGTAGTCCGATACGTTTTCCTCCATGTCGTCGCAGCTAAAAGGATCCGCCGGTCGATTGGGTCGTATGGCAGCGTCGGGAAACAAGGTCGCCATTCTGAAACTCTCGGGCATCCTCGTCGGCGCCTTTCTCATACTATACTATATCCTCAAGTGGATTTTCTGAACGACTACTTTACGGATTGGCACGCCAATATATAAACCAGGAAAAAAGCGAACAAGCTCTATTGAGGAAAGCCAGGTAGGCTATTGTCGAATGATATACCATTAGTCCTTTACGTGAGCCCTGCGGATTTGGGCCCTTTAGATTTACAGCCCTTCTTGGATGGCGTAGGAGTTCATGAAATGAATGTGGCGGGTGATTACACTTGGCTAAGACGACATGGATACACACGACTTAGAGGCAAAGGATGGAGCTGCAATTTGTGATGGCATACCCAGACGGTATCGGCAGCATCTATTTAATAAAACGAGAACAAGAGTCAAATTATTGTTTATTCGATACGGAAGACTTGCAATCCTTGTAGCATAGCATAGGCGTTACGGATTTGGCCTTCTTGGTGTCAAGCAGGTTATTTGCAAGAAATTGCCTAATGAATTTATCTTGATTGGCCTTACCTTATGTGCAAGCTCGTATTTGACAATTAGCTTTGTAAGACCATGCAAAGCGAGCAGTCATAGCTATGGTCAACTCAAAATTAACAAGCTAAGCCCTTATTCCGTCTGATCTCTTAGCATACCGAGCGACCGACCGGCAGCTTACTGCCAAACGTTGGAGAATAGATCATCACCCCCGAATCCGCTACCGGATTTTGATCCGCCGTTGTTGGAATTTCCACCTGTGCTACTAGTCCAACCTCCGAATTCCTCGTCTGCTGCCACCTTTGGGGCAGCGGTAAACCCTCCAGAGATACCAGGTACCAAACTCTGACTGGCAAAAGATCCACCGGTACTGCCCCAGGCGCCAAAGTCGTTTCCGCCGCTTATAGGGGACTTAGCTGCCAGTGGACTCTTGGGAGCGGGAGCTGCAGCTGGACTGGGTTCAGGAGCACTCCACGCATTCCCCCAGACTTCCGAATTATTAAATGCAGATGTGCTCAAAGAGGAGGTTGTATTTGTAACTGGCGCCGGTGCGGGGATCGGCTTTGATTGGTTTGCGGAAAGGTTGAAGATAGAGTCAGTAGTTGATGAAGACATGGGGGTTGGCTTGGACGGAGCCTGTTGAGCAGGGGCAGACCAGTCGAAGAGATCGCCCAAGGCTGCCGAAGAAGATTGTGTTGGTTTTGACGGAGCGGCCGATATACCAAATGCGCCGAAGCTGTTAGATGGCGATACTGAAGGCCTCGGCTGCTGCTGCGGTGCCGATTGAGCGGGCTTGGGGTCAAAGAAGCCACCCCCACTGAGACCAGAGAATGACGAAGCCGCAGGCTGGGGGGTGGATCGGCTGCTCGATAAGTTCGATAGACTGGCAAATGCATCGTTCTGTGGACTCTTCGGCGGTGGTACTTTTCCAAAACTCAAGCCAGCAAAAGCGTCTTCCAGCCCCCCACCAGTTGACTTCTGAGGTTGGTGTCCCATCGTCGGGGATTGCAAGGGGGATTGCATCGCTCCAAAACCCCCGAATGATCCGGAAGAGGAGTGTGACGGCTGCTGTGGCGCTTGTTGAGGCCGTGGAGCCGAAGCATAGAGAGATAGAATAGACTGTTTAAGGTCAGGCCTCGATTGACTGCCTGTTCCACCTGCGTTATTCGTACTTGCTGGGCGCGGAGGTGCAGCCGGTGCTTCGCCAAAAAAGTCCAATCCCAGGAGCGAGTCCTTAGTGTTTACTGCTTTTGGAGGAGCCGGTGCTGATTTGGGAGGAACTTGCGAAGAAGCCGGACCGGCGGTACTCGCTCTCGGGGGGATATCATCGCCACCGATGAGATCTGCTTGAGGAGCTGGAGGTGCTATACCACGCGGCGCAGCTTGTTTCCCACTAGAGCTTTTCCGAATTGACTCCTTTCTGTCTATACTTTGCTTCTCTTTCACGATGCTTAGTGGAACATCATCATCGCCTTCAACATCTAGGCTCGCAGGATCTGGCATTGGCCCATCCATTACCCATCTCTTAAGTTCGTATTTGGTTCTGATGAAGTTCTCGATCTTTGCTTCGGAGGGGACATGGCCAGTAGCCAGCTTCGATTCCCAATATTTGTTGGCGCGCGCATTGCCCCAGCTCAGGACACTTTGTAGTTGCTCATCTGTCCACGAATCCAGATCAACCGACTTGACTCGCGATATGTGAGTTCCCATTCCTCGATGAATTCCCGAGCAACGAATGCAGATAAAGACACCCAAGTTCCAGCTCGCCCATCGCGGATCTATAATAAAGCGTGAGTCCAATAGGTCGGAATTAGTAGACTAGGTATGTTTAAAGGGACGCACGTTTATTTCGTTTGCAGTCGGCGCATATCTTGTTGGAGTCTAATTTCAAGAGACTCTTAATGGTTTGTTGATTTTGGGCTGCTCGTTCAGCAGCTGGGTTGGGAGGCCGTCTAGACATGGCGTAATCGCTACCGACAACAAACAGGAATAGACGTGAAATATGTGAGTTATGAAGTTGACAGTTTTGCAGACCAAAAGTAAAGGTAAGGAAGTAAGTGGTTGGAAAGGGGTGCCTAAAGCAGTGTTGTTGAAAGGAGATAGTACCTAATTGATCGTGTGGCAGTGATATGGAATTCTAAAGTGCAACGAATGAAACTGTGGCTTTCCTCGATTTGGTCTTCGGTCTTGGTCTAAGCGCTCAAGTACTTCGTACCTACGTAGTTATTACATTATGCCCACCTACAATGACTGGGACGTCGCATATCGGAAAGCGCGATTTTGAATTAATCCGTTATCTTTGTTCTTGATATCTAACCGCGGACCTTGTTTGTAGCAACGCCGTGGGGCACTTCATGCACTAAGGCATTCGAAGTGTGGCAAAAGGTTTAAGATCTATGGGGCAAGTCACTGACGACATCTGCATAATTCCATCCATGTCTTCGGTAGCGCGGCTTTAAAGCATTTCTTATACTACATACAACTTCCTCCAAATAGCGAAACGGTGATTCCAAATCGTAGCATCAAATCTCACATAATTCTATACCATAATTCCAATTCTTAATGCCATCAACCAATATATAAACCTATTCTCATATCATCACAATCAATGCGATTACCCCAATTCTCTAACTTATTCCGAGCTTTCTTTACATTTTCTACTCCAACTAGGGTTCGTCCTTTAGCTCATCAATCACTACGCCACAACGCAACACCATTGAAGTCTATGCCAACTATTCCATTCATAGGAAGTCTGTTCGGCTCAAGCTCTAGCCAATCAAACAATATGTCGTATCCGGACCAGAGAACACCTGACGAATGGCGCGCCGTTCTGACTAAAGGTATATCCGGTCTTCTCCCAGAATGAACATCGCCCCCATCTGCGCTCGGGCACTTACTTACGTATATTTCCCAGAACAATTTAGAATTCTCAGAGAAAAAGGTACCGAGGCACCAGGGTCTGGGAAATACGATAAATTTACCTCCGATTCTGGAGTGTATACATGTGCAGGCTGTAATGCGCCCCTATACAAGGCAAATCACAAATTCAAGTCTGGCTGCGGTTGGCCGGCATACTTCGACAGCATTCCCGGCGCTGTGACAAGACATACTGACAGCTCATGGGGTATGGAAAGAACAGAGATTTGCTGCGCTAATTGCGGTGGTCATCTTGGCCATGTTTTTAAGGGAGAGGGATATCCAACCCCAACGGATGAGAGACACTGTGTAAACAGTATCAGCTTAAACTTCTCCCCAGAAGATAAACCAGCCCAAGGAGGAGAGAAATAGAGTAGGGTAAATATCTTGGAAGTCATATTGAAATTATTTCGTTGTTTTCAGGGACTGAATATATAGCAGTCGGAGGTATGAGACGGGTAGAGCTATTCAAAAGCGAAATTACTATTCATATACTACCTGTATTTCGTATAAATGGTTTAAATTCTCAATATGGAGTATCATGTCTCTTTTTCTAACAGGATAAAATATGGGGACGTACGGGTGCTCTTTCTCGGGAGTTTGTATAGCGTTTAGACCTCCTCAATTCCCAAATATAGTTAAGAAAGGCTCATTAGGTTGCTAGAAATGGTCAAGGGTTTTACATAGTTCTCACCACCTACGAAATCTTCATCGTAAAAGAATGATGAACCTACCCCTGTTAGTCGTATAGCAGTATGATTTCTTTTAAGGATGATGACTAGAACCGGGGCAACGCAAAGTGCCTTCTGAATTTTATAGTGCCTGCAAATGTATAATCATTATCTGTGCAAAACGTGAGAAATCCCGGGAGCAACTTCTGAACTTAGCACACTATAGTCACACTATAGTCTCATAGTAATAAACTTTCATTTTGGGACCAGAATCCCAAAGCCCGAAGCCCTAAGTCAGCCCGAGCCGTTCCTTGCCCTATTTCTAAACAGTAAAACAATTTTCGTTCATATAAGGGCGTAACCAACTTTCCTCCATACATTATCTATTCCGACTCTTAGAAGCCATATTTCTATCGAGTCACTCTTCCTATTTTCCACCCAAACCAAACATACTCATTGTTCCAACATGGATAGCCAAAGCAGGACCGCAACTCCGACCCCTAGTCCAACTACTGATTGGACTCCCAAACAATCTCCTACTACGCCCGATCTATCCTCTCTTCCGAAAAAAGAGTCTCGGGTGAAAGATAGCGCTCCAGGGGCATCGGTCGAAAGCACTCCAGTGCCCTCGTCAGGTGAATCCATCGCAGACACCGTAGTAGCGACATCGTCACAGTCACAACCGTCTCCAGAACGACATGGTCTAGCATCGGCATTGCCAAGAGTCATTATTATCTATCAGAACGGTTGTCATTCGAGATTGCGCTCCATCTATGACAAGGAGGCCCGCGAATACATCTACCATCACAACAGGGACGCGGATAAGCCTATCAGAATGGCCTTTGTCAAAGGACATATCGAGTCCCTCCACGATATCAACACGGGTCGTTTCCTATACATTCGTGGCATCACACATAAGAAGCAAAACTAAGCGCCAGCGACAGCATTATTCGCCTTACTCTGCAAAGAAGCATCAGGTACTTAGTCCTCCCTCTGGCCTGCGTGCAAGTCATTAATACAGCGTATACTAACTACACATTGATTCAAACTTTAGCGGATACAGTTATTAGCTACACTTTGGCTTGATATTTTAGACTTCGGATGGAATTCCTCATTTACACACATGTCGTTACGGACGCATTACGACTAGCATGGACCATCAAGTTTCGCATATCGGCGCACATTCATTTAACAATCACCCCAACGACTAAATTTTGGCGTCGGGTTTTGTTTTAAGATTGGGTTGCTTATAGCACGATTACCAAGCCTATATTAGAGGCGTCAGAGGCGTCAAAAGCGTTAAAAGTATAATGGATATTCATTGTTGGACATGGACATCATGAAGCTTTAACCATAGATACGCAGTCTCTTAATATAATGTTTCTCTTTAACTAGCATGCTGTCCTACCACTACTGGCGCGCTACCTATCGTATGATACTTACACGGCCGCAGAAAGGCTATAATTCTAGAACACACAGCACATACAAAATCACGTCAACTGTTCCATACTAATTGGTCTTTTTCATAGTAAACGACCCCTTTTCCCCTTCTGTGTAATACGACATTGTTCAGCTGTTAGTAACGTTACACGTCCGCGTACTTATTCATATTTAGCCATAATCCATATTTGCGCAGTCCAAAAACACAGCATATGGCGCCATTCTCAAAGTCTTTAAATTCTATAAAATCCAACTTAACATCCGAGGATTTACGCAGGAAAGTCTAATACACCGTCTTAGCTTATACTTTACACCAGTAAAACTGATACCTGTCAAAAAAATGCTCGCTGACATTCTCACTTTAGCGACTACCACCGCAGCAGCAACAATTCCAAGAAATGCGGCAACACCATCCGCAGATTATATCTGGGATATCCTGAAGTGGCAAGCTGGGCAGTCTCATGGCGCCCCAACTGCGCCGCTGACAGCACACTGTCACGAGGTGGAACGAAACAGCATGGAAACAACTTCGTTGTTCCGCGAGGAACTCTAAACTAACTACGAGGGTCTTACGCCTATTCATACTAACCCTATACTTTGTTCTAGATGTCTCATCTAGAATCCTGACACACACTACTGTGAGCAGTTGTTTTGATTATTATCTGGCCTTAGGCCACTGATCTCGAGACGGTTTCATATTTCATCCGTGCTAAGTATTAACCAGACTTCAATGTATTTGCATCCGAGTACGGTTACGGGCCGACACGGGTCCCGGGCTTCTTCGTACATTGCGCTGGACATGCTGACGGGAAGCCCCTGAGCTCAGAGTACACGAACTGTGATCTGGAAAAGGCCGATGAAACTGCCGACGCGGCTGTATTTGCGCGTGTACTTCCCGATCCGAACCTCACTAAAGCTCATATTGCTATTAGTTATCTATTCAATGCCGAGGAGTATGTTGACTTGACCGTTAACTATTTTGCGTCACGGTGTATGTGTGCTAATATGGGATTACAGCGGATCAAAGACACGACGTAACTTTACTGTTGTCATTGTGGAGGACTGGGCAAGGGAGAGACCGCCTCATAACTTTACCGTGGTGCCGACTGAAGTTTCGTAAGCTCAAGTCCTTTTTTTAGTAGTAATGTTTCATCAGAGCCAAGAGATCCAGCAAACTTCCATTATATATACTCTCCATCTTAGCATGTACTTTCATCAGAGCGAATAGTCGCCGGTGTCACTGGTAAAATGGAAACTGTTCAGAGTCACCATGATTCTGATAGATCTATATTTCAACAGTCATGTGTATCTGCGGGCAGAAAGAGCGAATAAAAATGATTACGGGCCCCAGGTTTTGCCGCTGAGTCTATCTTGGAGCTTTTTCGATATTGTGGCTCGTTGAATGCATAATTTTATTATATAATTCATATCCATGGTTTAGATCTACTATATCTGACTAAATGACTACCCTATCTGCAAAAGAGTTCTAGTAAATAGGTACGACCCTTATATCTTTCACTAACCGTATGAAGAAATTGTCATGTAGGTATAATATATAATATAGAGTATACCCCTTGCTATATACAGCTCCTCCTAAACACAGGCTTTTTCCGTATGATATTAGTACAGTAGAGAGTTCCACGATAATCTTCTTGTTGATTTTGGCCGTAACAGAAACGGATTTATCCCTAACATGCACTTTAGTTGTGCATTACTTCCATTCGGCTCGAAGTTGGCAAAGGGGTGTCAACTAAGACCCCTACTGTTAGAGACATAACATAACGACCCTTTCAAAAGAAAATTTCAGATTATGCACTTTTTGTCATAGATCTAGTCCTACTAAGTAGATACTACATTACCTTAGGTACCTGTCAGCTAAGCGTTTATATATGGTGGTCTCTCCACTATAAGTAGTATAGCTCGAACTTATAATCTTAGCCAACACACTATTACACACACTTAGATCTTTGGCACCTATATATGACTGATCGTAGCTTGCACGCGATATATGTCCAATTAGGGGTTGGTTCTGTCTAGTCTGGAATATTCTTTATTACCCCAACAGGCCGAAAACGACCAAATATCTACGCAGACTTCTCAAGACCCCAAACTACATCCGTAACACGAACACAGTAATACTTCCCAGGACCAAAAAAGCCTTAGCCATCGCGACGACCACTCCGTTCTGCAGGCTACCAGGTGCCTGCGACCTCTCATCCTAGCTACTCTTGGGCGCCCTACCGTTGTAGTCGACACCCGACTCAGCGGCGTAGTCGCCGAAGCAGTCGTAGTCGAAGTCGATCTCGTCGATGCGGTCCTTGAGCACCGACACCACGTTGTCAAATGCGCAGAGCCCGTGCGGGTCGGCGGGGCAGCCGGAGTAGGAGTCCGCGATGGGGATGACGGCGTCGTTTCTAGGGAATTTAATGAGTATATTTCGTTGCATAGCAATGTGGATATTGATGGAAAGTGGGAGGAGACTTACACAATGAACCTGATCTGCTTGGTGGGTTGGTAGGTCGAGCATTCGAGAACTTGAGTGGTGAAGTGGGTACCGAATGGCACGAGCTTGCTGGATGAGAAGCTGTTCTCTCTTTGGTTTTCTTGGGGGTTTAGGGGAGGTCCTTTGAACAATGCCGACAGGTTGAAGGCGGTAAGGGTGTCGAGGACAACAACTTCGTGGGTGGCATCGGCGTAGATGGACTGGTTAAGGGGGAAGTAGGTGGACGAGTTGTCGAACGTCTGGTTCAGAGCTGACCAAGCCTCTGGGTATTCACCTGTGAAGCGCGCGACGAACTCCTGTAGGTAACCTTTACCCTGGGCAGCAGCGACAGGTGACCCGGGACCGTTGTTGTAGTAGAACGACTCAGATAGGTTAGTATGCTTAGTTACGAGAAAGTGATGGTGAAGAAGATTGATATGTTACGACATACAAGATCAAAGTAGTACTCAAAGTTCAGGAAATCCTCCTGGCTAAACAGTCCACAGAACGCAGAGTACCCAAGGGCATTGGTTTCATAAGAGCAAAGTTGAAGCATCGCAATGACATCGGTGGAAGTGAACTCGATACCAGAAACCTTAGACATATCAGTAACTTGTTGCTCCCTTTTCTCTTGGGCTGTTTAGTAGGCTCACCTGTGAGTTTAGACGAGCAAGGGTAGCGTTGAAAGCATTTTTCGCAAATTTCGAGGCCATCGAGCTCCCAATGTTCCCCCGACCAGCGACATTGGAATTGTCACAGACATCGTAGGGGGCACCTGAGTTATTCACGCCAGGTGCCTCTACAAGAATCTCGATGTTCACTTGATCCAAATACTCAGGTACGCCAAAGAAGCCGGCCGCGAAGTTCTCGGCAGTCTTAACCATACGGTCCTGAGACTGGGTCCGGAAGACGGGAATGGTGCCAGCTTCGGTAAAGTTATTAAGCAGGTGGCCGTAGAGTTGGCGGTGCTGAATACCGAGGAGAAACTCCTGGCTCCTACCGAACGGGGAAAGTAGTTCACCGCCCAGCTTATAGGTCCAATCGGATAAGAATGTTAGGTCACCCTTAACCTGCAGCCCTTGCTTAGTAGCTTTCGCAATCTTGTTCGCGAACTGGGCCGGCGCGGCGCCGGTAGTGGGGTATCTGGCACCATGACGATACAAGAGATGTACCTGAGTGACACTGCAGCCAGGCGGTGCGAGGGGGCTTGTATCTGGCAAACCAAAATCGGCAGAAGATAGGGAATACCAAGGCGACAAGTTGCCCCAATATTTGGTGATATCGAACTTGTCCGATGTCTCGCTTTGGCCGTGAGGCTGCGGCGCGACTAACGGGAACTGGTTCGTCGGTCCCCGATTGTACGGATACGCCGCCGCAGTTTGAATTGCGGCGGGCTCGACGCCTGTTGGTGTCGGTCCTGGGAATCCGACTTCAGCCTCTGGCGGGAAGAGTGCAGAGTCGACCGAGGCTTATCATTTTGTTAGTAACTGACTACTATATATACCTATGTACGCTAATGAAATTAGTAGTACGTACTGCTCGGTGGTGGAAAGAGGTCCGAGGTGGCCGAGCCGGCGTGGGGTGCGGCCGTGACAAAGGCGGTATCGTCAGCCGCGGTACTGGACTGAACCAGCAGGGCTGACAAGACAACGGCGGCAGTAACAAGCTGCATCTTCTTGTATTGGACTTAGCTAGGTACTACCTAAGCTCTAGCTGAAATGACAGGAATGCCAAGTGACGGGTTATCAGGAGCTTGACTATTCCGTAGAGCTACCAAAGCTTGATTCTTATACCTAGGTGTTGCGGGAAGGGCACGCGTTGTAATCAATTGACCTATCAACAACACGGATAAATACATGTGCTTGGCTAACGCCCCCTGGATGTTGATCCTTTCGATTACCTAGGATCCTATCGTAAAATGCGGGCGTTGTTGGTCCAATAAGAGGCACAGCATCGTTCCAATAACGCGGAACGGAACCCAGCTGAAAAGCAACATCCGCTCCATGTGGGGGGGAACTGCTTCGAATCTGCCATGATGATTTATAGTTAACCATGACACATTGACGGTATGTCTATTTACCTGTAGATAAATAGAGTTGGGGTAAATACAATGTAAGTTGCCTGTATGTAAAAAGAAGTGGAAATGTGACGATATATATAATTAGAGGAAAAGCTGCAATTGCTACTTCTATAACCTAGAACATTACATGCAGGTACCTACCTAGGTAGCTAACTACATCAATAGAACTAAGCAATTAAGGTTATAGATAGAGTTAAGGTACCTTATCCACGCTACCCCGGTACTCCTCATATCTCGGGCCAACGTCATATTCCCGTGCCTATCCCGAGTGTCAATCGTAAACACTATCCCACACTAGGTGCTTAATAATTCAGTAGACATTATAAACGCAACGTTGTTTTTATTTTATTGTCAACTGCATGTTCTATATACCGACTAGTTCGGTCTGCCAAGCTAAATTTGCAGTCGGACTAGACTACCCTTGCAATTGTTGATGACGGCAACACTCCAGTTCCTGAGCTGCACGCCGGGAAACTCCATATCTTGTGTAAAACTTTACAAGATCTGGTAGTTGTAATATTTCTGGTGGTTAGCCTGCTTGCTAAGTGCCCACTCCTTTTGTCTCGCCGCCTTATGCTCTTGCTTACGGCTTCTCTGTTCGGCACGAGCCACTTCCTTCTTCTTCTGGTCTGTCACTCCTAACATACCAATTCCACCATTCGCTCGGCTTACAACGGCACCGTTACGCCCGCGACCTTCACGTCGAGAAACCTGGCCGTTGCCGTTGCCGTTGCCGTTCTTAGCATCATCGTCAACTTCCATGGCATCACCCTCAGATGAAGCTGCTTCAATAGCAAGTCTCTCCGCACGTTCCTCGGCTGAAGGGTGGTTGTGTAGGTTCTGACGATAATACTTAGCCAGAGATCGGTGGCCCACCGCACGACCTGAAGGAAGATGTAGCTCGGTATCATCGTAAAAAATGGCACGATGATGTTTGTGAGCATGCGAGTGCCATCCATCCATTTGATGGTGGTGTCGCGGATCGTGAGATGAGTGGTGAGGATGCTTCTCGAGCCGTTCGTACTGCCGATAATGGTGATCAACGGGAATAGGTCCCAAATCTTCAGACTTGCAAGACGAAGTAGAGCTGTCCGTTTCCCAACCTTCATCTTCCATAATCTCGTCTCCGTTTTCTCCTACAGCCTTGGCTGATCGTCTGGCCCCGAGCTTAGCTCCCCCGTTCTGCTTACCATCATCAACTGACTCATCTTCCGAGTCTTCGCCATCTGAGTATGTGCTTCTGAAGTCATAATAATCACCAATGTCGACCTGCTCATCTTCTGAAGTATAAGGTATCTTGCAATGACCCTTATCACGCATATGCGTTTGTACAGCAATTGCGCTGTTCTTAACTTTCCCGCAGTACAGACATTCATGGAATTCTTGAATCCGCTGTTGTAATGCGCCAACAAGGCCATCTAGATCAACTAGATATTGCTTCTCGGGAATAAACATGCTGTGGATGCGCTCCATGTGAACAACGTTTAACGGGACGGTTGGTGAGTCATAATTACAGAATAAGCATGACTTCAACGTAAGATTCGGAACCGGTGTTGAAGTGCCAGATATAGCCTCGCTAGGATCTTCCGACACGGGATGTTCTCTCTTGTGCTGCGCCTCGGCTGAAGGATGGGGATTTGATGGGCGCTTGACTGGGGAAGGACGTTCTGTTAAACTAGCCTTTTGAATACCTTCAACTACTTCGTTGAACTCATCTTTAGCAACAGAATCGACTTCGCTATTATTTGAAGGCACAGGGTCGCCGAGAGAGAAGGTAGAGCTCATAACGGAACTAGCATCATCGTGATTGGATCCCCGGTTTTGCACCGCTGCCTCTCGTGCCTTATGTTTCTGACTCGAAATATGATTTCGGAAAGAGTTCTCGCTATAGTAAGTCCGTTGACAGACCTCGCAAATTTGTTGAAATCCGGCACGGTCGGCTTCCGCGCTGGTCGCAGCACGGGCTTGTAGGACCTTTTCAGTGAAGACCTCAGATGCAATTGGAGGCAGTGACGCAACGCGACGCTTAAGGTTGTATCGACTATAGAAGTGAAAGCACGATACACGTTAGATTAATAATTCCATAGATGTAAAAATAGACAAAGGGGAAAACATACTGCCAATCACTCTTCATGTGACCTTTCTGGGTATCAGCAAAGCGGAAGGCTACTTGGCACGTGTTGCAAGTGTATTGATGGGAAGATGGCGCGGGTTCCTGCTTATTAGACAGAGCCGTGCCGGCCGGTCTGCTCCCCGTGATGGTAGCCATTGTTGTTGGGGGAGTACAAATGAGGATCTTGTGATTTGATTGCAACGGTTACTAGAGTACCTAGGTTGAAACAAAAACCGATGCTTCTACGAAACACGGGAGATGTCAACAATGGAAGCGCCGGTTGGATAAAAGTTTCTTAGGTAGTTTTAATCCTGGCTGGTGAACTTTTGTGTGTAGCGCTCCGACAAGGAGGGGGAGGGGTTGATGAGGCTTTAATTTTGATGCGACTAGGTCACAGCGTCTCGAATGCCGTTGTACTAAAATCTGAGCGATTTCAAAGCGCAATCCGGAGAAAGGAAGGCCAGGATTTTATGGGGAATTAGACAATCAGGCTGAAATAGATTTTGAATTGTTTACAAAGAAGTTGTGGCCTACTGTCGGACTGATGTGTCACAAAGGTCGCACGCCGAAGTGGAAATGGAATTGATCAGAGTTACAGAAATATAGAAATCCAAAATTAAATCGTTGAAATTCTGCTTAGACGGAGTGGCGTTGGTGGGGCTATTTTTACCCTCCTTCTTCTTGCCTTACCATTCTTTGCCGAGAAAATTATTTTAAGTTGTACTCATACGTCAGTTCTAGAACCATCCCACAGGTATCGAGGCTGAGTCTTAGCAGGTACACTGGTACATTAAATAGGTACATTGTAATCTGACAAATGACTGCCGATAAGCGCTTGGCCAATCCCTTTCTTAAATGCATATATACCTTAGTCACTCATCTTGTTTGTAACAGAAAACTGAAAGTCCTTTCATCTTTGAGCAATCATAATGCGGATTAACTGGAATGTACGTGTATGCATAATTCACATTATCGTCTTTACGTTGGATTTGCGGAACGGTTTATCTGATTACTTATGGGTATATGTCTATGTCTTTTGAAGTAGTGAATAATACTCTTCTATTAACCTGATACTCAAACATGACTTAATACTATCAATTCATATTAAGTCTTCGGATACATACCTATAGTGTTAAATCCGAGCAGGTCTACCTGCCAGCAGGTTCCAACTACTGTAGTAAAATAATACAAGCTTATTTAATGCGTAAAAACTATCTTTAAATAAGGTAGGTATTATCCTAATAGCCCAGAGGCACTATACTCGAAAGCTACCTAAGTACATATATAAGCTAGCACTAAACTTTACTAAAACTAGCGGCACGTGTTGTGCATTCTTCTTCCCGTTATAAGTAAATATTGATATTAAGAAAGCTTCAAGTACATATTTATACCTACCTAGGTAATGTATCGTAAAAATCAAAATACATTTACATGATAGATTAGGTACCTAACATATTTACATCCTGGGATTTCCCGCTCATTGGGTGGGATGGGGCTGTGGGGGATAGGTAATACACCCTTAGGTAAAATTCATGCATCAGACTCTTCATGCATGTAGTGTACATGACGCTAGAACCAATAGACAAGCCAATAGAAAGGGATGGGGATGCATTCAGCCTTGGAAACTTCATACGTTCTCGTTGTTGCGTGCGGCTCGGAGCTGATACCCACCAGTACTACGATATCACGACCGCCTACCTATCTACCTCATTTATATCATTTATTATATCATTTATACCCGGTCGCGTGTATCATTGACAGTTGACTAATAACTTTATCTGATAAACTTCAATACCTACACTTTCCTTCGTTATGTTGATGACCTAAGCGTATATATACCTACCTAATATAACCGAGGATTGCGCGATCCTAATTGCCGTATTCTCTACCTACCTACATACCATACCTACCTACCTACCTTACCTACATACCTTACCTACATACCTTACCTACATACCTACCTAATCTATCCTTCCTAATTTCCTCCCTGTACTTCTTTCAAACATTTAACGCCTTCGATTAAATTTTGTTGTCGGCTTTCGCGACCTCGATAAATCTCCCCCGCCATCGAGCTTCTACCACCGAAATCTACACCTACTACGATCCGACCTTTGCTTCCTATACGGGGGGCTTGTCTATACCATATGTCATGACGCGGGAAGTAAATCGGCCAGCGGACGATGGTCCTGGCCACAATGCCCTCGAGGTTGACATCATAGCTGCTCTCTGGGAACAAGTCCCCTTTCCACGGTTACCCGCAGATGCGCCATCCGAGATCAAAGAACTCGTTATCGATGTCGAGAATCCCAAGAGGGTTTACGCTATCTATCGCACCAGTCGTCGCCATGATCTCCAGTTACTAGTCGAGAAGTAAGTCGTCCAACTCTGCGCATATTCTCCAATTGCTCAGCTAACTTGCTATAGGTTCATAGCCCAACTGCGTTACGGATGCGGCTTCAGTGCCTGTACTACCCCGTCGTGTTTTAGTTGCCGAAAACGACTGGCTGGTAAAGCCCCGATTCGCCGATATAATCCTACCAGTGCAAGGACTCTGGCCATATTCATGGCAAGCCAGGACGATGCCGATAGTCGACTCTGCCCCCATTTACACCCTCCGACCGGTCCTAGCGATGCTATAAAACCACTCATATTTGGCCTAAAGCGTGCGGCATCTTCCAACGATGCAAGCGGTCCGGCTTACACGGGCCTAGGGCCAAAGCTCAAGTCTACCAAGGGAGCTCCAGGCCGAGTAGCGTTGAAAAGGGGACAATCACCGATAGCAAGCTCCTCGCCATCTGCACAGATGAATCGGAAGGGGACTGGCCAGAACCATAGCAGACCTCCCGAAGTTGATGCGACGAAGACTGAGCTACCATCACAACCGGATGGTATGGATGGAATACAGATTACTGAAAAGTCGATTAGCAAGGATTACCGCTCGTTCGCTGCTAATGTGTTTGGATCTGTCGCGTTTAAGATGTTGGAGTGGTTAACACCGAATAATATGGAAAGTATGTCAAAGAGAGTCACGGCCGTAGATAATACACTAGAGTCTATTGAACGGCTTCGAGAAACCGTATCTCAATTAGGAGGCCAGAGCGGAAGGACTAGTCCAACGTCTACTCCCTCGAGACCCGAATCAGAGAACGAAGTCGGTCCTAGGGGGGCTTCTGAGGTTCATCGATATACTACACGAGCACTCTCACCTAAGAACGAGGTTACCGGGTTCTACCAACGAGTACATTCTGAGCGCTCGTCAGTTTCTAACTCGAATCCTCAAACCCTACCACCACATCAAAGGAGGACTTCTAATACCCGGATTCGTCCATCCTCCGTTTCCAAGTCGCAGACTAAAGTTGTGCCCGAGCCTTCAGTCGACTCTATCGTAGACGAAACAGGGCTCATATCGCCTAACATTCCTACCCAGCCAGAAAAAGTATCTAAAGGACTGATTCGGCCTCCGCCATCTATAGCGCGACCTGCGTCTCAGGTTATGGAGAGCGATGTTCATACACTGCCGGAAAGGGAAATTGTAGGGCCTCCTAGTCCTCACCCCCACATGGATGAGCATTGCTTTCAATTGGATGCAATCAATGGCGAAGAGACATCAAGCAGTGCAGAGACTACGCGGTCCCTAGACGCACTTGATGACTCTCAAGATGCTCTAGACGCTCTAGAAACTACCGGCAAGACAGATCCAACGTCCGAGCTGGATTGCTACTTACCACAATCGCTGTCACGCTTTAATGTCCAAGCAATCAATTTCATATGCGACGTTTTACAAGAAGACGCTACCTCTGAGAGGCATCTCCTAGAGCCACCAACCGTCGATGAATCTATTAGACGGTCGTCAAACCGGCTCAAGTCGTGGAGGAGGAAAAGGAAATCCCAAGCCTCTTATCCACAAGATCTCAGGTTACAATGGAAGCTGTTTGTCGAACAGAGCATATTCCATGTCCTGAGCGACCCTCAGGCCGTATTGGACTCGTTTACCAGCGCCAATGGTACTATTGACTCGCAAACACTATGGTACTGCATGTTACGCTTAACAAGAGTAGCACCCAACCTCGTCTTCGACAGCCTCTGGATTGCCCTGGCGGCTCTCTTTGCGCCGCCGAAGACCTTACAATCTATGAGGTCGCCGACTTCAAAGATGTTCCTTGGTGTTAAAAAGTCATTTACTAATGTAGAGGCTGCATCGCTCATGTCTGTATGCTTTCACGCTCTAGTCGCTGCGGCACCATTAGTAAATGATTCAAGACAATTAAATGACATGTCTCGTATTAGAGCCCACGGGCTATCGCTCGCTGGTGGCGGTACAGTTGCGAGACAGCCAACTTCCTTGTGTTTGCAATATGAAGACGCCTTCACAGATAGCATGGCTCTCCGGTTAGCAAGAAGGCTACTTAGGGTGATCCCAACACGCCGATATTTCGACGAGCTGATTGAACTAGACTTAGATAAGGAGGGCGGAGTTAAAGAACCTGATGTCGTTGAGTTATTACTATCGCACCTCGAGTCTTCTACGCAGTCAACATTACATTTTTCAAAAGCTGAGCGAAGCATGCACGAAAAACGAATTCCGGTTTTGCTTTTGGATTGGGCAAGAGCCGTGATGCTTCATGAATGGGAGGGCAAGCCAGATATTTCTGGGGATGGCCCCTTTGGTGGTGCCCTCTCGCTGATGACGGCTATGTGTTAGTATTCCCGTGTGATTATAAGAATTTTAAACTGACAGTCGAGTAGATCAGAAGCGCCAATCTCTCCTCCTAGGTGACGTGCATTTTCGCGCCGAATATTTTGGCGACCGTCTCGATCCTATTCAGATGCCGGTTTCATGGCTATCCTTTACCTCGACTAGGCAAAAGGTTCATATATTGGATTATCCGTATATTTTTAATCCCACGTCGTTGGTTTCATACTTTAGGGCTATTAACTTCTCACGGATGAGTCGTTCTTACGAAGAGTCTACCTCGTTGCAAAGTCGAATTAACGCCATCATTGCCCCTGACAGCCTCGTCACAGAGTCGCACCAAAAACACGTGCTTCAAGATCTATTGAAGATTCCATCATCCAAATACCTAATCCTTGACATCAGCCGTAAAAACGTGCTTAGGGATGCCTTTGACCAACTCTGGCGACGGCAAGAACGCGAGCTTATGAGGCCGCTAAAGGTCCACCTCGGAGAAGACAGTGGGGAGGAAGGGTTCGACTCTGGTGGTGTACAACAGGAATTCTTCCGTCTCGCCATTGCCGAGGCTTTAGATCCTACGTACGGCGCCTTCGTCATCGACGACAGGACGCGGATGACGTGGTTTCAGCCCGGTTCTGTCCAACCGGAGTGGAAATTCGAACTAATCGGGCTGCTTATGTCGCTGGCGGTTTATAATGGACTGACTCTTCCAATCACATTCCCAAAAGCCCTATACCGCAAGCTTCTAGGTGAGCCCGTCACAGAGCTACACCATATCGCTGATGGGTGGCCGGACCTCGCTAATGGATTAACCAACATTCTTGAATGGAATGAGAAGGATGGCTCTATAGAGGACGTTTTCGTTCTAACTTACGAGTTTTCCACGTCCATGTTTGGCCAGCCCGTCTCACGCGAAATGGAGTCGTCGAATTCGATATCCTGGCCACAATTCTCCAGTCATCCAGAGTCTAGTCCCCTCTCGGCATCTAACCCGAGCGATGCACCGCTAGTTACAGGCGATAACCGTAACGCTTATGTGAGCGACTACATCCGATACCTAACCGACGTCTCGGTCGCTCCCCAATTCGACGCCTTTGCCCGTGGTTTCCGGGCTTGTCTGCACCCAAAGTCCCTACAACTCTTGACGCCATCACTATTACAAAATCTCGCAGAAGGTTCGCAGGAGATCGACGTCGGAGAGCTTCGCCGCGCGGCACGGTACGTTGGTTGGGACGCATCGCATCGTACCGTGCGCGACTTCTGGTCTATTATTAAAAGATACGACAGCGATATGCGCCGCAAGCTGCTCGAGTTTGTCACTGCTAGTGACCGCGTGCCCGTCGGTGGTATGGCCAACATCCAGTTCGTTGTACAGAAGAACGGCGAGGAGGAAGGCGAACGTGGCCACTTACCCACCGCATATACGTGCTACGGTACCCTTCTGCTCCCAGAGTACCGTGACAAGGAAGTGCTCCGGGAGCGCCTATCCATGGCGCTCGAGAATGCTCAAGGATTCGGATTCGCGTAAACCGCGCCGTGTAGCCATATGGCATGGTATTACATCCTAGGTCAAATAAGGATATCTAATAGGGTAGTATTGACAGTGGTGTACTTCCAACCGACCGATTGGAAATGCTGTAAGGGAGGATAGAAAAAGTACCTATGTTCGACACGTAAATATATAGGCCTGGACAACCTAAAAAGGAAATCAAAATTAAAGAGAAGGTATAAGTACCTAAGCAACTGTCTCGTTTAAAGTATATATGAGGGGAGGGGGGGCGTATAGGAAGGCAAAAAAGACCCTAGTTATAAGTAGGACTTGGAGGGCGGGATATCACCTTACCTACTTCCATCGCCTATTACGCATTACATATTACACATTACACACGCCGTTACACTATTTACCTCGGGGTCGGAGTATGATGGACTAGGAGACATTGGGTGTTCAGGGGACTGCTTTCGATTAACCCACCGACTTACTCGTGCCTTTTTATCTGCCAACCCTTTTACATACCTACCCCAGGGACTACTTGTCCCCAGTACTCGCCTGCAGCGTTATCATATAGTAGCGTATCTGTCGTTTTAGCGTTCGTGCAATAAAAAGTTGGGAGAGTGGTCGTTTTCGGGTTCATACCCCATATACACATGAGAATCTTCTTACAGTATGCGTACCTAATGTTAGGTATGCATAACGCGCCCAGGGGAGGTAGATAGGATATACCCAAGTGCACATATATAAACTATTCTGAGGCGGCAGATTTTTTTTTTCTTATTCTTGTCTCGGCTCTCTAATAGATAGGGGTAGGTAAGGTATCGTGACTCTTTGATGTTAAGCCCTTCAACTGCCATTCCATAGGTACATAGGTACATATATAAATGCACGTATCCACCATTCATATCTACAACCTTAACGACGTGCCTCGCCACTTTCTCCTCCACGAGAACACGAGCATTACCAACGCAGCACGTCGAGATCTAGATCGACGCGGATAGGCAGATAGAGCGAACGAATAAGCTTCATCTTACCACCTAATAGTCCTGATCCCCAGAGCCGCTAACAATAACGTTGTTGACCTTCAGCACCATGCGGCACAGCTGCGTAGCAAGCATAAGCTGCTGGCGCTTGCCGATGAGAGGATCGATAACAAAGGCCTGTTTCATGTCGTTGCTGCCGCCGTTCATGCAGTCAACACCAAGCCTGCCGCGGCCCTCGGGGCCGGCCTTAACTTGCTGGGACTTGACCTCAGCGAGCGTCGCGATGGGGTTTAATCCGCTGTTCTCCGCGAGCGCCATCGGCACTGCGTCTAGCGCCTCGGCGAACGCCCGCATCGCGTACTGCTCTAACCCAGGCGTCTTGACAGCCGCGTCCTCGACCGCGAGCGAGCAAGCGATTTCAGCGGCACCACCCCCGTACACGACACGGTTGTCGCGGACTAGGTTTCGTACGACGCAGAGGGCGTCATGAAGAGATCGTCGAGCTTCATCGATGATCTAGTAATAAATTAGTTAAGCTCGTACTTTAAAAGGGGGTGAAGAGAAACTTACCATCTTGTTGCTTCCTCGGACAAACACCGTCACGGCTCTTGTGTTGGCGCACTCCTCGATCACTAGCATCTTCTCTCTCGTAGTACCGAACGTCATCTCCCGCACAATACCAGCCTTGCCTAGCTTCTCTGGCTTCAGGTCCTCAAATCGAGGTACTATTCTACCATTCGTAGCAATGGCAATAAGTTCGATCTCTGGGCCGCCTACCCATCTTACCGCGGGTAATTCGTTCTGTAGTAATAAGTGGTTAGCTTCGTCGTCGAAACCCCACTGGCAGATAGCTAGATTAGCTCCGGTATCTTTGATCTGTTGGATCATCTCGATGAACTTTTCCCGCTCGTAGTTTTGTAGCTTCTTGAACTCCTCTACGGAGGTGATCTCTAGCTTATGCTTGGTCTTGGGCTTCGGTGGCTCGAACGCACAGGTGAGAATGGCGATCTTGGCGTCTCTGACTTCCGACGGCATTTGGGGATGTGAGAAGTCCTTGTCGATAATTACACCCTTAACTAGAATGGTATCTTCCAACGCGCCACCAACCTTGCCATCCACCTTGATCAACTCGAAGTCGACATCTTTTCGGTCGAGGTCGGCGACGGAGAGAACGGCGTCTACAGCAATGTTGGCAAACTGGTCGTGGGCCTTGGATACAATTTTGCTGCCTAAACTTGTCCGAGCTACCTTAACTAGGTTCTCTGTTGATTCCCGGCTGAACTCGATGGTATCTGATATCCGGTCTAACTCGGCTACTGCGATGTCACAGGCTTGGTCGTAACCGTCTGCTATTCGGATGGGGTGGATTCCCTTGTCTATAAGTTCGGCAGCCTGTTCTAAGAGAGCACCGGCTAGAACAACGACACCGGTCGTACCGTCACCAATCTCATCGTCTTGAGACTTGGATAGTTCGACTAGAAGCTTCGCAACGTGGTTCGAGATCTCCATCTGCTGTAGAATGGTAGCTCCATCGTTGGTCACCGTAATGTCTCCGTCGGGCGAAATCAGGATCTTGTCGAGACCGCGAGGACCCAAAGAAGTCTTGACGATATTTGCAACGGTTCGAGCGGCGAGGATATGCGATTTGACTGCTTCGTTGCCATACTGGCGCTTCTTCTTGCCTTGACTAAGTAGAGGAGGTTAGATTTGCTGTATAGCCAACTGTATCAATACCTATAGACGGCAAAACTCCCAATACTCACTCTCTAACAATGATAAAAGGTCTCCCCTGTTCATCTTTTACAACAGAAGCTGCATGTAATATATATTAGTACCTAATGTATATAGCTACCATAGATTATATTCTTTAGCATACCATTCTGGAGGTCGAGATCTAAGGTAGAAAATATTAGTAAAGTATTAAAGTCATGGCGGGGTTATTGATTGCATACTCAACGCCATGTTGCCGGTTTCTATAGCTCAGGAGAGCTTTCTGTGCTGTATTGAATAATATCCCGGCAGTTTGTAGCTTCTCTACCAAGTTTTGACAATAGACACCGTTGTATGTTGTATGGAGTCGTTAACTTCAATGTTGGTAGTGTAGAGTTCTGCCTTGTCTAGTGGGACGGATTTGTATTGTACCTATCTCGAAATTCTGAAATTCTAAAAGATCTAGCCCCACATTCTTCCAGATCGGAAAATTCACAGCGCCGACGGGCCACTGGCAGGTCCATACTTTGGAAAAGTGCATGAATGTTCTTAAGAGGTACCTAATCTACATAGGTACATACATACATGTACCTAATGTAATTCCTCGGACCTCCAGAGCTTTTATCTTATCTATCGTCATAAATCTTACCTAATCCTACAGGCTACAATTGAGCTTCATACCTACATGCATCTGATCCCGTCGTCCTACATTATTATGTACACGTCTTTACTTATCAACAAAATCCCCTATCTCTCTTTTACCCGTTGGTAATTTCGTAAGTAATAACTACATCACATATTGGTGATTTTACATATGCTCGTAACCTTTGCGAACTAGGTCTGAGGTTATACCGCAGTATCAATCAAGAAAATTTTAATATCTCGGCCCCTTATACTCGGCCGTAATATGTGAGGACCTCAGAGGAAGCAAACCACGATTATTTAACCTAGGTGATTACGCATAATATCAATTGTTACAAGCCGAGGCACGGGCGATCCGGACGCCCAAATACCCCTTCGCATTAATATACATAATAACCAGCAAGATCCATATGATACCCATAGAAATAGAAAAATATCATACTCTCAACTTCTAATTCGAGATACGCCGCGGAACGTCATTTTTCGATATCCACATACATGGTAGATCAAAAATATAGTCCTCGGTATCTCTCTCGTATCTCTAATAGAGAATTAGCCTATTCACTTATACCCCAACTGGTGGAACCCAGCGCCCCATAAGTACCTGAAAATTAGCTGAGTTGCTGGTACTTGGCCGAGTGGATTGCCCCGCTGACGTTTTGTTGCCTTGTTACTGACTTAAAACCACCTAACCTACATAAATAAATTCAAATTCATGTACGTTGAAATACATATGTATTAAGCTGAAGCTACACCTACATAACAGCTCCCCCAAGCTTCGACTCCAAACTCAGTTTTGATCTCCAACTCTACTTTCCTTCGAGTTCAAGAGCCAACGCTATATCCCTGCCCTCTACATAATACGCTTGACATCAACTACACCTTATACTATATCCTACTCCTCACCTAAATCATGTCCTTCCCAACTCAATTCGAGGGCGTGCTTCCTCTCTACAGAGTCCAGAAGCCCCCGTTTATGGTCGAATCACCTGATGCCGAAGAAGTTGAAGGAGAGACGAAGCCATTCAGACATATCAAGGCTAAGGACGGTCTTATCACACGCCCCGAATCTTACATCGCCACTACTTATGACATATTAATCGAGACTGCGAGAAAATACGGCGACAAGGCGGCCATAGGTTCTCGTAAACTGATCAAGACGCACACCGAGACCAAGAAAGTACCAAAAGTTGTTGATGGAGTCAAGACTGAAGTCGATAAAGAATGGACTTACTTCGAGTTAACTCCGTACACATTCCTTACTTACAATGAGTACAAGATTCGAGCTCTAAATGTAGGCGCGGGTTTGAAGAAGCTAGGTCTCGAGACAGGTGACGTGTTACACATCTTTGCGGCGACGAGGTACGGAGTATCCCCTTCATTGTAAAGAATAGCCAAAGGCTAACTATTTATACAGCGCCAACTGGCAATGCACGGCTCACGCCTGTGCCTCGCAATCCATCACAATCGCAACCGCATACGATACTCTCGGCCCGGATGCTGTCGAATACTCCCTCACGCAAACGAATGCGAAGGCTATGTATACCGACCCCCATCTATTCAAAGTTGCCAGCCGCCCTTTGAAGAATGCAAAAGATGTCAAGTACTTGATCTACAATGACTCGACCAACATGCCCATCTCTGACAAGGAGATGGCCGACTTCAAAACCTCTCACTCTCACCTTACCATCATCTCCTATTCTGACCTAATTACCCTCGGCGAGGAGAACCCTATAGACCCCGTACCGCCGAAAACTACTGACATATGCTGTATCATGTACACTTCTGGTTCCTCCGGAACTCCCAAAGGTGTCCCTCTTACCCACGAAGGTGTTGTTGCGGGTGTCACCGGCCTGTGGACTATTGTCGCTGAGACTGTTTCGCATCGCGACGTCATACTCGCGTATCTCCCCCTTGCTCATATCTTGGAGGTAGCTGTGGAGAATTTAGTAATGTTTGTTGGCGGTACACTGGGCTACGGATCCCCACGCACGCTGGCCGACTCCTCTATGCGTAACTGTGCTGGAGACATGCGGGAGCTTGCACCTACCGTCATGGTTGGTGTACCCCAGATATGGGAGACCATCAGGAAGGGTATTGAAGCCAAAGTTAACTCTGGTGGCGCCTTAACCAGGAATCTTTTCTGGGGTGCTTACAACCTCAAGAGCTTACTTGTAGCAACCGGCCTGCCTGGGAGTGGCTTACTTGATGCCGTAGTATTCAATAAAGTCCGGGATATGACGGGCGGAAGGGTAAGGTTCCTCTTCAATGGCGCCAGTGGTATTTCGGATGGCACAAGACAGTTCGTAAGCTTGGTGCTTGCGCCAATGATTACGGGATATGGTCTTACGGAAACAACTGCCAATGGTGCCCTAGGTAACCCGTTGCAATGGACTCGGGATGCCGTCGGTCCCGTTCCTGCGTCACTTGAGATCAAGCTCGTCAGTATACCTGATCTAGGATACGACGCAAAGAGTAATCCTCCACAAGGTGAGATTCTACTGCGGGGAGTTCCAGTCTGCAAAGAGTACTACAAGAACCCCGAGGAGACCGCGAAGGCGTTTACGTCGGATGGGTGGTTCCGAACAGGAGATATCGGCGAGTTCGACTCGGTAGGCCACGTCAAGATCATCGACCGCGTCAAAAATCTCGTCAAGATGCAGGGCGGTGAGTACATTGCGCTCGAAAAGCTCGAGGCCGTCTACCGCGGCAGCGAATACGTCCACAACGCCATGGTATACGGCGACAGCGAGCACCCTCGCGCCATTGCCGTCATAAGCCCCAACGAGAGGCCATTGAACGACTTGGCGAAGAAACTAGGTGTTGATCATGCCCACGCTCACAGCGACCCCAAGGTCTTGGAAGCAGTTCACAAAGACTTAATCGCAGTGGGTAAGAAGGCCGGCCTGACCGGGCTGGAAATGATCGTTGGCGTCGTACTGGTCGATGAAGAATGGACGCCCGCAAGTGTAAGTTTCAACCACATCCCATCTCCCATCTCCCATCCCACTCCAAACCTAGGGTTAGCGCTAACAGACATAATAGGGCCTCGTTACAGCAACGCAGAAGGTGAACCGGAGGGCGCTCAAGGACGCCTACAAGAAGGAGATCGAGGAGTGCTTTAAGCGCATTTCGTAATGTGTCGAATCGTATTAATGTAATATGCGTCTGCTTCCAGGCGTTATGTAATTTGCTAACTGGCTGGCTCTTCGGCGAGTTGGAAACGGGTCTGTGTAAAATTAGTTATAGCCCTTATATTCCGTATGGCGTGTTTGTTTTTTCCATTTCGTTTTATACACGCAGGGAAGATTAGGTACCTTTTATGTAGAGCTGATGATCTTGTTTTCCATCGTTTGTTTAGATGGTGATTTATTAATTTATTATGTGTGAAAATTCTGAGTAGTGGTTGAGGAATTGTAGGATTGTTCAACTACCTCGGTAGATAGTCACTAGCTTAGATACTTACCTATATAAGGTAAGAAACGTTGAGGTTAGCCAAGAATGCGTATTCGTTTAGTCGACTCTCTTTGTTGGGTTTATCTGGGTCCTCGGGTCTTGGGCTTGCATGTGAAAGGAGTCTTATAGCTATGGTCAGTGTTGGATATATCTACCTAAGGTATTAGTAACCATAGTCCTATTACTCTTACGTTCATTGCCAAGGCAGATAGTAGCGTACATGAATGACAGACTGCCAGAGAGGGGTTAACTAATACTGCCCTTCTACTATACCAACTCATGTGGCCACCGCGTCTATTACCTGCCTAGGTTATGACGGGAACTATAACAACTAGCTTCCAATCACAATCCTCGATTTATTGGTATAATAATATGATTTATTTATGAACACACTTATAATATAATATATATTGCACTACACCTATGCATATGACCACATATAGCATAGCCAAACTCGAAGTCGAAGTCAACAGACGACAGACGACAGACGGAAAAAGGCTGGTAAAGAAGGTAAAAGAAATAGGAAGACAAGAATCCGGTATCTACCTAGCGTTCCCTCTACAACGCCACGCTTCCAGACATAACGTAATGCAAGCGTCCATCTACCGAAACCCCAAAACGTTCTTCCAAGATCGTCTATTTATCTAGGTTACTAAGTAAGGCAGTGGGAAAGAATACCATATATATTTAACCCGTGGCAATACCGATCCGAGTATTCAAAGCCGCTCTTTGGCGTATCGTTTACGGCAGCAGTATGTATTCTTGCTGAGACGAACACCGCGTGATTTGCATCTTATACTTTTTTAGATATTCCAGAAATCGCAATTGTCCAGGCAACCTCATTTTGCCCCCCTTGCCTGCCTAGGGTAAGGAACATCTACGCGCTTGTAGTACAGATGGACGGGCGAATCGTGCCTGAAGCACTTGAACATATAATCGAGCTCTGCTCTCCAGGCATTCCCGGAGCACATGCTTATGTCCATGTCGTTACATTTGATCCATGTGTCCTTCTGCTCGGCCTTGATCCAGCACCAGTAGTGACCCGAGGTGGCGGTATCGCCAATATGCACTTGGATGGCGTAGATCTCGTACTTAGTAGGACATACGAGGCCTTCATTAAAATTAGCACCTAGAATTTTAGCCGCCCCTTCTCGCACCGATGGACCCCAGCTGTAAGGCTCTAAGTCAAGCTCAAGGGGGAAGGCGACCGGAGTGAGATCCTTTCGGGCATGTTCCACCCCTTGTGCCTGTCTTCTTATATATACGCGCAGCAAGCGAGGCATCCTCGCTAATAAGGGTCTAGAATGAGCCTTTGCCTTTGGCTTATGGCAACTTTCACAGTTCATATCGACGACTTCGGTGCGAAAATAGTAGTCCAACATGTCTATAAGTTTAAGCGGTTGCTTGGTCGATTGACGTCCTTGCAGATTTTGAACTGCTAGTGTCAAGGAACGGGCTGATTCTCGATGATACGAATGATGGCTACAATTATCGCACGTTCGTTCGATCATTGTAAACAACAACCAATGGGCATCAATGAAGTTTTGAGGTCGGGTATCCCACCAATGGGTTATAAAATTCCTCACCATTGCTGCAACATCCTCGGGCGTGTTGGGCGGTATATTGATATTGGTTATGGCAGCCGAGAAACGCCCGGTCACGTTTGTTTCAGCTGCGATTTGGTCAAACATGAAAGCAAACAGCTCGTCGACATCGTGTTGGTTATTATCGCCTAGTTTGATAAGCCTGCCCTCAGCATAGTATCCTTCGTGGACAGAACGCATATATTTCTTGTGTATACGTGAGCAATAAAGTACCCAAGGTAATGATAAATAGGTAGGGGGATACGTACCAGCAATGCACTGGGTGTCGCTTCTTTGAGCCGCTTCTTGTGCAGCCACATCAATGTGTTCTTTAAAATCTTGGACAGTAGCTGTGGTGAAGCAGGCTCTCTATCGCTCGTTTCTTGCTGTGCTTCACGCCACTCCAGAGGCCATTCTTCTTGGATTATACCGGTGAGGAACCCAGGTGAGGCAAGTAGTATTTGTAGGGTTGAATTTAAGTAGCATGAACTTCCAAGGTTCCGGAGTCCAGTTACGGGTTGACCAACCCCCAACCGTTGTGCGGCTACTGGCATGGCAATGCCACCAACACCCGAGTCGTCATCCCTAGATTCTAAGCCACTATACCTAGTTCTTGGGATAGCAGGTGCCGGTAGCTTAGGAGGTGTGGGAGCTATGCTGGCTAGGAAGTCTTCGTGAGAATCTAAGTCCTCCTTGACAGAAGTCATAGATTCGGGGTCGCCTGTTATACTAGGATAACGACGGATAAAGTCTTCCCTTGTTTTGACATAGTCGAAAGTGTCAAGTCCCATCTGGTCATTTTTGATCATATCCTCGAATTGACTAATCTCATCTTGATTAAGGGTCTTAGTCTTCGTTCGGGGTCGTCTTCCGTCGCCGTACCTTTGCCTCGAAGCCGCGCTTGGAGACACGTAGTTTGACATAGTCTTGGAAGTCTCAAGAGATTGCTCTCCAAATTCGTCCACCCACGAGTTCAGACCACCGCTCAGCAGCTTTGGGGCGCGTTTGAGCGGTCGGCTATAGCTATAGTACGACAGGGCTTGTCGGATATTGTACAGAACCATTTCTAAAGAATCACCAGTTATCCTAGACGATATTGAAGTGCTATCCCGATCATAGATAACCACCAAGTCAACCTTGTCACGTTGCTCAACTGCGAGCCTCTCATTTGGAGGGGCAAGAACCATGCTATCAGCAATCTCATCTGCGGATATGTTCTCTCGCATAAGAATCTCAGGCTCGATACAAATTGTCTTGGCTGATTTGATATGTCCCTCATCAAAAGACTCACGATCCCGAACATCAATTACCAAAATGTCAATCTGCGGGTACTGGTTTATGAGACCTGCAAGTGTTTCGGCTGTGATGTCGTCGCCGTCTGGAATTTGAAATTCCGTTAGCGTAGCTGGAGATTGGGGGGCCCGATAAGAATGGGCCGCCACGAACTGTTCTTTGCTAAAGGCCCTGATGGCGTTTTCCGTCGATATGCGAGCTGAGACACTAGGGACCGAGGTGATCGAATTTGTCCGACTGAACATACCACGAGGGGTGCTGGATGGAAGGTTAGCGATCTCGCTAGTCACGGTACCTCTCGCAGGGCTATAGATGGCTTCTGGAAGCTTTGGCATCGTTAGTATAGATGTATCAACTGAAGGCAACGCCTGACTTGGAGTGGACTCTTCAGTGCCGGCCGATTGGGCCTGGCCGAGTGCTTTAGTGGCGTTTCGAGGCTTTTGAGTATCACGCAACCGCGCAAATCTATTTGCAAGATCTTCGGGGAGGTCCTTTGGGGTCTGCTTAATAGCTTTTCCATGCAATGCTTGTGGCTTTGGTTGTATCGTTGGCTTTGGCCTACGCCCCCCAGCCGCGTTGCCGCCAGCATCTTCTGTAATATCAACTCTATTTAGAGCTTCTACTTCATTTTTAAGTCCATTATTTTGGGGGCCTATGGAACGGTTCGCCTGAACCTGTTGCAGCGTCGAAGATGGGCTAGGCCGGTTCAAGCGGGCGAGTTCGAAGGAACGCTTAGAAGATATTGCTGGCTGCACACCACTCCGCCTATTATCCTCTTTGATTTCCTCCTTAATCTTGTCGAAAGTAGCTCCATTGGTAGTTATTTTCATCTTGAGGGCCTTGTATAAGCGGTTCAAGTCTCCGCGGTCGGAACTCATAGAGGGATAGTCTTTGTGTTTGGGTACTTTATCGACAGCAATTGTAAATGCTTTGATGTACTCCTGCAGTGCCAAATCAGGACGCCGGAAATCGCTATAGGTTGTTGCCTGTCGCATATGGGCATCTCCAAGCTCGAGGATCTTTCGTAGAGGGGTATGAGGGTCGAGGTCGACGCCAACTGACACCAAATCATCTATGTGGCGGTATGGCAGCTTTCCTGTACCCGAGCTACCATTAACCATGCTCGTACCAGTTTCCTTCGCAGGCGTCCGGTGGTAATTACTTGTATTAGAGGACATCATGCCATGCGCGCCCACTACTGGAGCGTTCGAAGTCCTTGTGAACGTTACAGAACTCATATTTTCATCAGTGCGATACCGAAGATGTGTAAATTGAATCCTAGGCGGCGAGAAACGTAGCAAGGTGGGGGTAGTCGGAGAGGAGAACTTTATGTACCACAACTGTTCTGAGGGTGAGGACTGGAATGGGGTGGCATTCTTTCAAAGCAGAGCCGGATCTGTGAACGGCGCAATACTGGAGGTTGAAAAAGTGGGAGAGGGACGAGAACGGAATGTTGAAAGAACTTGGACAATAAAAGAGAGAATAAAAAAGATATTAAATGCACAATGGCAAAATTAAATTGTCCGCATCTTTAAGAGTATATATGAGCAGAAAGCAGAAGGGCGTAACGTGTCGGCTGACTGGTTGGTTTCGTGTGTATATAACATGTATGAATGTGTTTGTGTGAAGGCGTCGTCGTTGATGTTTAGTTAATTGATGCGAGGTAACGTGTATAATGTACTTGTATCTTTGAGCGGAAACTCGGTGATTGATATACCTTCAATATGTACCCGCCCACATGTAGATACTTGTGTGCATGGTATATTTGATGTACTTACACGTATGTATATGTACCTAAGGTTAGGTACATATTTACTGTACATATACAGCATGTGCGAGGTACCTAGATACCTAGTTATACATAAGCGCTCCGCATTTCTACATAGCCACGGCAGCCTACACTAGTGGTTTGTGGTTGGTATTGTAATAGTAGGTACGTAATCGCGGCCTTGTGTACATACTGGAATATCTACACTCTCTACATACACCACATACACCACATACACCACATGACACGCCTAGGCATACACAATACCTATCAATAGACATCCCGATGTGTACCCACGCAATTCTCCCATAATCAGGCAAACAGGTTGACAGTCTAGTTTCATACCATCCTCATCCCTCGCCTCTGGAGAGCAATAACCACTTCCGAATTCCGAATCGTACCCCATATCTACCCTGAATCTCTCGCGCATCATGATGGGAAGTTGGTGGTCGTCCTCGGCCAACAGTGCCTTGGACGAACAGATTGATAAAGCAACCGGAAGTAGCCTGTATGTCTATTCTACTAATTATTCTACCAATGCTTCATTAGATTACTGATGTACCATCTAATAATCTAGGGAGGATATTCCCCTTAACCTCGAGATCTCCGATGTCATTAGATCCAAAACGATACAGCCTAAAGAAGCTATGCGCTCGCTGAAGCGTCGCATTAACAACAAGAATCCCAATACCCAGCTGAGCGCGCTAAACGTACGAACGCTTCTCTCGGTCGTATAGATTCCTATGCGCTTCTCCCATGATGCTGACATGTGGCGTAGTTGACGGACACTTGCGTCAAGAACGGCGGCTCGCATTTCCTCGTCGAGATTGCTTCGCGAGAGTTTATGGATAATTTAGTATCTCTTCTCCATGCAGTTGGTCCCGCCGAAGTTAATATCGAGGTCCGAGCCAAGATATTAGAGTTGATACAGTCCTGGGCCGCCGCTACCGAAGGTCGCTATGACCTAAAATATATTGAGGAGACCTACAGAGCCTTACAAAGAGAGGGGTTCCAATTTCCTCCTCGAACAACCGTAGCGAGCAGTATGATCGACAGTAGCGCCGTATGTATTGTATATAATCAGGTGCTCCTTTACACGCACCGCTCCTGGATAAGACAAGACTAACTGGTTTATGATAGCCCCCAGAATGGACCGATTCCGAGGTCTGTATGCGGTGTCGGACCCCATTTACCTTCACGAACCGTAAACATCATTGTCGGAATTGTGGTAATTGTTTCGACCAACAATGTTCTACCAAGACGCTTCCTCTACCGCACTTGGGTATCTTACAACCTGTGCGGGTTGACGATGGCTGCTATGCCAAACTAACAGACAGATCTACTAAAAGTAGCTTCGGGAGACAGGAGCGCTCTCCCACGAGCCCTTCGTTTCCTCATAAAAACCGCAGTTCGTCCGCCATGTTGCCTCGAAATGCCAGAGTTGACGACGCCTTCGACGAAGACCTCAAGAAGGCCTTGGCAATGAGTCTAGAGGAAGTCCAAAGCCATTCCAAGGGCTATGTCCCTCCAACAGATAACACCCCTCGGCAATCATATGCGAAGGCCAGCGATCACTCATCTACACCAGTAGTTGCACCTACAGCCGAGGAGGAGGATGAAGACTTGAAAGCTGCCATCGCGGCATCTCTGGCAGACATGGAAGAGCAAAAGCAAAAGCATTCCGCTGCCTTGAAACAGCAGACAAACAAGGTTGAAAACATCTCAGCTACTTCATTCGCGTTGCCCAAGAATGATTACGAGCTCACCCCAGTCGAGGCCGAAAATATCAACCTTTTCTCCACGTTAGTCGACAGATTGCAGACGCAGCCCCCCGGTACGATACTGAGGGAGCCGCAGATTCAGGAGCTTTATGATTCTATCGGGGCGTTGCGACCAAAGCTAGCGCGCACATACGGCGAAACGATGAGCAAGCATGGTAAGTTATCTTCTGAAGGTTTTAGATGCCACCTCCAGCTAATCGCGATTCAGATACCCTGCTCGACCTACATGCTAAGCTTTCCACTGTTGTTCGATATTACGATAGAATGCTGGAGGAGCGCCTCTCAAAAGCTTACAGCCAGCATAATATTGGTAGCTACGCTTTGCCCAGCTCCGGACAGCAGACCGGCCCATATCCCTCAATAGAATCTACCACCGCCAGGGCTTCTACCTCAGCAGAAAATTTCTATACAGGCGATCCACTTCCAGATCCAAGTAGGAAGTCTGCAAGCCACCAATACCTCCAACATGTTCAGGCAGGTCTGCCACAACAATTTACAAGCTATGACAAGAGAGCTTCGGTGTCGGCGCCCTCGAGCAACCAATATCCGCATCATGCAGGACAAGGAAACGAGGGTTGGCAAAAACAGCAAGGGCCATCCGCACCAGCCCAGTATCCCAGTCAAGCAAATTTCACGCCCAACGACGTTCCCCCTCAGCCTAGTCACGTATCTCATCCCTCCCCACAAACTCCTCTTAACAGAGCCACCGAGCCAGTAGTGACATCAGCGGCCGACCCCAGTGCGACGTATTATTATAACAACCCTCAGTCGAGCACTGACCATGCCACGCAGGGTATACCTCCAGAAGCGTCGCCGTCACCGTATCCAAACCTTCAGCACAGCTTAAGCTATACCGGGCAGTCCATCCCTCCAACACCTGCCTCTATTCCTGCGCAAGCATCCCAGCCCCCACAGCATTATCAGCCACCCAATCAACAAGCGCAACAGCCATATTGGCAACAACAGCATGCGGACCAAGCCCCTCAAGCATATCAGACAACCGGGGCAGGGTACTCAAGATACAGACAGGACTCGTTCCCTGCTGTTCCCCAACATACACCTCAGCAACCTGCCATAGAAGAAAGTTTGATTGATCTATAGGATAAGCAGGATAAAGCAGGATCGGATTTTGTCACATGAGTGGAATGAGATTAATAGTAGTCAACTCGATGAGAAAAGTTTCTTCGCTGAGAGGTGCAATGCATGAGACGTATGGCAAATTACCTAATCTTTTTATTTTATGCTGTGCCTAACTTCTACTTAATTTTCGCACTCCTCTTCTTCCTCTTTAAAATATGAAGCTCCAAATGCGAGGCTACAAAAATGTAGCTGAGATGCTGAAGGAATGGAAGTTGTTCTATGGATTGAAGAAAAGAACCAGTGTTGCGCTAATCCCACTACTTACCTAAACACCTGAGGCTCAATTAGGTACCTAACCTATGTAACCTTATACATAGATACCTAGGTACATGCCATAATATAGGTACATGGATGTGGTACGTAAATTATGTACCTAATATAAGTACCTCACTCCATCACGTCATTACCACCCGGGCTGTTAAATACCTAAGGTACTTATGGACTTCCCATATTCACGTCCAACGGGTATGTACCTGTGATTTAATTGTACATGGATTGTACGTGCATGTACGAAATAGCTTATCCGAACGCAAACCCCTCTTGCCCCTCTTTTGTAACTTTCACTCGCTCAAAATAAAGCTTCTATCGTCCTTTGGCTCATACTTTAGGTTAGGATAGGATATACCTAAGGTACCTACGAACACGGGAATTAATCTATAAATACCCCAAAAGTCATCAAGAAGCAATATTCTCTTTTTCTCAAGACTTATAATCTTCCCTAATAGACACAATGTCCCGCCACCAAGCGTATCGTAATTACGACTACGAGAATGACCTCGACGAATATGAAGGAGACGAATTTGGAGATGAGGAAGAGGAATTAAGCTCGGAGGATCAAGGTACATGATTTACACATATCCTATGCAATCTATGCCTGCTAATAGACCAATGAAGCACAAATGAACGTCGGTACTGCCCAAGTTCGAACCGCTCTCGGTGTCGAATCATCCAAGGTTACCACCAAGCAAATCCAAGATGCGCTATGGCATTACTATTACGATGTCGATAAATCTGTGACTTATTTAATGACTAAATATGTCGCGCCTTCAACCAAAAAGAAAGGAGGAGGTAGGTAACCTATTTTCTTATTCTACCTTTTTCCTACCAAGCCACCCAACATAGCACCTGTGCGAAGGTCTCGACCGTAGGGCAGCAGCATTTCATGACCCCAGGTGCGTCTCAGTGTGAATATACCGGAAATCCAGCTTGATCGTTTGGCTAACACCGAAGCTGGGGTTGGTGAAGGTGAAGCACATGCACAGCACGTCTCATTTGCCGGCTTCTTTAGCGACATGCCGTGGTTAAATATCCCAAAGGACCGAGAAACTACATTCATCGTACCATCACAGCCCCGAAGCGGACTGCTAGGGGGTGCTAGCACAGACGGCAAGGTTTCTAAACTCCAAGCACTCGCTGCTGCTCGCAAGAAGAAAGCAGAAGATAGGAAATTGGACGAGAAACAACTACAAGATGCAACACAGAAATTAAGCAACCTCTCTACCACTCCGACGCAACCTGAATCTAGTAAAGAGAATGCGCGGCCGACCGCAACAACGCCGAGAGGAACTACTGGGTTTAGAAGCGCTAGTATAGCCAGTATATCCCAACGGACAGAATCTAAAAGCCCAAATGTTGTGGAGGACGAGGTTCAAGGCCAGCCAGAAAAAAATAGTACCGGGCCAACCAACCCACCGGCATTTGCGAACCCTTTACAACCAGCCGTGTCATTTGAGGCTGCTGCGCCGTCTCCCTTCGCTCAGGCCCTTCTCGGCTCCATTAATGGTTCTATCAATTCCGTGCCGAGAACTTACCCGTTTCCTTATATCAATTTGACTTCATCAGTAACTGACGCATTCTCAGCGCCAAGCCCAGATGATGTAGTCTTGGCAGCACAGTCCCAAGGTTCGCTCTTAGCGAAGAAGGTCGTTAAGTAAGAATACTAATACTTTGGGATCAGCAAGCAGTAAAAAGATTGCTGCTACTACGACTAAGAAGAAGGCCAGCGCGAGAGGAAAAGTCGAAGAGGTTACGGACGGTGTGAAAGGCCTTAATATCCCTGAAACGCCATTGCCCAAGAGCAAGAATGTTGACGTGCTTAAGGAATTTGAGAAGGCCAAGAGGAAGAAGAACGCAAGCTTCGTAGTTGTTGGTAAGTATTACAAATAAGTCTTAGTGCGTCGGTACTCATACTAATTTGACAAGGCCATGTGGACGCTGGTAAAAGTACTCTAATGGGGCGCCTGTTGCTGGACCTCAATGTCGTCGACCAGAGAACGATACAGAAATATCGCAAAGAAGCCGAAAGTATAGGGAAATCTTCGTTTGCACTTGCGTGGGTGCTAGACCAACGATCGGAGGAGCGATCGAGAGGCGTAACTATTGACATCGCAACAAATAAATTCGAGACGGAAAACACATCGTTTACGATTCTAGATGCGCCTGGACATCGAGATTTTATCCCCAACATGATCGCCGGCGCGAGTCAAGCAGACTTTGCGATCTTAGTAGTGGACGCAACAACCGGCGCATTTGAAGCTGGGCTCAAGGGACAGACAAGGGAGCATTCTCTTCTCCTGCGCAGCATGGGTGTCTCTCGAGTGATTGTCGCAATTAATAAGCTGGACACGGTTGGGTGGTCTCAAGAACGGTTCGATGAAATTTCGCAACAAGTATCCGGCTTCCTCTCGGCAACAGGGTTCCAGCTCAAAAATGTTAGCTTTGTCCCCGTGTCGGGCTTACATGGAGACAACATAGTAAAAAGGGCCACAGACGCAGCAGCCAACTGGTATTGTGGGAAAACGCTCGTCGAGGAATTGGAGAGCTCAGAGCCAATGGCCCGAGCATTGGACAAGCCTCTACGCTTAACTATTTCCGAAGTTTACCGTACAGCACAGAGCCCGCTTACAATATCCGGGAGGATAGATGCAGGCTCGGTGCAGGTGGGCGATGCACTAATGGTTCAGCCAAGCGGCGAGAAAGCTTACGTCAAGTCTTTGGAACTTGATCGTGAGCCAGTGGACTGGGCCGTGGCGGGACAGAATGTCGTTATTCACCTCAGCAATATCGAACCGATCCACGTACGCGTTGGAGACATTATCTGTGATACGAAACAGCCAATCGATTGTATCGACACATTCACAGTCAAGGTACTAGCGTTCGACATCCTGATGCCGATGCAGGTGGACGTGCACAGGGGCCGTTTACACGCCGCGGGTCAAATCCTAGAGATACCAGCCTTGCTCGACAAAACTAAAGGCACCGTTCTGAAAAAGAAACCCAAGATCGTAAAGCCAGCAAGCGTGGCGAGAGTGGTAGTTAAGATGGGAACTAAGGTACCGCTTGAAGCAGGCCAGCGTGTTGTGTTGAGAAGTGGAGGCGAGACAGTTGCCGCCGGGTTATTAGAATGAGAGTACGACGTGCCCTACGGTTACGAGTCGTGGTGGGTAAAATATACCAAGCTCATGACGCCGGCTACGATACTGTAGACAGCTTTATCAGGTTTATCTTGTGGGATAAGTGGCGGATATAGCGAGCAGTCGATGTATACCTAACTTGGAGCTCATACTTGGGATTCGTAGTAGAAGACGTAAGCTACTTATACATAGATACTAGTATGTATAATGCAGTGCCACGTTTGAGGCTCTAAATACCAGCACAAGGCTGCACTTTATATAGATGAAGGATTATGTATCTCGCTAAAAATGGTCTCTGAATAGGTACCTAGATATCAAGTACGTATAGCAATTCGATAAGATGAAGTGGACAGATGTCTTATTGACAGATATGGAGTTTACTACACTGTCATAGCGCTGTGACCAACTATAAGGCTAGCAGGGATGCCCCGCATTAGGCGGGGCTGGGGCTCTAAAACAGAGTTGGGTCTAGTTGGGACAATCTGGCTTCTGCGCCAGAGAGGCGAAGAAGGTTCCAGTGACTGCTAAAGTATCTAGGTACCTACATCTTTTAACTTCTTCTGAGACCCACCCATCTATACCCTTAGGCGCTGGATCGCCGGTACTTGGGAGGTACCTATGCACTTACAGCTTTAGCAGATAGGAAAGGCTAATTTCCACACTGGCGCAGGTAGCTAGATGTAGCTAGATGTAGCTAAATGGGGTCATGCAACAAAAAGAGCATCTGCGTGACCCACACTTTATTGCAATGTGTTCTCTTGCAAGCTGGCAACATCAACTTAATCATTTTCTTCTACCCATATAAGAATTTCACAGACACACCATTGTGCGTCGACAAATTCTTCTTCTTTTATTCTCTTCATACTTCACTAGTTTCTAGTGTCATACCAACCGAGCAGGAGAGGTTGAAAGGCACTTCAGCTTCAGTGTTGAATTCTCTTTTCCCTTTTCTGTATCCTAATTTCTACTTCTATTTCTATCCATCTAAGACCTTACTACGCCGCTTTGTTGCCATTCTATCTGCGACAAACACCCTCCCACCATGGCTCGCTCTCAGAGCTACTGGGCTATTGCCTTTGGCATGATAGCCTGGAGCCTTCTTCTCTTTAGCCCTCTGGCATTCGTCGGAACTGCGAGAGCAGACGACGTTGCTGACTATGGCACTGTTATCGGTATTGTAAGTTTCTTCACCCTTCCTAGTCTTGCAATCTCATTCCGCCGCTTCTTACTAATAATCTTTTCCTGCAGGATTTGGGAACCACATACTCTTGCGTCGGTGTGATGCAACAGGGCAAGGTTGAAATTCTCGTCAACGACCAAGGAAACCGAATTACCCCCTCATACGTTGCCTTCACTGAAGAAGAGCGACTGGTAGGAGATGCTGCCAAACAACAGGCAGCTTCCAACCCCAGGAATACTATATACGATGTTAAGTAAGTTGAATCCTATTTTAATGTAAAAGACGACGTTGACTAATTGCCACTCCTACTCTAGACGATTCATTGGCCGAAAGTGGAGCGAGAAAGAAGTCCAAAATGACATCAAGCACTTCCCTTACAAGGTGGTTGAGCAGGATGGCAAACCCGTTGTCCAAGTCGATTTCCAGGGCGCCAAGAGGACGTTCACCCCCGAAGAAATATCTGCCGTCATTCTAGGCAAGATGAAGGAGGTTGCCGAGTCCTACTTGGGCAAGAAGGTTACCCACGCCGTCGTTACTGTCCCTGCCTACTTCAATGACAACCAGAGACAAGCTACCAAGGACGCCGGTATCATCGCTGGTCTTAACGTTCTCCGAATTGTTAACGAGCCTACTGCTGCCGCTATCGCCTACGGTCTTGACAAGACTGGTGGCGAGCGTCACATCATCGTCTACGATCTTGGTGGTGGTACTTTCGATGTCTCCCTTCTGTCCATCGAAGATGGTGTGTTCGAGGTCTTGGCCACCGCTGGTGACACCCACTTGGGTGGTGAGGATTTCGACCAGAGGATCATCAACCACTGGGCCAAGAACTACAACAAGAAGAACTCGGTCGACATCACTAAGGACCCTAAGGCCATGGGTAAACTCAAGCGCGAAGCCGAAAAGGCCAAGCGAACCCTGTCTTCCCAAATGTCCACCCGTGTCGAAATCGAAGCCTTTTATGATGGCAAGGATTTCTCCGAGACCCTTACCCGAGCCAAGTTCGAGGAGCTCAACATCGACCTCTTTAAGCGAACTCTTAAGCCCGTTAAGCAGGTCCTGGATGACTCCAAGATCAAGAAGGACGAGATCGATGACATCGTTCTCGTTGGTGGTTCCACTCGTATCCCTAAGGTCCAGGCTCTTCTCGAGGAGTTCTTTAACGGCAGGAAGGCCAGCAAGGGTATCAACCCCGATGAGGCTGTTGCTTTCGGCGCAGCTGTTCAAGCCGGTGTTTTGTCCGGTGATGAGGGTGCTACCAATGTCGTCCTTATGGACGTGAACCCATTGACTCTCGGTATCGAGACTACTGGTGGTGTCATGACTAAGCTTATCCCCCGTAACACCCCCATCCCAACTCGTAAGAGCCAGATCTTCTCGACCGCTGCCGACAACCAGCCCGTCGTCTTGATCCAGGTCTTCGAAGGTGAACGATCCATGACCAAGGACAACAATCTGCTCGGCAAGTTCGAGCTTACCAACATTCCCCCGGCTCCCCGTGGTGTCCCTCAGATCGAAGTCTCCTTCGAGCTGGACGCCAATGGTATCCTGAAGGTGTCAGCTCATGACAAGGGAACCGGAAACACCGAGTCCGTTACCATCACCAACGATAAGGGTCGACTCAGCCAAGAAGAAATCGAGCGCATGGTCGCTGAGGCTGAGAAATTCGCCGAGGAGGACAAAGCTACCCGTGAGCGTATCGAGGCCAGAAACGGTCTGGAGAACTACGCCTTCAACTTGAAGAACCAGGTCAACGACGAGGATGGCCTCGGTGGTAAGATTGATGAGGAAGACAAGGAGACTGTAAGTTGAACCCTTTTGGTACCAGATATACCCATTTACTAATTTGCAACTAGATCCTCGATGCCGTTAAGGAGACGACTGACTGGCTCGACGAGAACGCCGCTACGGCGAGCGCCGAGGACTTCGAGGAGCAGAAGGAGAAGCTCTCGAACGTCGCCTACCCGATCACATCTAAGATTTACAGCAACGCGGGAGGTGCCGCGGGCGACGATGAGCCGTCACCACACGACGAGTTGTAATATGTTATTGATAGATAGATCTGTTTTCCATTAGCATACCCGGACGCACGAATAAAGAAAGTTAAATGAAATTTTTCTAATGCCATAATTTTATGGTATTGAGAATTAATAAGCACGATGAGGATGAAGCATATGTGTGGCTGGTGTTTTTTTGGTGACCGATGTGATTGCGATTTTTGATAGTCTAAATGATAAACTTTTGTTTTGACTGAGATCGAGTCGAATTATTCTCCTATCCACAGAAATATGTGATCCATACTGTATATGAACTCCATATTAAGACCAGAGGAAGGCGGTAATAACTAGGTAGAGAGAGATCCAGCTTCCTTTGAACGTTCTATTGTCTTCACATCATCAGTTCAATTAACGGGCGACTAGAGAAATCGATAGGTTAGGTACCTAACCTAACATATAAAGGGCGAGGCGACTGGACGGAATACTAGGGTTTAGTGATGGTGTAATAGATGGTGAATATGAGGTAAGTTAATAATATATATATATAAGAAAGAAACCGGCAATTACCGGTTTGTAGGATAAAAAGCCGAAGGATCCCTACGAAGAAGAAAGTTTCGACTTAGTACTAGCCGCACGTTCTATATGGTATAACTAACTAACTGGCGTACGTCTTTGATATCATTTGCTATAAGTTTAGACTTGATTGAGAATATACGTTGCTACAATTCGCAGAATCCTGTAGGCGGAGTAATTTTAGGTAGACATAAGCGACAGCACCGTTTCAATGATCCGGGTGTCCTTACCTTTTAAAGATAGATATATTTACTAGTGACAATGCAGTTAAATCATCTAGGGCGAGAATAAAGTATTCTATCGTCCTCCACTCGTTATCCAGAATAATACAACGGTCTAGCTTTCAGTCTAGAAAAGGGGTATCCAACATAACGCTCGACTGACTGGTCTTAATCACCCAGCCTTAGCCACGTCGACGGTATTATCCTCGGCTTCCACCGGCAGTGATTCGATGCTCTCCCCTTTCTTCAAGCCAAGTTTTCTCGTATCCCAGCCCTTGCTCTCGAGGTACTCCCTAAACTTCGTGTCCTCTTTGGTAATGGTGTCCTGGTCGATGTTAGGGAGTAGGAGTGCAAGCGCCGCTGCAAAGATACATAAGCTGGAGCTGACGTAGAATTTGTACTGTGCCGATTTGGTTGCGTCGCCGTCTGGCGAATTTATATGTTTGAACACATATGTACCTACGAAAGCTCCGATCTTTCCAAGGGCAGCAGCGATACCGTAGTATTGCCCTCTTACACCCGTGGCGCAGGTTTTAGCAGCTAGTAGACCAATATTGTTTCCCGGCCCTAGCTCGCCAAGAGACAAGAAGATGCCGTATACTACTGCAAAGGCACCAACCACAGAAGGGTGAGATATCCTGCTGTAGCAACCAGCCATAATAAAACCCACAATGGCCTGTAGAACCTGACCTAAGATAAGGGTGTAGCGAGGGCCTAGACGGTCGCTAATTGGGGCTCCGAGCATAGTTCCCGGAATGTAGAACAAATTGATAACCGTGTTCCATCCGAATATAGTGGTTAGAACACCAGTATCTCCATAGATATTGGAGAGAATGGCACTCGAATAAATCGAGAACGAGTAGGCAGAGAACTAATAAGGTTAGGAGGAGACATATTAGCTGGGGGGGCAGGGGTAAGAAACTTACGTCGTATATGAACCAGATCAGACTGACGATGAGCAACCGAAACCCGTAATATCTAATCACTAGCATGTACGGAGTTTTGACACTAGAACGCGTATAATTAGCAAATTTCTATTTACATACTATGCTAGAGTCACTTCGTGTTGTAAGTTCTGTTCCATATGCTAGTTGTACGGGGTAACTAGAATAGATCTTCTGGGTTGGAAGGAAATAGTGAAGATGACAAGGGGAGACTTACTGCTTCATTGAGTTCCTTGAGAATTCCTCGGGTTCCTTAAGCTTAAGACGGAAGACAAAGAGAACTAGTGGGAAAGCTACGCCGATTCCCAAGCTTGTTCGCCATATTGTGCTGTAGTAAATATTATGGGCTGCAGCGGCAACGACGTATGGCACAAATGCCCCGAAGACGAAACCCCAGTCTATCATCGAGTTTGTGAACAAGATAAACCAGGTATTCCGAGTACCGCCCTTCAGCTCGCCGCTGGATTCGGCGCAACTTACGCTGCCGGCTGGATACTCGCCTACATTTATGCTTTAGTCCAGCACTAGTTACTTGATTTTTGGCCGTATTCTTACCTCCAATACCGATACCAACAAAGAACCGCCATGCAGTCAAGATATTGAACATACCCACGGGATCGCCATGGTAGTAAGAACCAGCAGCGAGAGCCGTGAATATAATCAGAATGATGGTCGATATAAGGAGAGAGTCTTTGCGCGACCACTTGTCGGACAGGTACCCGAAGAAAAGTTGACCGACCACCTGGAGAAATAAGCTTAAATCTAGACCAAACATCTTGGTGGGACTCGTACCGTTCCCGCGAACGCGATAGCTGGTACTACGCTAGCGGCATTGGAGTTCGTGTAGACGTCTTCGTATTCACGTTCCAGCACCGTGTTTACGGAGCCGATGACCTACGTAGCGCAAAGTAAGCCGATGGCCTATGCTTAGAGAATAAAGAGTGAGGAAGACTATGTAAGAGAGGTAGCGATGTATACATTATTGACGTAGCCGTCGGAAAAGAGACCAGCGCCGCAAGCCAGGACAGGCCAGATGACTTGCCAGAAGGGTTTCTGGTCGATAGGAGGTGTTGCATCGGTGGGAACCTCCGAGGATACTGCTTGTTCCTCTTCTTTCTCGCTGCGCCAAAACATTCTCTATAGCAACAACGGTCGAAATAGCGAGATGATTGTAATACGAGGGTAGGAAGGTAATTATTACGCGCAGTAGCACTAACGGATTAAAAGGATACTATCTTAGGATCTGGCGAAGAGGACTGACTACTTTGAAGCTGTCGCCAGATATCTCGGAGCTCGACGAGCACACGAGACAAGAGAGCGGAAGAGCAAATAAATAAGAGAGATACGGAATACATGATGTATGTACGATAAGAAAAATAAATAAAAAATACGTACCTACCTATACCCAAGATAGCACCTGCAAGAACAAGAGCTCTTGCCGGGTTACGCATCCTTGGCTTGATTGGGACGAGATAGCGTGCCTCCCCTTATTAACACCATTCGGCCTTCCCTATCCGTATAAGCCACGCCTGCAGTTTTTTTTGCAAGCTCTCGAATTTAAATCATATTTTCCACGAAGTACATGGTGGGTTTGTGAGAGGTAAGACACGCTTAACTCAAACAAGCTATTAACTAACTACCCGATTAAAAAACGCCAACTAACATTACGAAGGCTTTGATAAATATTCGCCTATGCGAGCTGGGTGTAAGTCGTAATCAGCCAATTAGACACCAAGGATCTACCCCGTGCCAAGTCTCCCTAGAGAGCTTATCTTTTCCGACTGAAAGCTTCATTCTTTTTTATTTTATTTTTGGCTCGGCCAGGCCTTGGCTGCAGTGGTCTTCTGCGAGATACGCGGAAATCATTCTCTAGTCGCCTGTCCTAGTTATACATTTTATTTTTTTATTTTTATGTTTTATATTTTTGCAGCTTCGCTTCCCTTTAGAGACTTCGGTGTGGTAGGACTCGAAAAGCAAACTTACGGACTACCCTAGTTAGTGTTGATATGGTTATCTCTTTACTGCCCTATGAAGTCATCAAGTTTCATAATTTCTAACCCTTAGAATAACGCACAAATACCTATGCATCGATATATGAACCTCGCATGTTGTAGCGAGACAACCCTACAGAAAATGTCCAGATGATATCGGTCACGCCGAACTTTCAAGACATACAGCAGCGCTACTTACTACTGTGCTATGATAGGAGGATTTACTCACCGTTAGCTTACCAGCTCCGTACCGGATACGTACCTGGTATATAAGATAAGCACCCGCGTCAGCCATGACAGGATGAAAAAGGTTCGAACCGAGTTACGTACATGCAGTGTGTAAGTCTGGGCATTGGCTGTACCAAAACCCCTTCATTCGGGACTTGATGTCATAAGTTGCATGTGATGGATTGATGTTCGAGTCTCCGAGCTGGACGATTAAAGATGAACTTTCATAAATATCGGAATTTTCAACCATTGATTACAATTAATATTACCATTTATTTTTTATCTCCTCAATTCGTCTTCTGTAAAAGAAAAGAGATAGAGAGAACATAGCGTTAAGCATAGGTAATTATAGTCATCACAAAGTGTTCCTTTGCAATAGTCTTGGTTTAGTAGCTCACTTCCCTACAAACTAACCTCATATGTAAGTATCAATCTTTACGAGATAAGACTAATACTCTACCATATCAGTAACTTCCAGCAATGCACGATAAACTCCAATTTCAACACATCAAACCTCATGTCAATCTTTCTAAAAAACTAGAGAAATACTTCCATCCAACTCGTATCAAAATTCTACCAGTTAACTCCCTACGTCGCAAACTCCTTTCTTCCTAGCTCGATATCTATCATCTAGGTTAGGAACCGGATTTGAAACTGCTATTTTTGTACACTGCGACTTCGCCCTCCTGCATCGAGTAGAATGCCTCAATGCTGCCACATATTGCCCAGATTCCCGGCATCAAAATGTTCCTCTCCCCGCCAAGACACTGGCTCCTACTCCTGGTCTCTCAGTGATCGTAGACCCCCCCCCCCCTCCTTACGCCGTCTTCTTCCACTGCGTGTAAACGCCAATCAAACTGCTCACCGTACCCGCCAGACCAACAAACCCATCATCGAATCCGACCCAGCCCAGCGCCGCCGTCGGCGCCGTAAGATCGCACAGATCCGAGATGAGCTGGATCCGACTAGCATTGCGTTCGCTATTCCCATTCGTTAGTCTCGATCCACTCGTTTCTTCGTAAACAGGTTAAAGCAAGAACAAAAAAAAAAAACACTTACATAGCAATCCTCTTGCTCTCCACCACCCCCTCGCCCTCCTTCTTATCAACCTTGGCCTCGCGCTCCCGCAGCTTGTACAGTGTATACGTCTGCGCAACAATACTGCACAAGATGCCAATCGCCCAGAACCGATACGCCTCTTTCTGGGCTCTCTTCGCGCCGGCCCACTTGCGCGCGCCCAGCGCATCCAAGACCGTAGCCGCGTCGAAGGTCAAGTATCCCGCATAGCCGAGCTGTCTACCCACCGCCGCGTACCGAAGCACCGGGTCTCCGGCCTGGGCTCCTCCCGCCTTTATAGCGTCGGCGGCTACGGCCGCGGCCCGGAAGTGCTCGACGTTTTTGCCGAGACGTAGGAGTTTGCGCGCCAGGCCGAGCTGTTTCTTGAGGGCTTCGTACGGCGCGATCTCGCCCCGCGTGCCGTTCGTGCGGTACAGGTACCACGCGTAGAAGCGCGCGAAGTACTGTACTGTGCGCAGGAGCTTGTCGCGGCCCGTGGTTGTCGCGACGAATTTTAGGTAGTGCGACACCGTGGGGTGGTAAATTACTGCGTCGGCAACCATTGTGACTTTTTTTTGGCGTGTGCTGTTAACACTATTGTATAGGTATCGAGGGAGAGGGGTGAGAAGGGAACGACGGTTGGTGATGGGTTGAACAATCAATCAATTGTATGTAGGATACCGGCTTGTAGTGATGTAACTAAGGTAGGTTTGCGAGAATCGCTCGTTCTGCGCTATATTTCGGGCTCGGCCGGTGCGGTAGTGGTAGTCGAGGTTCCCTTGTCTGTCTGTGTAGCCGGTGTGCCGGTGTAGATAGAAAGAAAAGGGTTTAAAGTTATGGCTTCTCGCAATGAATATAAAAGTTCTAAATCTCACTTTGCGGACGTTAGTCACGAATTCAATGCAGATTTTGGAGAAATGGACGGGACAATACCTATTAACGACTTCTATTACAGCCGGCGGTATGGGTAATAAGTAACGGAATAAAGCTGGGACATGAGAATGAATACCTAGGCAGTGGACCGAAGAAGCACATGCCGAGGTCCACTGAATCATACTACAGCTGCGCCGGCAATTTCGCCCTACGTTTTGCCGGACGTATGTAAATACCCAGATGGACACTTGATACCCCAGAGTTTAGTGTCCTTTCCGTATTTAGACCATGTTTGCAATTGGAATCTCTCATTGGTTACGGTTGCATCTAAAACGGAGTATCTTCAATTACAGTAAAGTCAACTTTATACTAACATGTGCTTGACCTATTAATTTATAATTTACTATACATACGTCAACTGCTAGCGGATCTCACGTCTAAAACGGTGAATGGCAACTTCATCTCAACTACCGTTTCATTCAACATCATCTATCGATAGCAGTTGGGTGTCTACTCCTTCTCCAAGACATTGGGTATGAACTGATTCTGAAGTTACGAACTACTCTTGAAAGTATTTTCTTTAAACATCATCTACACAATCTTATTTTCAGGCATATTCGTCTAGTAATTCTATTTCTTTTTATTAAGAGTAATCTCGTGACGATGTATCCGGTCAAGTCGCCCTCGGTCTATATCGAATTACGCAACCCTGAAATCGATCTCACCCTTTAGTATATGATCTAGCATATAAACGAGGACCTTATAACACCCTATACATGTACCTATATATAGGTAGCTGTATAGTAACTTAGCATCTCCGCATCATCGTGATAAAGACTGACCACAATGCAAATCACAGACGGAAAGTTTGGTGTAGGTCGGTATGGCATTTACGATCCTCAGTGAGGTAGGCTTGTGAGAAGGTTTTCTTACTTTCCCGACCTAGAAATTCCTCTCTATGAGATGCTACGGTGTCCGTGAGAACCTCCAACCATTACCATAAGCGCCTAGTCGCAATAGGCGGACGGTAGAAAAAAAAAAGTAAACCAGCTAATAAGTGCAGCCTACCTTTACTCGGAGCCATAGTCGGCGGGCTTTGCGCATTCCATGTTAAACGAGAGACGATTAAAACTGAGCTTCGAGGCCCAGGTCCAAAGAATTCCCCCAAACAGGAAATGCGTCAACTGTATCGTCGTAGCCGCGAAGGATTCGTCTAATGGTAAAATGCGGCCTGTCACACTCGTCCTCGGTGTCCTGGCAGACTGTCTCCGCAGTAATAACCCTACGCAGTCGGTGCGGTCCTCGACGATCGGAATATAAAACGTCGATCTTGTCGAGCCCCGGGACTGCTCAGTCATACTGAAACAAGACGCTGATGGATTCACCGTGGTGGATGCGACGAATGGCCTCGGCAAATATAGGTGCCACGTCTAGTACTTCGAGCTTAGGGCATAGCCTCTTGTGCTCGTCCTGAGGAACCGAGTTGGTCACGATCGCCTTGTCAATGGCTGAAGCATTGATGCGCGCGATGGCGTCACCACTGAATACACCGTGGGTGAGGAGCGCGTAGACAGCCGTGGCTCCCTCCTTGCGCACGAGCTTTGCAGCACGTGTGATAGTGTTGGCGGTATCGGCCAAATCATCAACCAGTATACAAACCCGGTTGGCAACATTACCCACGAGCATCATTGTCGCATTTTGTCGATCTGTGATCCGCGTCGGCCGTCGTTCCTAGTCACCGAGTGAGTTTGAAGACGTGTACCGAACACATTCACCTTACCTTATGGATGAGGGCAAAGTCCATGCCCAAGCTATCAGCGATGGCAGTGGCTCTTTTCGCGCCACCGGCATCCGGACTCACGATCACGGCTTCCTTATAGTCGGGAATATTCTGCTGGATATATCGCTTCAGCAGGGGTCGACCGTACAAATTGTCCATGGGAATGTCGAAAAAGCCCTGGTATTGAGGATCATGAAGATCCAGAGCAACAACGCTACAATTTAAGTTAGCTGACATCCAAACAATAAAACTACCTAGTGGAAAGGCAGTTACGGGGGTTTCAAGACAGAAGACCCCAAGCAACAATAGCATATCCACTTTCGAGCTAAGGAGACACATACTGGTCCGCACCGGCACAGGTCAACAGATCTGCCACCAGAGTTCCAGCCTGCGCAACCCATCTTTTATACCCAGGCTTGGCCTGAAAGGTAGAAATAAGTGCGGGGTTCTCATAGTCGTGGGTAGTGTAGCTTCCTGTACGCGAATGCGTGAGGTAGTTCTGAGCCGAAGGGATGTCTCCTCCATTCGTGTTCCCATTACCGTTAAAATAGTTCTCACTATTAGTACGAGGTAGACCATTCGGGATGCCGTTAGAAAGGGAAGTTTTGCTCATAACCCTAGCAAGGTCGGTCTCCTTGCCAAAACTGGCGCTCTTGATGATTCCAGGTGCAGGCGTGGCTGGGACGCTCTCGAATGTATACTTGTCCTTGGGGACTTCAGTTGGAGGTCTCGACAGAGGTGCCCCAACTTTATTATAGGGCAGGTCGGGTTGTCGAGAGTAGGGAAATAATGGAAGCACAGCTGTGACGCGCTTTGCCGAGCCCGTTTTACAGGCAGATATCACTATTTTACTCTAGTTAGTTTCGACATATATGAGGACTCGGGGTTGAGCTATGGTGCGTACTGATGCAGAGCTCTATTAGGTGGTCATTCACGGAACCACCTCCAGACTGGATGATGAAAACATCCTTGCCTCTCACAGAGTCCTGAATCTCGCAGCGAGTCTCGCCGACAGAAAATTTGCTCAATATACGATTCCCGGGAGGGATTCCAAGCATATTGCACACAGACTCCGAGAGGGCTGGGTGCGAGTTCCCGGAGAGGATGACAATGTTTCTAACCATCTTGGTGATCTAATACGGGAAGAAAAGGCGGTGTCGAGAAAAGAAGGATGACCTTGGATAAAAATATATGACCGGTTTATAGAGGAGGGTTCAAGGGTGTTATAGGTCGCGTCGTATGCAGTGCCTGCCGTACTCGAGGATGGGTTCAAGGTTTACCGCTGCAGAGCGATCCTGTTTTGGTCCGATTGCGGTGGTAGTCCTATGTATAAAGGCGGCACTGTGGTCGAGCTTCAGATCTTGACAGGAGACGAAGAGGTCACAAAAAGTCCACAGGATCGAAGAAGGAAAGCGAGACAAGACCGGGTCTCAAGCTGAAGGGACGGTGAAAAAGTTGGTAAAGGAGATCCTGAAACCTCAGAGAAGATCCATGGTGAAGATTGTAATAACGAGTTTTAGATGGAACTGTGCGCAATCGTACTTGTTGAAAGTTTGGTTACAGCTGCATAACAGGAGAAGAAAGATTGGAGGGATGATTTTCCTTGAATCCAATTGACCGCGGGGCTCACCACCTGCAACGAAAAAAAAAAATTCTGCCGGGTTACGCAAACGGAGCTCAGTGATGTTAGTGGACAATTGTGGGTACTATTTCGGTGGCAATCACTGCGAGCTACTCGTGCCACGCCCCACTTAATTTTGGTTTCGCAAGCGAGTACCAGTCTTAACTGGTGCTTACCACTATTATCCACACATCACTATTATCCCCATTATCATTATAAAAATTCATTTAACCTTCATTTTTAAGGTTATATAATTCGAAAAAAAGATTTTAAATATATTAAAATTTAAATAATATAATAAAAAATTAAAACAATTATAATTATAATATTTATATTATATTATATATTATTTTTTAAATTTTTTATATAATTTTTTATATATAAATATATTTTAAAAAGAGCAACACTAAATCGGCAGTGGGGGGCGTAATATATCGGCAGTAGCCACAGTCAAAGTGGGGCAAACCACAGGTACGTACCCCACCATACAATTTTTCTAGTATCTTTTTGTACCTCATGTTCATTCTTCTTGTACATGCACTACAATTCTTATACAACACCTTTCGACCAGATGCGCGCCCTCCTATTGGCTAAATCCCACCCTTATCCTTATCCTTATCCTTATCTTTATCCTTATCCTTGCACCACATCTCTAATGCAGCCTCATATTACACAAATTGAATTTAATCAATTCAACAACGATGCAAGGCCTTTATGTCCTTATTCGATGCAAGATTCTATTGCTTTTATTCGGTCGCATGCATCGGCTAAAGACTATACGGTCGCATGCAGTCATTTCGAGGCAAAATGGTTGAAAATAAGGTCTTTTTGAATAATATAAGGTTAAGTAGGTGGCCAATCTAGGTGGCCAATCAGATAGCCGTGTTGTACGAGGCTATTGGATTAGATAATGAGGCTGGCCAGTATATTTTAAGAAATTGGGGATTGCGCGGGGTTGGCATGAAAGATACATGCGCTGCTAGGTAAATTTGTATGGGAAGTACATGTAGTTACAATGCGATTGTCGCGTGACTCCCAATTGTGGCTAGATAATGTGGCTACTGCCGATATATTACGCCCCCCACTGCCGATTTAGTGTTGCTCTTTAAAAAATATAAATAAAATTAATTAAAATATAAAATATTTTTTTTATTTTTTATTAATTATATATATATAAGTTTTATTGATTTAATTTATAAAATATTACGTAATTAAATTATTATAAAACTTTTTAAAATTTAATACTTTTTAAAAATATATTTATATTATTTTTAATAAAATAAATAAAATACTTATAAAAATTTAAAACATATAATAAAATTATATAAAATTTAATTTAAATAATTATATTTTTTCCTTTTTATATATATAAGTGGTTAAAAAGTTATAATAAAAATTAAAAAATCTGGGGATAATTGTGGTGTGTGGATAATGGTGGTAAGCACCAGTTAAGACTGGTCATGCTTGCAGAACCAGAATTAAGTGGGGCGTGGCACGAGTAGTCAGTACTACCTTATGTACATATGTACATACCCATTTACGACCTGCTGCAACCTGCTGCTACGTGCTGCAACTCCACTTATAACCACTAAGGTTCAGGCTTGTCAGCCGCCGTCCCAGAAAACCCCTCGGCTGTGTTTCATAGCGTAGGTCTACATACAATGGGGCGTTACCGCTAATGTTCTTTATTTGGGGAGTAGCCGTTATTGGCCGAACACCTCCTAGATTTGCCGACTTCATGCCAGGATGTACCATATTTGCTTCCGTTCTACCTTGGTAGTTCAGCCTAGTGTAGTCTGCTTCAGACAACCTTGCGAACTAACCCGTCGTCATTGAAGCTAATATCGCAAAATGCAAGTGCTTATGTATGTACCTGACATTCATATCAAATTCTTCAATGTTCACATTAGCGAGAATCCAATGAGACATTCCCTATTTGTAACTTTTGAATACCTCTTATAGTCGATTCTTGAGTTTGCATCATTTCAATATTAAGATGGTCACACTACCTAGGTACCTTTCATCCGATCTCACCGCCAAGAAGTCGAGGCCATCAGATCTAATTACCTAAGTCAGATGGCCAGATTTGAAGCCACAGCATCAATCACATGAGGCTGAGGCACGTACCTTTTTGTTTACATTCAATCAATCTTTCACTATCTGTTATTTTATTATTTATGCTAGAAAGAAATTTATAGCATCTAGATTTGAGTTGATGGTATTTAATAATTAACTAAGCTGTACTTTCTTGTAATACTTAGTTACACAAATCTGCTTTTTACCTTTTAGTCTTTGCCATGCCTGAGATTGCCGAAGGTAAGACTGGAAGCTTATAAGCGTTACATTGTATACCCAACCCGGACGCGTGTATTATATTAACAGTGTAAAGTCGCTCGCGTCGTCCATTTCCTACGCATACATTTAACTGGTAAGACCATCAGTAAGGCGATAGCTCCAGACGATAGCAATGTATTTGGGAAAGTTGGGACGAGCGGTCCTGCATTTGAAAAGGCCCTCGCGGGGAAGAAGGTCGTAGAAGTCGGGAGTCAGGGGAAGTATTTTTGGATGGTATTGTCTAAACCGCCACACCCGGTTATGCATTTAGGTAAGTCAAAATAACTACTTCATATATTAGATTTCATATTAATGCTTAGGTACCTATTTAATAGGAATGTCCGGCTGGGTTCAGATTAGGGGTATACAAACAGGATATACGCGCTACATCGAGAGGACAAAAAACGACAAAGAGCAATGGCCCCCCAAATACTGGAAGTTCCAGCTTGAGACAGACAGCGATCCCAAAGTAGAAGTCGCCTTCACCGACTTCCGCCGCTTCGGCCGCATCCGTCTTGTAGATTGTCCCGGGGAGGAAATTCGAAAACATTCGCCTCTAGTAGAGAACGGGCCAGATCCGGTTCTCGACAAAGACGTGTTTACCGAGGACTTCTTGCGGCAGAAGATGAAGCGTAGACACGTCCCCATCAAAGCCCTGCTACTGGACCAAGCCACGATTAGCGGGATAGGCAATTGGGTCGGTGATGAAATCATGTACCAAGCCAAACTTCATCCGGAGCAGTACTGCGACGACTTCGACGACGCGGATATTAGCACATTATACAAGGCTATCAAGTACGTGTGCGAGACCGCGGTGGAGAAATTAGGAGACTCGGATGAGTTCCCGGAAGACTGGCTGTTTAAGCACCGCTGGGGCAAGGGGAAGAAAGACTCGGCTACTACTCTGCCGAACGGCGACAAGATTATCCATATCACGGTTGGCGGACGGACAACTTGTGTGGTTCCCAGCGTGCAGAAGAAGAGGGGGCGCACTACTATCAACAATGTCAAGGAGGAATCTGTAGAGGTGGAAGTGGACGATGGGACAGAAAGCCGTTTCTTTAAGGAGAAGGGGAAGGGGAAGGGTAAAGGCAAGAAGCAAGTAAAGAGTAAAGTAGAGGTAGAGGCAGAGGCAGAGGAAGAAGAGCGTCCAAGCAAGAAGGCTAGGACTACAAAGGCAAAGTCGGCTGCACAGGTTAAGAAAGAGGAAGAGGAAAACGAAGACGAGAAAGAAGAGGGGTATGAAGAAGAAAAGCCCGCCCCAAAGGCGTCCCGGAAGTCGAACAAGCAGAAGAAGCAAGAAGCAAAACCAGTTAAACCCGAGCTCGAGCTTGGGAGAAGGCGATCGAGTAGACTCAGTCGTGTAGTGGCCTGACCTAAAAGTTAAAAGGCTGGTGTTACGTTTATCGTGTATAATAACTGATATGAGTATACGGAATAGACACCACAGCCCCTCTACAGGCAGAGTATGTATGATTACAAACATCAATACACCGTGGGCATCTTCTTTTAAAGGTATAACTGAATCTAATTACCTAGGTACCTAGGTATTAAATTAGAACTTGATGGACATGAACTTCCATCTCAACTCCTAAATACATGCTATCACATCGCTGTTCCCACAACCAGATGCACCACCCAACGACCACATATAGTAACATTATAGTAACATAGGTATAAACCCACAGCCGAGTACAACAATAAGTACCTCTTAATTTTATTATTAATAATCATCATGCATTATGAGTATGCCCTTTGCAACATAACGCCTTGCAATAGATAGATATGTATGTTAGACATACCTGGGGGGTATCAGTATCAGCAGTACTGCTCCCCTATTCTTCCGCAGCTGCATCTAGCAAAGCCCATACTACTACTATTCCCTAGTAGTTAGTTAGTCCTGGCCCACAGCTCGCTGCTATTTCCCCCCTCTTACAACTCCTTCTCCTCGCGACGTCTTGTCACGTCTGTACGGCACGACTTGAACCCTACTCAATGCTCATGCGCATGAGTCCGTCATTCGTATCCACCATCCCCTGGAACCCCACTCGTCCCTTGCCATTAATCATCCTTCCTCCCCCATTTCCATTTCCATTGCCGTTCCCGCCAACACTCCCATTTTCGCTTGGCGTTCCCGTCCCCGACGTCTTATCCCTCTCCCTCTCGACGCCATGATTACTTCCCGGTCTGGACCCGGGCCCCCACGGTCCCCCGTCCCTCTGCAGCGGGCTCTGCGTCACTGGCGACCCGTGGACACTGTTCATGCCCGGGCTGACTGCTCTTCGCTTGAGTCCATGCGTGTCAAAGTAGTCATCATCGCGTCTCCTCTTGTTATTGATACGACGCGTGATCTCTGCTGCAGTTGGCGGTATGCCACCTCCTTGAAGCATGGATGGCGGGAGGAAAGACTGTTGTGGGGTATCCGATCTTTGGCCCTCGCTTCCGGATGCCGGGCCGGTATTTTGGCCTGAACCGAACAAGCCTGGACCCGCTGAGAGGGATGGTGAGTCCATATTTACGTCCTCGCTCATCCCGGATGATGACCCCCTAGGCATGAGGGATGAAGGCGGTGGCGTAACTCGCGTACCTGCGACGCTGCTTGTCTCGGAGAAGGTTTCCCAGAAGTTTTTGCCCTTCGAGTTCTTCAAGGCCTGTTGCTTGAAGCTGCTCGATAAGCCGGAGTCGGTCATCATATCGTCTTCCGGTATGTCGTCGAGAGAATCTTGTGCAGTCCCTAGGTTTGGAGAGGATTGAGCGGTAGACATGTTGGGGATATCAAGAGCCGGCTGTGGACCAGGTGGTACACGGGGCTCAAGGTCCATGTCGCTTTCGCGGACTTGGCGAATAACTTCCGCCTCCCGGCGAGTCTCCGAGTCCACTGGGGCGCTCTCCTCCATGAGGGCGGCACGAATACGCGCGAACCCCTTCGTCTTTGGCTGAGGGCGTGTTTAGCAGGCATAGTTTTAGTACAGGATAGATAGCAAGACTCACTAGTAGACTGCCCCGTCGTGTGACGGGTCGTTTAACAACGCCTCTCGTACCATCTCTAGATAGGGTATCGCTTGCGTCTATAGACTTGTCGTCGCTCTCGCTGCCTGAGATATGTAACTGGTTGGCAGCCCAGCTGATGCTTTCTCTTCGGTTGTGAGGAATAGAAGCGTCCCTAAGATCCTTGACGACGTTGTTAGGCGGCGACTTAGAGAAGGAGGGTGGAGCAGAAGGGCCGAAGCCTAGTCCAGCTAGACCGCGCAGTCTTTTCTTGGGATGTCTGCGCGGCCGTGTTCTGAAGCTCTGAAGACTATTGGCGGCTGGCGACGCCCCTGGCATCCACGGAACGACGTTGTTACCGGAGCCGAATGGTAGGTTCCTAAGCTGCTGGCTACCCTTAGAGACCTGCGGTGTGCTGAAGATAGCATCCTCCATTTCTTCATCCATAAGGTCGTCATCGCCAGAGCTAGAGGATGAATCGGACGCCAGGGGGTTTGTGCTGCCGACGGAGCTAGAAATATTCATGCGCTCTTGATTACCCATCATGGACCATAACGAAGTGGAGGGTTGTTCGTGACGATAATCGCCATTCCCGCGACCGGGAATATTCATGGCGCGTCCGCCGATAGTGGGTGATGAATCAGGAGAGGATTGTTCGGCAAGGGTGGAATGATGTAAGCTGGTGGCGGCTCTGGAAAAATCAAGGCCACGAGAGCGACGAGGTAGGATGTTGGTTGGTGAAGCATAGATCTGCGAATGATCAAGTTTAGGGGAAAGAGGGGCAAGTTTGACGTGGTTGGGTGTTTGAGCGGGCGAAACAGAATCGCACTGTGGCATTTGTATCGACAATCCGCGCATAGGAAATTCTGGTCGTCTAGGTGTGACTGGAGTAGTAGTAGTAGCAATAACAGCTGATGCTGATGCTGATGCCGATGTTGATGTTTCTTGGTTTCTATCCTTAACTAGAGAACTGTCTGTATCGTCTTTCGACGTGCGCCTTGATGCTTCGAGTATATGTGGAGATGGTGATAATTGTGTGCCTCCGCCATCAGATAAACTCCTTGGTTTCGAGAGCGGTGATCTTTCAATATTTCCAAATCCATGATTCCCCTGAGCGCCGTAAGCCTCACCCTCACCCTCACCCTTCATATCTTCGTCCATCACTGCTATCTCGTCATATCTATTTGTAGCCATTCGAGCCTCATTAGGTATGCGGCAGCTAGCGCTTACAGGAGTTCCGTTCGTTAGTTTCGGGCGTCAAAGGATCGTAACTCTCGCGCAGAGTATCGAACTAAACTGTCTTTTGCTGTCGTAGTGATGCATCGCTCATTCGAGATGTGTATGATAGAGAAATATGGGGAGGGGAGTTAAGAATGAGAGTGGAAATTGTGACGTCGCGTCATGTCACGGTAGACGCGGGCAGCGATCTCAAAGCTTATCGATAATAGAGTTGCACGAATCATTGCGACTGCCGAAATCTATTAACCGCCAATCAGCGGTTCCAATGCTAATACATATTTACTGGATGAAAAGTATATTCTATAAATAGATGCTTGCATTGCTGACTTCGATATACTACCTATGTATTCCGTACCTATCTTTGATCTATAAAAGCACTAGTGACTATTGCCTACAAAGAAACGAAGACCTACCATTAAGTACATAGGTAACTATTCCTAATTCATCTTACTGATTTGTTAGTTTCGGGCTTCATGTAACTGATAGGAACATCACAAATCATATGCCAAGTGTATACTAACTACTTAGACTCTACTACTTGTTACACAAGCTTAAACTAAGATAAGAGCCTAGAGCTAAGAACTAGACTTTCCATATGGTAATAATAACACGAGGGACTAAACGAATCCCTTTATTATCACATCTTTTACTAAACAATGTCTCACAAGTATACCATTAAACAATAAGCTAATATAATAAGACTACTCGACCATTCCAGCCTAGCTAAGCTCGAATCTAAGTGCGTCATACTGCAGGTATATCGTCCCCGGCAACAAAGCCGTCTCCGTATCCGTCGCATTAAACGGCAGACTCAATACAAGCTCATTCACGCCCTCCTTTAGTAACCCCGTCGAAAACTCAAACTTCTTACCAAAATTCTGGCAGACGACGCTGCTTCGCACTCCGCAGGACCCGCTACGGTACGACGGTATGATCCACGTCTCCACATCCCGGCCGTTTGCGGCAACGGTGTACGGTACATTGGAGTACTTCTCATTGGGAAGTATCGCCCACTTGTCATTCCCATTAGCCGTTTTCACGCCCGCGAGGTCGATCGTGAGTGTCGCCTTCTTGGCGTCGGCTAGTTGATCGCCGGTGAGATTGAACTGGACGGTCCAATTGTTCACGTTTTCGTAGTACGGCTGCGAGCGGAAGAAATTAGATTTGCCAGGGAAAACACTCCAGTGTATGTAGTTGAAATCTTCGGCCTCCTTGCTCTCCCCGATCTTGAACCGAACTCCGTCCGGGAAGTCGGTTGGGAAATCCCAGTTTGCCCAGTACACGCGGTATTGCTCGGGCTGCAGAGGCTTTGATGTGTCTGGTGCGTAGCCGTGCTTGTATTCGCCTGCTGACTTGTCCGGCGTACCGATTCGCCAGATTTCTTTCCCTGCGCTTTCGGGTTTCCATTGAAACTTGAACGGAGTGCTGCTCCCGGATTTTGAGACTTTGACGTCGTCCTGGATGAACCACCCAAAGATACCATCGGCGTATACAGTCAGCCTGTAAGTGCCTTCTTTCACTCTAGGGATCTCCACCACTCCAGTATCAGGATTTATATCCGCCCAGTACTGCAGACTAGACTGGTCGAAGACATTCAGTTGGAAATCTCGCTTGTTTTCGGCGAGAACAGCAAGGGGTCGCTTTGCGCCTACGGGCAATTCGATCGTCGCCTTGAACGTAGTTCGCTTAGATGTTGGCGCGTAGTTGGGTACGTACTGGGCAATGCTATCATAGAACTCGCTGTTCCATTCCGGATTTGCGTATTGCGCCGCGTCGGCTCTCAGTTCAGCGAGGGTTGTCTTCGGTCCACCCTTGTTGAAATGGTAATACTGCGGTCCCCAGGTGCGATCAAAGCCATGGGTGATGTTAGGAACCGGCGCGCCATGATGACCGGCCACCAAGTAGTTGTACTATTAAGATAAAAGTGTAAGCGTTATCTGTTTCATTGGGGTAGAATCGAAAAAGAGTTGGAAGTCTTACAACTATACCGTCTACAACTAGATCGGAGTGTAATGGACCCCCGTAATATGTCTCCCTCGTGTTGTGAACTAGCCAAGCACCATATGTATTTCCGTCAGAACTGGTCGATCCATCCGAATACTGTCCATGGACATCGTGATCACGCCAAACCTCAGCAAAGGTGTATTTCGTAAAGTAATCCGAGTATTGCTTTACATAGGGATCATTCGTCGAGTTGCCGAGGTAAGTCGTTGCGTCCTGGACCGTGATAGCTTTCCCATTGGCATCAGCCGAGGGAATCGGTGCCCAGTTGCCCTCGCTTCCGGAGAGGTGAGTCCATAACTTTGTGCTCGGCCTGAAGAGTGTGCGTAGCTCGCCAAGTCCTCGGAGGAAAGGCGTCTCTTGGTTGAAATAGGTGACTCGAGAGAACATATGCAGACCAGTTTCGCCTTCTCGCAGAAACCAGTACTGCTCCAATGTCTGGTTGGTGGACGCATATGTATCACTCATTACAACACCGCCATACGGTGTTCCGGTCGAGTCGGTACCCTTTATGAGCTTGAATCGAGCGGTGCCGCCCGGGGTCCAGAATCCGCTAGGAATACAGGAACAATCCAGATATGGCCCTCTCCCGCTACCCGCACCTATCAAGTCCTGTTCTCCCAGTGAGAGCTGAGAAACTGCCCCGTTACTTTTGCTCACGGCCACTGACAGGTCATCATTTCGTAGGAGATACTGGCTTGTAGTCTCTGTAGCCTCCAGAAGCGCCCTTACCCGAGAGGTTAGAATGGCGAAGGTCAACGCCTTCAGCGACACCATGTTAGCAATGAAAGATTTAACTCGGGGTGTATCTCACGCCAAATCGCGTGTCAGGACTGAGGGAAACATGTAAAATATAGTAGCAATAGTGCCATGTCACTCTACATAAATGTTCGGTCATCGTCACCAATTCTTGCGAGGTCTAGACTGCCTAAAAGACTGTACCTGCATCAACATAGATTTCTCGGTCTCTCTTGGACCGAAATAGTATCTCTGCGGAGAGATTATGAACTATTTTATACGTACGATTGTAGAATGCGGGGAATATTGGCTGCGCACCGTTACATAGTTGATTGAAATAGGTTAATTGCTATGGTTCTTGGTCCGCGGCCTCTTATGGGCCATGTACTTTTGGCAAAGTGCAAATGTCAAGTGGTCGCCAAGTCGTATTAGTTCGACCAACTTAAGTTGCGATAATTCCACATATTCAGAGTGAACAGACTTCTCAAAGAGAAGACGGCGAGAGAGACGCAGAAAGAAGCATGGTTATATTAAATCATAATGATACTTCTAGTCAAATAACTTGGAAAATTCATTTATATTGCTTCCAGGAGAGTTAATGTTTCTTTTAGCTAAAGTTTTGATCGCCCATTCGATTAACTAAGTAGATCGTATACTATTAGTCTACCTTTCTCAGTAGTTCCAGTCATGAGAAGAAAACATGTACTTACTTTTATCTATTTTCATAATATTTTATAATATTATGAAAATATTTTTTCTTTTTTTAGGATTTAATAAAAGTGGGAATAGCCTCTTATTCGCCTTAATCCTTGCACGCTGTCCCTAATTACAGGACTAATCCTTAATTAAAGCGCAACACCCTAAAGGGTGCGGTCGTCATCGTCGAGTATACGAAGACAGCACACGTAAGTTTAGCTCGGCAGTTAGTTAGTTATTTAATACTAGACCAATTTACTCTTTCTATTACCTAAACCTAGTAGCAATTACGTCTCCCACCGGCACTATCATGACCTGTATGGTTCAACTTGAAGAAACGGTCAACAAGGTCTAGTTTCAGCTTAAATAACCCACCGGTTATATACATACAAGCAGTGCTATAGTATCTTTCATATTACGTAGAAACTCCCACCGCCCCGCTCTTTATCGTTCGAGTGCAATTTATCCCATCAATCATAGCCTGCTTCTAGATAGAAGACATTTTTTTCAGCCCTACCGTAAATAGGGGGGTTACTCGATAGCTCGACTTCACATAAAGCTACCCCTGAGGCCTTCTTTATAGAACAACTATTATCCTCGTTATTCTGTAACCAGTAATAAATCCCAATAGACGTATCTATCTCAAGCCACCGAGATGCTAGTATCCAGAGCTACCCTCATAGCAGAGTTTATCTCTAGCTGCTTTATTCCGTTAGCTTTCGTGGCCGATATATCAAATGCGGCATCTATAGCACCGGTGCTTGAGAGTATCTGTAAGTAACCAGAACATATCGCAGACAACTCTTACCAGGATTCTTTCTAAATGCTCTACAGCTCCTATCAGGGGCTTTTCTAAGAAGGCCATCACCGTTGATGTGAACGCCACGGAGCCTGCCATTGATGACTACATCATATCACAATCTCCCATCAAGGGAAAATCCGTCTACGCAACCTTCAGCGCAGCCATCGCCGCTATTCAGAAAGTGTCAAGCACGAAAACCGTAACTGTATTCGTTTACCCCGGCACCTACAAAGAGCAAATCGTCTTCAACCGCTCCGGCACCACCATCTTCCGCGGATACACCGAGGACACATCCTCCAACAAGCACAACCAAGTCACCATCCAAAACAGCCACGGCGTCGACACCCAAAGCGGCCAGAGCGACTCCGACTCCGCGACCTTGTATTCCCAGGCCTCAGACATCCAGCTCTACAACATCAACCTAAACAACATCTTCGGACAGACCCGTAACTACGCATCCCTAGGCTTCATCATCGGCAACAACGGCCGCGCCGCCTTCTACGGATGCCAAGTCACCGGGAACCAGGATACATTCGCCACCAACGCCGGGACCAGCGTATTCGCGTACAACACGCTGGTCGAGGGATCTATTGACTTTATCTGGGGCGTTGGATCGGCTTATTTCCTTAATTCTACGATTGTACCCAATACCAAGGGCGGGTACATCGCGGCGATGAAGCGAGCGTCAGCCAGCACTCCCGGCGGCCTCGTGTTCGACCAGTCTACCATTGCTGCGACGGCGAACGCGGCTGCTGGATCTGTGTTCCTGGGCCGTCCGTATAACCAGTACTCCCGGGTCGCGTATATTAAGACGTACCTAGACAGCTCGATTGCGCCGGCGGGGTGGTCCGTCTGGTCGACGACAGACCCGCGGACCGATGGGGCTCTGCTTGGCGAGTATCAGAACTATGGCCCTGGGGCTGATACTAAATCCCGCGCTTCCTTCTCGCAGCAGCTCTCTAGTGCGGATGTCGCGCAGTTCCAACTTTCTACTTTTTTCTCTTCTCAGGGGACATCATGGTAAGTCCTATAACTTAGAATCTAAATGTTTCATAACTAATGGTCATCGCAGGATTGATATGACACGAGTTAAAACTACCCCGTTTAGCCTCTAGTTCATAGTATCATATAGGGATTTTGATGCTTTGACTTTATTATTCTGTTTAGTAGTGTAGTTATTACTGACGTTAGGTTCACAAGCTACCCCTTTTCAGCGTTCTCGACGATGACAAAGAGAAGCAATCAAAGTACACGACTTCATTGAGCATGGAAGACTTTCTAATAGAAATGATATTATATGATCAACTGAGTCATCATAGTTCCAGTTAGTCTAATAAAGAGTTACAATTGCGGCTGAACAGCCTCGAGTTACGAATTTCCAAAAACATGCTGGTATGCCGCCCCGTGCTGGAACTTGATTTGCACTTCCCCTCCCGGAAGTTGCAATACAGCAGCATGGCGTCCAATTATTGATTTATCATTGAGGGATGCTGCAAAGCTGTACCCATTTAAGAAGTTGTATCCCGTCTCGCTTGTATGCAGACGTCAGCTTCCAATAGTTACATTTTGTGACAGCAACGCCAATTAAAATCTTTATTTTTACAAATACAGCGTCATACCTGCAAACTCCTTGCCTCATGTATCGAAGAAACTACGACTATTTAAAAAGGAGAAGCGAAAAGAAAGACGACAAGCGGTCTAGGGAAGCGCAGATAACCCCAGAAGAGACGCCACGTCGGAGATTATGATACAGCGGTTAGAGGTTGAGTTGCGCAGTCTCAGCCTTTGCAATGAATTCCCGGTACGGCTCCAGCTTCTTCTCGATTTCTCCACCTTTGCCACAATACCTATCAACCTATTGTTCATAATTAGTAACGGAGACATGTAGAGCGTGTATATATAGGCCAAAACCGTAGGGGCACCCTTATGAGTATGCAGCCCATGGGCGCCTTCAACAGGCCCTATAATACAGACGCCAAGAAAAAATAAGCACATACTATTGTGGTGCTTCGACCAATGTAAAGCTTGGGGTCCAGCATTGCGTCGATATCGTCCCAGATATCTTTGAAGTACTCGTCTTTCTTAATACGCTCGATAAGGTCATTGTTGCCACCCTGTCCTATGTTAGCTTTGTACGTAATCAATACCCCACGGCTCTTGATGTTGTTCCATTTCAAGCAAAATGGGGTTTAAATCCGTCTATATCAAAGAAGGGTTATAACGCACTGTGAGAGCCAATTAGTATATATTCAATTGCATAACAAGCTATCCGGGAGGTGAAAACCAGGGTTATGATATGATGTACGTACCCTCATGCTTGACGACATGGCTAGCTTCGTGGGAAAGAACTCTGACTTTCTCGTGCGCTTCTTGTCGGGAACCTCCTTTAGAAACTATCTTCATCAAAATAGCTTCAGTAATCATCTGTAATACCCGAAATTAGTAGACCACCGGTAAACCCTAGATTGTGATAGACATACGAAGGGAAGCTCCTGCTTATTCCGCGCATCTATTCGCTTCGGGTAAACAACCAAGCCATTGGTCACGTTATCAAGGCCGATTAGTATAGCATCAGCTAATAGGAACTACGAATTATCAGCTCTTAGTTTCTTCCGGATGAAGTTATGGCGTTGAGTCTCACCATTTCGGGGATGTCTATGCGACGAATAGCTATACAGATTTATACATTAGTGGTATATACTAAACGCGGAAGAAGCCGCTGCTCACCGCTATCACTATAACACCAAAAGTCAGCGATTGATTCTCGGAGTAAGGGAATCAAAGAGCTAAGACTTGTCTTGGGGACAACTACTTTCAAGCAAGCTCGATCATAGAGTCTTAGCTCCAAAAATAAGTGGAAGACATGAATAAAAAGGGGCTGCCTACTCTAGGGATCTTTCGAGCCACTGTGCTGAAAATGTATTGGAGAAGTTGACTGGAAGGCTCGCAAGTTTACGGCCAAGCGAGCAGATACGCTCGGAACTAAATCGAACAAGTTAATATCATATTGGGCAGGAAATATCATAATTTTCAACTCGGATACTCTAGTAGGATAGTAAAGAGAGCAGGATTGCACGTACCGCATAGGGTTTCTCTTGTATGCCATGGCAGAGCCTATAGTATCAATATTAGCTATTGTAAGTCATACTATTCGAATCGGAAGTGTAACTTACTTCCGATCTGGTCTTTCTCGAATGGTTCCTCCCTGATTATAGTGTTAGCCGGTAGCGACACAATCCTTAAAGACAGTATTTTACGGACAATTCCTTTAGATTCGCAAGATGACGGACTAATGAAAGTTAGTTCCCAGTATAGCACTGTTAGCTTTATAGATTGGTAAATTGCTTACTGTCAGATGTGATACGTTGTGCAGTAGCACCCAGGCCCGCGATAGCATTAGAGCTACAACCATTAGTTAGTAAAAGCTTTTAAGGTATATAGATAAATACAGTATATTTTAGAAGCGATAGATTCGTTGTTGTATGTATTAGAACCTCTAGCTTTATGGATAGATTAAAGAAGAAAGAATGTCTCAACAATACATACATGCGAAGATCGACCTTTCTTGTATATGTCTGTGTAGATATAGAGTAGCACTGTAACACCTAGGGTTAGAAGATTTTTCGGTATGATTGGGGTTCCCACTTACGCTGGGGAATCCAGCTTTCTCGCAGAGAAGAGCATTTAGTCGATCAACTTTAGCTTCGTCGCCGTTAAAGAGCTCAAGGAATGACGCTTGGGTGCCCGTTGTCCCTTGACCTCCCCGAAATCGAAGTTCTTGGCGGACATGCTCGATGTCTTCAAGATCCATGACTAGTTCTTGAGTCCATTCCGCAGCTCGCTTGCCAACCGTAATCATTTGGGCCTAGTAATAGTTAGCAACGACAAGATCTCATCGTCACTAGTGGAAGACTTATGGGGAGCATAAGAACTGCTGGCCTTCGTAGTCGTAGAACCAAAACTAATGTGGGAAGTTGTCTTAGAAAATGCTTACGGGCTGATAATGCGTGTAGCCTAGAGTTGGCTCCTCTCGCCACTTCTGTGCAAAGCTGGATAAGTTGCTACGATACATTAATATTCCTCAGCAATAGTTCTCAGTCTGCATTTCACTAACTATAAGATATTAGTATTGGAATCCGACAAATGGGAGGGCCTAAGCATCTATATATTGACTTACCCTAATGACCTTGGCAAGCTTAGGCAGAATAAGATCTATCGCATCGCGCATGAGGATTAATTCAGTGTTATCGGTAACTATAAAAAGGTTAATAATGATATGTTAGACAAGGGAATACGTCGCGAGTTACCATAACATGAAGTAGCCTATTAGGTCTTATTAGCATTTATATGGCTACCTTGTATATTTATAAGATGATCATACCCCAGCGTGGATAATACCGGCTGCGGCAGGCGCCACAATACCATATGCATGAACGTGGCCCATAACATCGTGTCGGCGACGGCGTTCCTCTTCTATAGCGATGTTGAAGTCATCATCTGTCACGGTAAGGTGGGATCGCATCTGTTCGAGCGCTTCGTCCGTGACTATGGCATTTAAGTTAATGAAGATAATTCTTACGATATTAAAGGTAATTATTGGCCCTTGGCAATGGCAATCTACGAGTCTACTATGGGGGAATATTCCAACACGCAAGTAATAGCTCAGAGGTAAATAAAAGCAGTGAATTACTTACTAGACTCGAGGCCGAGTTCCTTCTCGGCTTCGGCAAGCCATAGCCAAAGCTGGCGCCAAGTGCTGTGTCTGCTCCTTTGGCTAAACAACTTCTTCATCTCCTCGCTGGAGTAGCGGGAATCCAGAGGCGTTTTGTAATAATCGTAGCCTGCCATTGTAGAATACCGTTGTGCGAAGCCACTCGGGTAGGTTGATAAATATGATAGGCGTCGAAGTATGATTTTATCGCGCAGCGAATTATAAAAGTACCTGGTGGGACAGAGGCGCACAACTGGAACTTATGAATGAAGAAAAGGGGTTAGATAACCCGAGGTAGGAAAAAGATCTAACCTGATCAGCCCAGGGTAAGATCACAAGGCACAAGAAGAAAATAAATTAGCTTGAGGAGTTCGCGTTATAAGTTTATGAGGTAAGGATGCGTTATGCGCAGAAGACGAGTACATTTATGTAACCTACCTAGGGTAGTATACGAATGTGTGTCCTAGGGCCGATAATTTTCATATTGCCATTTGGCGGGGTGGATGGCGCAAAAAAAACTCTATGGAGGGGTAATTTGAAACCTTAAATAGAAGGCGGTGAATAATGAGCTAAGGCGTAGTTGCAGCTGTTGCAGCTGTTGGTGTCGATTGGCCAATTGGTGTCAGGCACAAGCATATGAGTGCATATACCCCATAGTACTTGTCTAAGTATAGTATATCTTATCCTGCGCATCTGCATTCCCCGAACTTACTTCAAGCCGATCTCGGGTACCGTGGCTAGATACGCGCTGATCCAGCAGGTAAGAAAAAGTATCCCACAAGGTACAAAATGTTGTTACAGAGTAATTCCTCGGCCAATCAAAACTTTGCTAATGATTGAGGACGATCCCTCGTTGTTTAAGCCAATTAGAGTTTTCATAATCTAAAGGGGATTACACTCTCGTGTAACCAACTCCCAAGCCGAGATGACTTAAAAGACTTTAGACTATGGCTAGACCAGCGCTACAATGCATAACACTTCCTTCATTATGCCTTGGCTATTGTGATAAGAATGACTTAAATTCTAATACATATAACTTAGAGAAGACTAGGTAGATCAGATAGTGGACATCACAAGTCCGCTCACTGCGTATCAGCTGGTGGCATGTCCCAACTTCTTATGGGTTTTCCGTTTTTCTTTCTCTTCCCCAGGGCCGCGCCCCCATCTCCAACAAAATTCATAACCCACTCTCGTACCCTTCTTGTTTTCAGCAACTGGGGATGTGTTGACTTTGTTGATGACAAGTCTCTCATACCATATAATCCGCCTTGATCGTCTCTATCCAGCTTTCTCCTGTAGAGTAGGTCAACCTTGGTCAGGCCCTTTCTCAAGCTGTATCCGTGCACCTTTTTCATAAAGACGCTTAGCGCGACATTCCGGAGGAGTACGATATCCTGTCTGCGAAGTTCTCTGAGAATCTTGCTAGATGATTCGCTAAGCTCCGACGAAAGCCAGAAAGTGATGCTGAAGCCAGATTTGGTCTCATCACCAACGAGAAGCTCAATTAGAGAATTCGTCGAGCCCCACCTGGTTCTTACGGTACGTGGCTCAGCAATGGATATTATACCGACGATAAGGTTGACAGTCATTGTCTGGGGTGCGATGGATTGTAGATGCGACGCTCTCGGCACATCTTCGAGATCACTGAGATGAGTTGTCTGGGCAATTAAAGGCTGATCCCGGCGGGCGGATGAGTTGCTACTCCGGATCGAGTCATATAAACTTATGTCCTCGGTGGTGGTGTTTAACGAAGATTCATCAGTACTGAAACTCACAGGCAGCTGAGAAGATGGCATATCATCGTGGACTGCTAACGAGTGGTCGTAAAATTGCTCTAATAGCTCCTGGCTTGCTCTGTCGGTCCCTGGTAAATCAGAAGTAGATGCGAACGAGGGCGTAAAAACTGTGAAAAAGCCATCGTCTCCATGATAATCTTGCCTCACTTGATGAAGCTGAGAGAAGCCAGTTGGTAATGTAGTTTTTTCTAGAGGTATCGATCTCCAGACGGCAACATCTCGGGAAGGTCCTATAGAAGTACTTTCGGTAATGGAGATTGGATAAGTGTTAAGTCGAGCAAACTGCGATATGGGATCTAAGAACTGGTTTAAAAGACCTGACTCTTTCCAGTCCAGCTTATGACTTTCTGGTGCACCTGCGAGAATTAAAATTCTCCGCACCATCACGACCTAAGGAAAAATCATCATGTCCTCAAAGAAAGAGCAAATGGCGTGTGAGTTATATGAGTAGAAATTATGGTATAGCGAACAAAGTTGTCGTCGCAAAGCATGAATAAGTAACGTTTAAGAAGGACCATAGCAGGCGACGTTTAGGTAGGTACCTAACAATTAATAATCCTAGGCAGTCAGTTTAATGCCAAGAACGGCCCCATTGCCCCACATAATTACTTTAATTTGGTTTGTTGATGCAGTCTTAGTCGGACCAATCACAACAGTTTGCGATTTGTTTACTTGGACTGGGGGGTATGTATTGGGCACTGACCAAGCTGCACGATAACAGAATTGAACCACTTAAATCACCGCTTCTGTTTCTCCAATACTCAACTAGCCGACATACAGACTTTTGAAAGCTCTCTATATCATTAGGCTACAAGTATTTCTCTTTTATATTGGAACAACCATGTCCCAGGAGACGGGACTCTGGAGTGTTCGGCGACCACGAGAAGTATGATACGCGATGCGCCTAATTGGTAGCCCCTTTAGCGCGACGGGAATATATTAGCTAACTAATTTTCGCTAGACCCTTGGTGGCATCAATCCTAACTCTGCTATACCACAACCCGCATCAGCAATGAAGAGATCAAATTCAATCGGACATGGAGGGGGATTTGGAGGTAGCCATATGCGATCGGTATCGGGATCTAGGCAATCCCTTGCGCTCGGGCGCTCCAGCCAACATATGTTCTCCCGATCGTCGTCCGGTACGAACCTAGCCGACATGGGAATGTCTTCAGTAAAGCGCTCGTCATTCCAGAATGTTCCCGGCTCTACAATAAAAAGTTATGCTTCCGGTGGTGTACCGATGCGAAATTCGGAGAACGAACGGAGGAGCAGTGTCTATCGTTCCCGAACCTCGACAAACGGCCCCGGGAATCACCAGAGCTTTTTCCAGCAAGCGCCCCAAGCAGCTGGTGTACCGCGCGATCCACGACCGTTGAAGGACCGCTCATTCCAAGCGCGAATAGGCCAGGAACTTTTGGACTACTTATCGCAACACAACTTTGAAATGGAAATGAAGCATACTCTATCACACAATATAATCAAATCGCCGACCCAGAAGGACTTTAACTACATGTTCCAATGGCTATACCACCGTATTGATCCGAGCTATCGCTTCCAGAAAAATATCGATCAAGAGGTCCCTCCGATTTTAAAGCAGCTGCGTTATCCTTATGAGAAGAGCATCACCAAATCACAAATCTCTGCGGTAGGTGGCCAAAACTGGAGCACCTTTCTAGGATTGCTCCATTGGATGATGCAGTTAGCACATATGCTTGAGGGCTATTCGTCTAATCGCTACGATGAAGCCTGTATAGAGAGTGGAATAGACGTTATTAGCGATCATATTGTTTTCGACTTTCTAAGCTCAGCGTACCGGGATTGGCTTGCTATGGATGAGGATGCCGGTGACGATGATGCTGAGAAAGTACTTGGACCCCACGTGGAAGATATGGCGGGGGCTTTCGAGAGGTCTAACTCCAAGTACCTATTGGAACTTGAGACGCTCGAAGCGGAAAATGCCAGGTTACTCAAGGAGATTGAGGATCTCGAGAAGTCTACTCCAGATCCTCGTGTTCTCGACAACCACTTCAAAATTATGGAGGAGGACAAGGTCAAGTTCGAGGAGTATAATGCATTAGCTTTATCGAGATCTGACAAATACGAAAGCCGCATCCAAGTTTTACAAGAAGAACTTGACAAACTGATGGAGGAACTAAGGGAAGCAGAGGAAGAACGCCGCGCATTACAGAAGGAGGTTGACGACCAAGGTATCAGCATGCAGGATATCGACCGCATGACTTCCGAGCGAGAAAGATTACAGAAGGGTATAGAGTCTGCCACCCAGCGACTTGACGATGGCAAAAAGAAGGTAGCGGAGAAGGAAATGGAAGCCAGCCGTAAGCTCGACGAGCTAGAGAGACTTGTTGACAAGTACAACACGCTCGCTTACCAAATCGGCCTCATTCCTGCGACGGCCGTCAATGCTAAGGGCGTTACATACGAACTAGCAGTGACCGTCAATGAGTCGGACTTTACAGGCTCTATAATGAAGGGATCATACTCGGGTGGAGGGGGAAGCGAACGCCTACTTGCCGATTCTGTGACGGGCTACCAGCCAGCACATATCCTCAACCTGGAACTGCGCGGACACGTTAAGAACAACTTCCTAGCTTTGCGCAAGGATATCTCGGAGCGACGGACTGCGGCTATGGATGCCATGATGAAGGACCACGATCTGCTTGACGGCATTAAGGAGGCAATCGAGGACAAGCGGAACGAGGTCGAGGCTCTGGAACACAGAGTCAGGGCAGCAGAAGAGGAGTACGAGAAGACAAAGGAGGTATGTAGATATTATGGTTCTTATCTCAACGACGACTGCTTGCTAATAGGCCTTAGGTCACTACGACGCAGAAACTTGCCTCCGATGCGCAGATCGAGAAGATGGAGAAGGAACTCGCCAAGATGCGAGCTCAGCTCACCGAATCCGTACAGCTTATGGAGCAGAGGGAGATGAACACAAACATCGAGTATGTCTTTCATCAACCTAGGGCCCTTTTGTTCAGAATAAATATACTAACATTAAGATTAGATATGAACAATTAACCCTCCGAGCCAACGCGCTACGCGAGGAACTACACACAGAGATCGAGAGGATGCTCAACGACATCATCAAGTTCAAGGTGCACATCCAGAAGAACCTAGAAGACTACGAGGGCTTCGTGACGGACGAGCTCGAGAAGGAGCTCGGCAGCGACGAGATGCAGGATGATACCCGCGGTGTTGATATTTGATTTTTGCCCGGCTGAACTTGCGTTTTAATTTTCACGATGCTATGCTGTACGGAGTTCGGTTGGATGGGTGCGGATGATGACCGTAATGAGGATTCGGTGGACGTTATTGAATACGGGCGGGAATGGATGCCTGATGTATGTATGTATGCCCGCGTGCTTGTGGATAGGATAGAGCGCAGGTTTCAATATATAAGTAACAGCAGAAATTTGATGTTTTGAAGTGACCCTAAGGAGGCATAAATTCTTACGTATGGACTTGAGATATCCTATACTAATATCATTTGGATAGGTCACTTATAGCCAAATATAAACAACACCATAATATTATAGTGATTCTATGCCCATTCCCTACCTATGTTTTCAGTATTATGCCAGCCTATCTCACGTCTCTTGGATGCATCTAAACAAATGCCGCTGGCTTAAGCTGGACCGCCTCAACACTGAGTGCTACCTCTTAACCCAATCGAAGGTCATAAATATTATAACGCCTATTATAAATGAATATGGCGAATTTGACACAATACTTACTTGGACGATATATTATTGTACCTAGAGGTAGATAGCAAATGGCTTACCTAATCAGAGTTTAATATACCCAGTTCATTCACATGTGAATCTATAGTGGGGTTCGAAGCTCCAGGGGGAGTACAACAGCTTAGCTCAACTCGGAGCCCCGCCAAACATCGGCTCCATATCAACTCCCGCTACAACAACTACTATACCTATACCTATACCAATTCACAACCAAGACCACCCCTACCTACCTTACGATCCCATCGCCATCCTTCATCAATCTACTCACCCCTAAACCGACTCTCCTCCATCCATCTCACCATGTCCTCCACACCCACACCCACACCCACAACAACAAACCTCCCCTCCCAACCCCCGCCCCCCTTCGACTTCCCCCGCGAATACCACTTCCCCCCCTTCTTCACCCGCCAAACAAACCTAACAACGCACCACTCCCAACTCGAAAAGTGGTCCTCCCTCATCCTCTCCTACGCCCGCCAACACCGCATCTTCCGCCTCTCCCTGTCCTACGACGGATCTCCCTACGAAGACCTCTTCCGCAACCGCAAGCTAGGCCGGTCGTTGCGCTTATCCGACGCCAGGGAGATATTCGAGTTCATGCGCAAGGAGGGTCGGGCGGAGCCGGTCGCGAGCGGGAAAGACGGTAGTGGGGGGAGTGGTGGGAGTGGGAGTGGAAATGGAGGGGCGGCGGGCGATGTGTACTGGGTGTACTGGCGGACGCCGGAGGAGTGGGCGGGTTTGATCGAGGCGTGGGTTGACGAGACGGCGCAGAAGGGCGCTGTGTTGACGTTGTATGAGTTGACGGATGGGGAGGGGACTAGGGGGACTGGTGAGTTTGAATGTTCTCTTTTCGTATACGCCTAACCTACCTACCTTGTCGTATATATAATACGAGAAAATACCTAGCAAGACAACGAATATAGTAAAAAGCTACGAGTATAAAAAAGTCTACCCACACTAACACAAATCACAGAATTCTACGGTCTCGACCCCGACCTCCTCCAAAAAGCGCTACAAGTCCTCGTCAGGCGCGGCAAAGCACAAATCTTCGGACAAGACCAGCAAGGTGTCAAGTTCTTCTAAGCACGCACCAACCCAAGTCCAAGTCCAAGTCCAAGTTAAACCATAATTTGCTCTACTAGTAACTGCTGTGCTCAAGTATATGTTCCATAATATATACAAGGACCCAACGACAAGCAAGCCCCATCCTGCTTACTTGTATGGGTACGAAGCTACTACTTGAAATGGCATGACGCGGTGGATGGGATGGGATGGGATGGGATAGGTAGCGATACTTACCCCGAGCTGTGGAAAAGGAATAATAGTAGAGATGCTCCGAAACGCCACCCCGTCCAGAACCCCTAGCTATGCAGCGGAAACGCGGAACTCATAACGCAAGCATTACAAACAGATAAAACGTAAAAATGGTATTTACCGCCACGACCACGAACCAACGCCTAGCTTCCTTTTCATGCGAAGAAGTTCGTTACTAGGTACCTCTCGTCGAAGCTAACCTGCTGGGTCATAACAATATCGAGCAGCCAATCGGCCGCGACGATGCGCGGCTCCATGTTGCCCTTGCGCGCCATGTCCTCGAACTTCTGCCATAGCTTCTTCTCCTCGGGGCTCGTGTTGCTAAGTAGGTACACCGGCTCGGGCTCCCCGTCGTCGTCTTCCGGCGCTGTGGGCTTGATCGTCGTCCCGCTGCGCGCACCGTACACCATGAATAGGGCACCGTTGGCCTCGGCAATAGCTTGGTAGCCATGCGGACCGTTCTTGATGCTGGCCGTGCAGTATATGGGCATGCCCCAGAGGAGCTTGCCTTTGTTCGCTCGCGCTCTCTGGACCGAGTCCTCGAGCTTGATGCCGAATTTCTTCTCGTTCTCCTTGTCCTTGAGGATGAAATCTTGAGGGTCCAGAAGCTCTTTTGTATCTAGACATTCTTCAATCCAGCTCGAGGATACAATAGTAGCGCCCTTGGATAGATTACGAAGGAATTTGACTGTCCGTACCAGATGTGGGGCTACGAGATAGTCGCATTGTTGACCATCTGTTACGACGGCAATGCCGAGGTCGCGTAACTTTTTCTAGTAATATGTTAGACAAATATACGATATGAGCGTTCGCTAAACTTACTCGGTCCGCATCCTCCTTATGCTTCTCATTAACCCACCGCTGAAATCCGGTGAGGACTACCCTCATATTCACATCTGGGAGCGTCGGTCTTGCTTTCTTCGCGGGCCGCCTCTCCAACTTTATCTGTTTTTCTTCGCCTCCTGTACTTGGACTCGAGAGACTATGGCGGTTCAGATTTTCCCGGTCGATATAATCAGCTGCTCGTTTGCCACCCCAGAGGCCATGGCCATCCTTAAGCCCTCGTTTCTTTTCCTTTTCGTATAGAGCAATATCAGGCGCTAGGATTGATAACCTATTTAATGCCTTATCCTTGGCGCTTCGGCTTGAAGAAACTGTAGAAGGTGTTTCGTTTTCTTTACCGGCACGGACGTGACGGCCCTTAGCCGGAGTCTTTAGCTCGGACGATTCCCGACGTTTCTGCGGTGCTGGTACTCCAAATACTTCTGTGGTTTTTTGCGCGTATTCGCCATCTGTATCCTTCATAACGTCAAATTCCTTGTGAGCTTGGCGACCGATCGCAACACCTTCAGCCGGGCCTTCGGAGAACGAATTCTCATTGGCCATCTCCAAAACCTTGCGCTTCCGCTTTGATGTTGGCGTAAGTTGCTCTGGGCCGCCGGGATAGTATAGCGCTCGTAGTTTCTTCTCATCTAGAAATGTCTGGCCAATAACCTCGCCAAGATTCGTACGAGCCGGGAAATGAGTATACTTGGGTATTGTTATGCTTTGCATCTCGCACTTTGCGTAGCTTTCTTCGATCCAAAGGTGGTTGACCATATTGATGTTCCAATCTCGGGCAGCCTCACATTTCTCGCTATTATCTCGGGCAGTGATAAGATGTGTGTTGTCGGCCTTCATAGTCTTCGTATACCTTGCGCCAGCAGCAGTGATCAAATTCTCCAGGTATATACGAGCTTCTCCTCCGTAGTTTGACACCGTAATTCGCTTGTCCTTGAAACCAGGGATACCGTCGCGCGGAACAGGATAGTGGAGAAGGCGTCGTAGAGGGGACGTCCATTCGTTGTGGGTGATCAGATGATATAACCATGACAGATTTCCAACGGTCTTTCCGGCCTGCGCGGCGTGTATGTATTGGGGTCCATCACGATATTGGCAGATGAACCAGTCACACTCCTTGACATTATCAGTCATCTCACCCCCGCCATCGTTAATAAGTCCTAAAATGATGTCCCTAAGCCGATTCCTAATCGACAAGTCTGATGACAACATGATCTTTTTTCCGTCAAACACAGTAAGGCTAGGACGAGCTTCTAGAGCGTCGTCGTCGCGGTCGGGGCTAGGTAGATAGTCTGGTCGAGCAGAAGTGGCACCCTCAAGGTGTTGGCTGGGGGGCACTCGGATCGCATCCTCGGGATTAGCACGTAAGTACTCAGGGTCAGGTAAAAGATACGGGCTCTCATCAATTCGCTTTCCCAGCTTGAAACAATCGTCAAACCTTGATCAGGTTAGACCTAACACCTCATATATAAAATGCAGAATATGCTTACCAATGAGGAAGAACAATCTTGCATTTGAGCTTCTTCTCCATAGCTAGCTGACATTTGGGATGGTCCATAGAGAGAGCGCAGATATGGGTAGTAAGCTTGGTGACATTCTCCGAGTCCATTCCTCCCATGGCCATTGTAGCACCAATAATAGCTTCTTTGTCGGTAGGTGGGATATCAGCGCAGGACAATACTACGTCAGAGAAGATCATTCGAGGGTCAGGCGTAAACGGCCGTATCTGAGCTTGCCTCCCCTTGGCTAAGGATGCCGTGATCCACTTAGACTTAACAACGGGGATCATCATAGCCGTCGCGTCGGTATACTGGGGGAAATCGATCGAGTTGGCGATCACGTGGGTCACTTGCGCAAGTGGCAAGGAACCATCGCGTTTTGCTGCCAAGACTGAGCCACCAAACTTGACGAGACTCTCGGAAAGCTTTAATAGTGAGCATAGCTGTCTACAATGAAGTTATTGAGAGCCACGACGTACCTCGGCAATCAATCCCTCGCCTAAGTCCTTACTAAGGACAAAAGTAAATACGCAAAGGCTAAAAAGCCTACCGGCTTCGTCTTGCTCCGCCATATTGAGATATTCAACGCGGATTAGTATTATGAGGGGGTAGTGTCAGTAATTCAGTGCATTCCTCTCATGGACGCAATATCTTAAATTATGAGATGGGGAGAAAAAAAAGAAAAGTGAAGAATAGAATGAATTATTTGCACCAGTGTGTACTAGCGATTACCTAGGTAGGTGAGCTGTCTGTTTTATATCAAGGATAGAAGAAACGGAATTGGCATCAGACCGGCAAGAAAAAGGTGGGACGGGTTGTTTTCTAGAATTGCCCGACGCGTTTTGGGGCACCTAAAGGCAATGTAAAAGGCAATGTACTTAACGCGAGAAAGAGTCGCGGTCAGCTGATTATAGTGGTTCTCTTACGTGCATATCCCGCTGTAAGATCTTAGGTACCTATGCTATCGAGACCGGCACTAAGTCTCTTGGTCCCTTCAACTTGCATCTTTCAGCAACAAGCAACAATCAGGATAAGAACGACATGAAATCTAAAAGAACGAGTATCTTTTTATACCTTTCTCATTAATTAAAATGGCGTGATATAATAAATATCTCAAGCCAATCATGAGTCATAAAAAAGTATATTTCGTTCCAACAGACATTACCTTCTAGTTCTATCATTGGTGCGTATTCTTCAATGTTACCTTAGTTAGGTCACAATTCTCTATACATAGCATCTTGTTTGTCCTGCAGAAAGGCTTCGTAGGCGCTTCTGCCTGCAATACCGCACGTCTCCAAACCAGCATTAGCTCAGCCGACAATTTCGCATAGGCCCCTTAACTGACCTCGATGCGATGTTGCCCACCTGTCCCTTCGGAGATGTGCAGCTGCCTATTTCCTTTTGTTTCGACAGACTTGCCAAGATTCTTTGAGATTTCTTTTCCATCAACCAACATCTTATATCTCTCGTTCTGATTGGGAGTCGGGAGCACTAGCACGCCAGAGGTACCCTCAGGCACATTATAGTCTAATGTATAGCTGCCGTTGCTATTTACCGTCCAGCTTGCGAAGTATTTACCCAAACTAGTTGTGAAGCCACCTTCAGCATGTGATAGGTCTCCAAACTGAGGCGCAATTCGCCAAGTCGAGCCCGCGAGACCAGTAACACTGAGACCGAGGATGTATTCCGTCAACGCTGTGACCGGCCCGGTAGCCCATCCATCTAGAATAATTTACCGTCAGTAATTATTATTCTTTTCGAAACCCCTTTACCTATATAGAATAAGGATAGGAGGGTCAAATTATGAATTTGAAGAATACTTACGAGAGTGGGAAGTATACGAGTAGTTCTCCTCATATCCAGCATCGTGCCGGTAGCCCCAAGTTCCATCCACCAGATAACCCTCGACCATGGTAGACTGCGTACCATTCTCATTGTTCAGATACCAGCCCCAGCTAGTACGGATCAAATCCAAAGCCCGCTGCGCCTGGCCCGCCAATAGATGCGCTTGAATTTCAAACGAAGATATAAATGTCGACACTTCGCCAATTAATTCCGGACTTTCTGCTCCGATTGGGGTCCAGTTCTTAGTCAAGGAAGATGATATATCCTGCGCTTGGTCCGATGTGGTGTTGACCACATCGAAAAGCACTGCTAAGGCATTGCCATCTTGAGGATGTAAGCCAGTATTGCTGTCACGAGATTCGAGGCTATCGTGAAATGCGCCAGACTTCCCGTCCCAAAGTTGAGCATTTATAACACCTCTTAATTTCGCAGCGGCTTCGAGCCACGTCGAATTTACCTCGGTTGTGTCGCCAACCCAAGTAGCAAGAGCGGAACCAGTTATCAGCGTCCTGTAATAGAGCATTTGCGCCGAAGCCAGTGTACTGCTAACATTGAAGCGACCCCAGTCGTCTGTATAACCCGTGATATTGAGCAAGCCCAAGGACGAATCGAGCTGGTTAGTAACGAAGCTCATTGCTAAGAGATACTTGGTCCATATTCCTCGAATGAAATCCACGTCTCCAGAATAGAGGACATAATTGTACGTCCCGATCATCGTCCACCTAGAGAAATAAGTATTTCAGTGTAAGTCTTTCGGTTAACTGCCAACATATGGGACCTTACATGTGGTACGTATCACTATTTTTGGCGAGAAGTGGCGGGCCGGAAAACGGGAGCAGGCCGTTTTGTTCCTATACATAGTGTGAGATTGAGCTCATGTGAGGAGAATCCACATGTGCGAGTCTTATATGAGAGGTGGTACCGACCTGAATACCATACAGCGTCGTCAATGAGTTTCTTACGCTCCTAAATACAATGAGCAAACACTCCAGAACTATAGGAAGTCCAAGACTAACTCAATATCGCCAGTGCTATAGAACGAGGCGGGAATCGCAACACCCATGTCACCGGGCCAGACGGTCCTGTCGCGCTTTGCGCCATCGGTGTTGATAGTGTCGCCTACGCCGATATTCCCGTTATTCAGCCATTGACTCTCCGGGGCAGGCCAGACTCGTCCAGTCAAGGGATGAAGAGCATTTGTCTGCAGAGTCTATAGAAAGTGGAGTTAGCGATTATATGATGTCTTAAAAAAGAGCATCTACATTTTACAAGACTCATTCCACGGGTTCCTGGGTTGACAGAAAAGACTGGTGGCGAGGATAGGAAGCCGATACACAACTAATATGTACTCACATAGGCACCGCTATACCATATCTTATTGAGAAGGTCGTCACTGCTATGAAAATACCCCTGATAGGCGCGGATATTCGACCAAGTTGGCTGGAAGGATATCTCCAAACTGACACCGGTGACCGTAACAAAGGATGTAGCCCCAGTAAGGAACACTGTCATATATCGAAAACCCCCACGGAGTTGCTCAGTTGGAATTTCGTACGTATGGTTTCCGGCTGAGGAAAAGTTGGCGTACAGTGCACCATCATTCCTTTCAGATATGTCTGCGCTCTTGTCTGAGATCGGGCCAATATAGTCTTTAGCTTCCGTAAAAGCTATGCCGAGAGCGCCCTCGCCATCAGTAGACGACACAGAGTACTGAATCGTAACAACACCTCCAACTTCGAGACCGAAATCGTAATAGATGCCTGAGTTAGTGCTAGTCAACGAAGCTGATTCTATCGAAATGCTTTCTCTAGTGTCCAACCGGAAGACGGCCTTAGGGGTAACGGTGCGTGACGAGGGAGCAAATATATTTGATTCCCATTCACCGGGGAATGCAGATGTCTCTGCGCCGGTGCATTTCGTATCTCGCCAGCAGGTCTGGGCGCTAACATCTCCCAGGAAGACTAAAACCCAAACTATAAGGGCGGAAACAAAGAGGAATTGAGACGCCATACCGAGACACAATATAGAATTAATCTATTAGATATACCCTAGCCTATTAAGACCTAACCCTATAGTAAAGGGGTCAGGAATAAACTGAGACTATATATTTATAGACGTCAGTCTTGTATGTGGATTGGGTCGCATAAACGGCGATACTATAAGCCCGCGTGATGTAAACAATGCAGTAGCGTATACGGTATAATGTACATAGCATATAAGACAGGAAGGTATGCTCTGCTCGTCCCATCTTCCTGCCGAAATCACCGCAGGCACCCCCGCCTGAACCAGACCTAAGCCGATCGGATGACAACATGTTGGAGACCAAAGACAGGAAACAGGAAAGACCGGATGGAGGCATGTGTCGAAAGCCGCTCATTTGTCAACAACGATTGTTTGCATGCATTCCAGACACAGCTAACCTAGGCTTGTTGTGATCATGGGGTTGTTATGCGGGGGTGCTTTGTTCGGTGGCTCGACAGGGCATGGGTAGGTATGTATTATTCCTCCGCCGAATATAGTGTAAGCCCGCTCCGTTCTTTGATCCACTTGTCTCCGGCATTTTGGTCTAGAGCCCGTACGGATTCCGAGATGTCTTATAGGTAGTTAATTAATTATCTAATAGTAGTAGTAGAACTTTATATTACATAATATTGTCGTTGAAATCTTACTCTTAGGGCGGATTAGTTCAACACCTAAGCTTTTATACTAAGGCAATACCTAATGGGGTACCTCCCTTAGGTAAGGTCGCGTGCGAGATTAGGTTTAGAGACATCCACGCTGTCGGATTTCGTGGTACTAATCGCTAAATACTAATCGCTAAATACCTTAGTATCGAACTAATCGTCTTAAGGGTTTACTCGTCAGATGTTTTTTTTTTTTAGAAATGGAAAGAGGCAACTCGAAGGCATGACGAATAATTGCGCCTTGGCAAACTGTAAAATATTGCCGCAGGGGAATCCAGGTCGCGGGCTGATCTAGTAGACAAACTTTATCGTCTAGTTAGATTTTACCAGACGAACTAACCACGCACCATAAAGCTTTCGGATACTTCGGTAGGTTCAACTTGCGGTCCCATCTAGCAAGAACGTCGCATGTCTGTTATGTCGCTGTCTACATAAGTTGTGGATCCGGTTCGGATTCCATGTATCGAATGCTGTTTGTCAGAGATGGGAGCCCGAAGCGTAAATAAAACCAAGCTTAGACGATATAACGAAGACTATTATAGTTGCTAGATATTGTGTTACGCTCATTAGGTAAATTTGATATACCTATGTAGAACAAGCATATCTCGGAGAATAAATAGGTATACGGATTATATGAATATGAATATTTTTAGTAATGCGCAGGAACAACGTTGTCTTGAGGTTATCATAATTGTTGTAGGTGAGCGATGGACGACATTAGCTCCAGTATCGTTGTAGAAGAATTCCAACACTTAAATATGTAAGGCCAAGAGATGAGAGTCTCATATTGCTAGTTTGGTTTGATTGTAACTACGCCGTAAAGTCTTAAGTTCTTATTTCTATTCAATATACGCTCAGACGTCTTGTCTCCAGCGTAGCGAGGCTGAATAACCGGGATTTAAGAGCCCCGTGGACATGGGGTTTTAGATTGAAGGCGTGTGTATTTCTGCGGACCCTAGCTGATGTGTTGAAGAGAGCAAGCAAGCACGAAGTTATTTCTAAATATGGCGAGAAGGAGGAAGCTTGCCAGCCGACTGAGTGAGTTCGGCCCCTATTTAGTGCCATTCGGGGCATAATAGAAAGTGAAATAACATATTAAATATAAGAGGAGTATATGGCATTGGCTTCCCAACTTTCACAAGGCAATATCATCTCGGCGAGTGGGCTAGCCGGGTTTAAGCTGCATTGAGAAAACATTCCCGCTGTTAGTTTGTCGTCATTCAATTTATACGAGTATAGCACATTATATATTATAGCTATAACAGGTTTTTAGTTCGTTCTCACCAAGCCATCAAGCAGAACCATCATCAACCCCATGCTTAGATCTCCTCGATATGTACTGCACGAAAGGCAGATCACGAAGATGCATTGCTAATCATTTATTTTAGGCTTGCACTAAACTTGTAGCGGACTTAAATTATAATGTAGTGGGTCGCGGGAGCCTGCCAGCACTTGATCCGACCTGCTTTAGTACCAATTAGTACTGTGTAAATAAGCTCTTTAGTGGGATTAGTTCCCTATTCCCTATTCCGGGTGTCCACACGTGACAATACCCAGGGTATCCAGGGGGGTTTACCTGCTGTAAGATAAACCCGAGGGAAAAAAAAAAAAAAAAGAAACGATGGCCAGGCGCCGGGCTCCTGATGGCGCTAATGCAACGTTCTAACTTCTTAAAAGAGGGACCGTAATGGGACGTCGATAACTGGACTGGACTGGAAAGCGAAGAAGAATTGGTTATCCTTCCATCTTATGTACCTAACCTATGGATGGATGGATATGAATAACCACTAATACCACCGTAGGACTTTAGACCTTTCTCTTTCTCTCTTTCTAGGGAATTTAAGGAATTTAAGGAATGACTTGGCAAAGAAAAAGAGCGATTAATAGCGATGAGACCATGATATTTGATTTCAGGTCATTCAAGTCATGATATTTTCGGACCCAAGCACCGCTAACTTCGTTGTCTACCTAATAAACATCAACTCCGGAGCCCAACAACTCTATACTTGCAGCTTTGACCGACCGCCCCCTTTATTTACCTTAACCGTCTAACCGTCAAACCGTCAAACCGTCAACTGTTTATTGTCTACGTCCTTAATGTCCATATTCGTTCGATCCCGCTCCCACTTCCACGTCCACGTCCAAACGCTATAATCGCAACAACGACAACATCTTGTCACCTCCCTCTCCCCGACGCGAACCCACCCCCTCCGATTCCCGATTCCCGACTGAAGAGAGACCAGACGCAAATATTGCCAACAGCTCCAATAGTAATACTTACATCCACACACCGTAACCGACCGGCCACACTCTCCTGAACCGTCTTGCATGCATCCCGGACATCTTTTTATTGGATATCGGACGTCAGCAGCGATCTTAGAAATCCGCCCGACATTGTCACCTCCATGATAGTGCCGCGATTCGGACGAGATTCTGCTTCGTGCAACCCGACAATATTATAAGGGGATCCCTTAGAGGCTTAGACCTCGCACGAGGTCGCTACGTACACCCTCGATGATGGTAAGCCCCTTTGTCTACCTAGGATAACATGGTCGCATACCCTGGAACCGGCCTTTGGAATACCATATATTTCATCCCGTGAAGCATATATCAAATACCACCGAGTTTACCTTACCCTGCGTCACCCTTGGCCTATTCCTTCTGTGCTGAGACCATTCGCAACTGACCTGTGCTAAAATCCTTAGACCTCTCAACGGCCTCGCGATGTCGGTGGAAGCTTTTCGAGCCGGCGTGGCCATGCCAACCAGCTTTCCATATCCGATCCGACCCATCACATAACCGAGACCATCGGGACCATGTACGGCGATGACGACGACTACCCGAATAATGATTTACGCCCTATGAGCTTTATCGCAGCTCCCGGCGGTGGCGAGCAGATAACTCAACGTCGCGAGCTAAATCCTCCTTCTCCAGAAGAGCGTCGACTTCCACTTATCCGGACCGCTTCGGATAAGACTGGCTTGCAAACCTCATCTGGTCCTACGACGAATGGGAACTCCGTACAGAAATCGCAAACCCTCCCCGGTCGAGTGCCAAGTCAGAGAAGTACAACGTCGAGAAGCAGCTCATACGAGTCAGGCCCGAAATCACCCATCACTCCCATGTCGCCTACGCTTCGCGACATGCGTGAAGATGCCCAGCAATATCCGATAACCAATATTGATAATCCGAACGATATTGCCCAAGAGCTAAGCAACTTGCAAGCGTTACGGCGCATGTCGATGGATGTCTCTAATAATAGCGACCCCGACCTACTTCCCTTCCAGGGAATGTCTCTAATGGCAATGCCGTCGATAGCACCGAAAGGAGACGACGAAGCAGATCCTTCGAGACTTTTATGGGTTCCCGCCAATGTCCATCCAGAGCTAGCTCCGACTGAGTTCAAGAACTTCGTTGAGAAGAGGGTACAAACCATGAAACGGAGGTCTGCTGATTCATCGCTCTCTGTAGATGGTTTAGACAGGAGCAATTCAGGCGGGTTACGGAGGAAGAAGTCCATGCTCTCCAGGCAAATTGACAATGCGGGGGGTCACGGCGCGGAAAGTTATATGGATGGTGCTGATAGGCTAGAGAGGAATAAGTCTCAAAGACAGTCAGGGCAAGGCCCGCCAGAGCTCAGCCTCGACGATTTGGTAAACGACCCGTCAAAAGTTGTTCAAAAGCTCACTCTTGACTCGCAACGCCAAGATGGAGGGGGTGAAGTACCAAATGTGGACGATATGCCCATACTTCCCGTTGCGCCAGGCATGGGCTTGCGTCGATCAACCCGTACCACGTATCGAAAAGGTGGCAGTCTCAAGAATCGGCAGAGTGGTTCGCTCAGGTCCGACGACCGACTTCCTTTCTCGAAGCGCATAGCAGCAAAGAAAGCCGAAGAAGACTCTAGCGCAATGCCTGATAGTGAATCGACTATTGAGGCACCACCAGGGCACGGTTTAACACGTGTGCAATCAGAACCCATCTCAGATAGCTTTTCGCGACCGTCAAAGCCTATCCGGCGCCAGCAAACCTTTTCCAAAGATACAACGCCAGACTTATATGAAGACTCCGAGCAGCCGGATTTTCAGGAGTCAAGTCAAGCTATTTCCGCTAGGCCGGAGGGCCCAACCCGTACATCCTCTGCTGATGCTATCGGGACTTTGGGCTCGACACCACAAATTCTCGAACAGCCCATGGCAGAGGAGGATAATTCTGGAGCGCAAGCTATAGAAATCAATCGACCCTTCCCGGAACGATCGTCCTCCCAAAGAAATGCTGTCCAGCCCTTATCTCAACCTCCAGCGGCACCCGCTGAGCCTCCAGCGCGTTCAAGTAAAAGACCGAACTATGGTCAACCGCTCCAAAGCTCTTCTCAACCGCAAGCTACAGGTCAGACTACACAGCAAACTAGGACTCCGAGTGGCTCTAACCGACCTCTTAACGACATGTCGCAAAGTCCTTCGCCTTTCCCGGGTAGCAGCGCCACTAGCACCGAGTCTCTGACTTTTATTCCCACATTCAACACACCCGAGGAGAAGAAACCAGAAAAGAAGGGTAAAAAGGACAAGGGCGAAAGCGAAAGCGAAAAGTCCAAGTCTACATCCTGGAAGTGGTTCAAGAGTGACGACAAGGAGAAGAAAAAGAAGGACGATGAGAACAGGAAGTCCAAGACTAAAGGACTTGTGGAGAAGGCCCACGACAACGTTCGTCTCGACGTCCTACAGACCTCGATCGATACAGCTATCCACAAGGGACGAGAGAGCCTACTACTCGACCGTGAAAGCGTCGACGGCAGGCTGGAAGAGGAGAGGAAGAAAGATAGTCGAAAGTCTACTGATCAAAAGAAAGAAAAGGATGGGCTGTTTGCCTCGTTCTTTGGAAGTAGTAAGAGAAGAAGCGAAAGGGATTCGACCAGTAGGAAACATCAAGCTCAAAGATCGTTATCACCAGAACCTGCCCCATACCGACCCCTGCGGCCCGATGTCGACTATCACTGGACTAGGTTCCCTCTCTTGGAGGAACGAGCTATCTATCGAATGGCGCATATTAAGCTCGCCAATCCTCGCCGTGCCCTTTATAGCCAAGTCCTGCTTAGTAATTTCATGTATTCATACCTAGCAAAGGTCCAAGCGATGCATCCTCAAATACAAGTTCCCCAGTCCCCTCAGCAGAAGAGATTACAGGAGGAGGAAAGACGGCGGCGCGAGCAAGAGCAGCAGTACTTGGAGCAGCAACAAGCGCAGGAGAGCATGGATCAGTACAATTTTGAATACCATCGAGTGAGTTCTCATACAGAATCTGATGAATTTTAGCTCTAACCTGTCCTCTGTCCTCAGTCATCGAATCAACAGCAATACGGTGATCCTAGTATGCAGCACGAAGCAGGAGATTACCCAGAAGCAGCTGAGATCTACGACTATGAGCACAACAGCAAAGACCAAACGAGTCGCGGCAATCAGGATGACTACAATAGTCAGGACGGGGATAAAGATTATTACTCTACTTATGTACAATACCATCACAACGAAGACGGCCGCCAGCAGCAGCAGCAACAGCAGCAGCAACAGTCAGGAGAGGAAGAAATGTGGTGATAACCCTACGCATCAGACGGAGATCAACAAGCACACCGACGTAGTGACCATATCAGTGCATTGCCTCGGAGTTTCGGCCACAGGAAGTATTTGCTACGGGTTTCGTGCAGGGCAGCCCATCAGGAGCCCGACGAAAGACACCAACACATCCTTCCTCCTTTCCTATCCATATAAACCCGGGGCTTCCCCCTTTTCGGGCGGGTAGCGGCAGCATCACTAGTGGCCAAGGTTGGATTTTTGAATGGCATTTGCAGCAGGGATATGGAACTGACCAACTGACTGACTGACCTTTTTTTGCTCCCCGGAGTCTGTTCGACTATCTGCTGCTACACAGCTAGGACCCGGCGCGAGCTAAGGCAGGGAAGGAAAAGAAAATTGAGGGGCGGGAGGGAATACATATATTCAGTGCATCATCTACTAGGATGTTTCTAGGGATGAAGCGAAGCATAGCACGGACTGACCTAGAGCGTAGATGGGGTATGGACGTGGGTGTGGTGTCGTGGAATGGGTGGGAAGAATAGCACCCCTGGATCATAATAAGAATTAAATCGGCCTTCGGGCACAAATGTGTAATGTCGGCTTGATTGATGGCGAATTTTGTGATGTTGATGTGATTTTTGCGGACTGTTGCTCTGTACGGTTATATGTTAGGTAAGTAAGGTAGGTACATATACTTACCCAGGTATGCTTAGAGATAAGAGATGAGTTTACTAGACCAACACCGGATATTACGGGTTAGTGTTGGATATCTACTACAGAACAACACTTCGTACCTTCGATGTTATTGGCCTTTATCTAAGATTCACTCGATAAATGGCATGGTAAGTCCATCGAGGATAATAGGGCCATGTGTAGGATAGTGCTACACTGTTGGGTATGAAATTTTATATCATACGGTTGTGTCGTCTAGGTGTTCTTAAATGTGGTTTCAACCAGATAGGTTGAACGATACCATACATACACCCGTTTCTCGACATAGACAGCGCAGCGGTCTAATACGATAGCTGCTGGCACACGATATGCTATCTAGTTAGTAAACCTGCCCTCGTTGTCAAGAAGATGGCTGGCGAGTTGGACTTGTGTATTTCTGCCGCCCTGTAAAGATTATGTATGTATATCCCGTGGCCAAGTACCTAGATGTACCGCAAACGACAGGGTTACACCTTAGATCCTTCGTTTGCTAGAAATTCTACATTCCAAACAATAGTCAACTTAGATTATACTCCGGCAAGTTATGAGGCATCCGGCCTTTATTTATGAAGTACGGAAACTTGATAGGCTGCCTCTCCAGCATAGTGGGCATTTCGGGTCCTTTGCGAATGGAAAATCTTCGCAGTTCTTCCCGTATTTCGGACATGTGTTGGAAGTAATTTCCTCTGGCTAATAAATGGGACCAATAGGGGGGAATATTTCTCATTTAATTTCCGCTGATGGTTTGTGTGATAATGTCTTCGTTTACTGTATGATAGACTTAGGATTGGCCTTAAGCTTCGCGTTAATATAAGTACTGGGTTTATTAGATATATGTTTTTCTGGAATATAGCACTTCTAAGTGGGTGGCATCTTTGCTTCTTGACTAGAGGTAGATAAAATATAAATTCGTAAAATATGTAAATCTGTACCTACTTATTATCTGGCCTATACAACTCAGAGTATACTGTAGTCTCCTATGCTTTAAATTATAGACTTTTATAACTTAGTTATATTTTCGGAAGCCTTTCTAGTTTGCCTTGTTAAGCAAATATCCTCGTAGGTCGCCAAACTTATAAATTAACAATCATCCTACGATTATAATCTCTGGGAAAACTGGCAATTGGGTATGTAAGACAACTAGAAATCCACACAGCTGTGTACTACCAACCGTACCTAATGTGACACGGGCGTTTGATAGATGTAACAAGAATATAAATCTAGACACTTCTATCAACCGAGTCATATAGGTGTCTAACCTATAAGTATTCACCTAGGTATATAAATACGTGCTTAATATAGAAAACATTATAATTCAAGAGATGTCTTCAATATACATACATGTATGAAGAGGTTTAGGTACCTAACCTACACGTAAGGTTAGGTAAGGTTAGGCATTAGGTACGTGCACTAGATAATTAAGAAATATTTCAAGTACCCTATACCTTGCTCCCCCGCCATATATGACCGGGTTCTTGAGTATCCCGCTACATGCAAATGATCAAGTGGATCGAGGCTGAATATTCTAACCAATCACAATTAGTAAAGCTTGTGATTGTCGCGAGTTCCTTAACTCCCCCCAGTCCAACTTTTTCGGCGCCCCAAACCTTCGTACACTTGCTGTCGCCGCTGAAAATCCAAAAAGTTACCGACCTCACTCATCACCTCCTTCCGATACGTAACATTTCTACTGGCAAACGGCCGTCTACCTCGAGTTTGCATCTTCGTAGGTCGTGCCAATATCAATTCTTGATACATTGTTCATTTTAGATACCCGTTCTGTTCATTTGCCATTGAACTTACGACTCGTTAAACGTCGTCGAGCCACCTGGCCATCTCGAGGTCTTCATACACGCGCCTCATCTCCGACTACTCTTCCTCCTCCTCTACGATTCTATACCTTACGGTAACCCCCGGTGACGGCTCTCAGGCTACGACAACTGCTTCTCGGCACATCTTCGACGTCCCTCATTACCGCGGAGACTGATTGTCCATGGCTGTGAGTGCTTGTTCTAATTGTTTCCCAATCATGCGCGTACAACCTGCACGTTAAAAGACGGGATAGTTTCCTTCTTAAACTTCAACAATCACTCTTGAACTTATTACTTGAATTATACCTTCTCATGATTATTATCAAAATCTTCGAATGCTTTCGTAATGTATCGTATTCCCTTTCCTCCCACCCAAAACGTCATGGCGCCTCCTAGTGGACCTGAAGCTTCTATGCTTCATCAGCCTCATCCGCTTCATTTACCTCTACCACCTCCTCTGCCGCTGCCGCTGCCGTTACATCTACAGCAGCAGCAACTGCAGCCGTTCCCACCTCAGCACTTTCCCGCTATTCAGCACTGTCAACACTGTGAGCACTGCCAGCAGCATCAGCACCAACATCAGCAGCACCAGCACCAGCACCACCAGCATCGCATGCTTCCTCTCCCACAGCACGGCTTGCGGGACGGAGCAGCTTTCATGATGCCTATTCCAGTCCCCCCAAATCTACCCAACATCCAGTCTCACGACCAGCATCGCGCTATTGATCGTCTTCACCACACTATCTTAGGCGGTAGTGATCGCCCTCATCAGCAGTTCCCAGGCGGTGTTCAGTTACCTCGCCTGCCTTACTCTGGTCGCCAACTCATTCCAGAAGCTAGAAATGATCCTCGATCACTCACGGCTAACCGTTCTCAGCAACGCTCTTACAACAGCCAAGGCTATATGCCCAACGGCGCTCCCAGTAGCCACCCGAACCCTGGCCAACCTGCGCCCGGTGCCGTTCCTCTCCTACCTAATCAAGGCCGAGTAATCCAGTCTGGGCCGATTCGAGTTCTTTGCATAGCCGACGTACGAGGTAAGATAAACTTGTTAATTTTGATTAGTAGCGGAATGAAGTTAATAATTCCCCGATAGGTAATCTGCGATCTTTAAACGAACTTGCGAAGACAGCGCGAGCCGATCATATTATTCACACTGGAGACTTTGGCTTCTACGACGACACATCTTTAGAGCGCATTGCGGAGAAGTAAGATTTGGACTTGTTCTTTTGATTTTATGAGTTGAACGGTATTCTAACTGCATTGTGAAATAGGACTTTGAAGCATGTCGCTCAATACTCGCCGTTGATCTCCGAGGAAGTCAAGAAGGGTATCAGTCAAGGCGGACCGGGCTCAGTTAAGGCGCGATTCAACCCTCAGGATCTACCCTTATCCGAACTGCCTATGCTCATCAGCGGACAAATCAGACTCGAGGTTCCGGTTTACACTGTTTGGGGTGCCTGCGAAGATGTACGCGTGCTGGAGAAATTCCGATCTGGCGAGTACAAGGTACCGAACTTGCACATTATTGATGAGGCTCGATCCATGCTCTTGGAAATCGGCGGCGTCAAGCTCCGACTTCTTGGCCTCGGCGGTGCGGTCGTCATGCACAAGCTGTTTGACAATGGCGAAGGCCGAACTACTATTGCAGGTGGACAAGGCACTATGTGGACTACCCTGCTGCAGATGGGCGAGCTGGTTGATACTGCGAACCGTGTTTATGACCCTACGGAGACTCGCATCTTCATTACGCACGCCTCTCCCGCTCGCGAAGGTATACTGAATCAGCTATCAGTTAGCCTCAAGGCAGACTTTTCTATTTCGGCCGGCCTACATTTCCGATATGGTAGCTCTTATAACGAATTTAGCGTTAACCCAACCCTGGATCACTACCGTGGTAAACTTGCCGCCTCTAAAGCCTCATTCAGCGATGTATGGGAGACTGTCAAGGGCGAAGTTGAGCCGGCAATCCAACAAAATGAAGCCCAGCAGAATTTGCTTAGGAACGCACTTGAGCTGGTTGACAAGATGCCTAGAACCGCAGCTGGTGGAAACCCCTTTGGTGGCCCGGTCGGCGGTCCCGGCGCACAAGGTCAAGTTGATGAAAGTGCATTCAAGAACATGTGGAATTTCAACTTGGCAGACGCCGCATTTGGTTGGTTAGCTCTGGAGATTCAAGATGGCCGCATTGGTACGGAGATGCGAGCACAGGGGTTCAACTTTTCGCACCGTGGGGCCAAGCAACAGACTGCGATACCTCAGGGCACACCTTCACCGGCGGCTGGCGGCAGCGGTCTACCCCCCGCTGCTCCTGCGACTTCTGTGACGCCTGCACCTCCCGTCGCTGTTTCTCAAAGAAACGCCTCAGCTGGGGCGCAACCTTCAAAGCCTACCGCAGCTACGCCTCTCCAACCACCTAAGCCTGCCACGCCTAAGCCGACGTCCTCATCCCCAGCTCCTAGCACGGCTGCTGGAAAGGAGAACGACAAGCCTGCAGGTGCTAATGGATCAACCAACGGACCGGAAACTGTACCATCGCCGGCTCCTCGGGCTTCTGCGGATAGCATCATCGGGCTCTTCGTTATGAATGTCCAAAGTGACGAGCAAACTCGGGAGATATTCCCTGACGAGCACAAGGTCAAGATCTCCAAGATCGAGAAATGGGGAAACAATAGCAACAATAAGGTTGTTCATTTCCACAGTATCGAGGATCGGGAGGCTGCTTACTCTAGTCTCGCCGACGAATTCAAGGTCCGCCATTCCGAGGACCGATCGAGACCCCTAGTGAAGATATTCCAACCCCGCGAATCCAAGCAGACATTCGGCGGCCGAGGAGCAGGGACCTGGGGTAGTGGCCGAGGAAGAGATAACGCAAGCGGATACCGAAGCGCCGGTGACCGCGGTACTCTTAGCGGTGGTGAGAGCGGTCCCGAGACCGGTCGCCAACGTGGTGGTCGAGGTGGAGCGCGGGGAGGCCGAGGCGAGCGTGGCGGCCGGGGTGGCAGGGGCGGCCGTGGAGGAGTAGGCAAAGCTGAGGGCGGCAGCGCCTCCCCGGCTCCCGGTGGCGATTCGTAGAGGAATCGTCCGACGTAACGGTTTTACCCACTTTGTCACCTATATTCTACTAATGACCTCGCGTAGCCGGGCGCGGGATAACAATTTTTTTGCTTGTATTCTGGCACATCCTTTCCGCGAAGCACAACTTTTCAGTCGTTAACCAGGTGGAGTTCAGAGAATCTGTCGGCCTGCGAAGGGAAGAGTTTCGGAGTGAAAAGAAAATACCAAGTGTCGTTTTCGTCATATTGAAAGGGGAAGGGGGAAGGGGGGAGTGAGACGAGGCCAGGGATTTGAACGGTTGAACGGACGGATGGACGGATGTATATGGTTTGCACCGACGTAAATCTGCCAACGTACTTTCGTACGAACGTTCTTCGTTTCTCTCTCGGTGACCTAACCTACTGAGATGAATAGTTTTTTTCTTCGCGCTGATACTGATGGCTAGCTCGTATGATGATTCGATCTATGGAGCTTGTTCGTAGGGACGTACCCTGAACTTGCCCAGCCTAGTCCGGACTGAAACAGACCAGACAGGATCGGATTGGATCGGACGTTGTTATAGGCTTTTGCTAATACAACCGAATGAATTGAATCCTGAAAAGTTATGATATTTGTGCCACTGCTCGTAGGGACTAAGGTCTGATCTAAAGGGGTCATAACTCGTAGATAAGGTTGAGTGAGGCCTCTTCTGGTAGATTTAATTAGGGGATCTATGATTAAGCCGATGTAGGTCCTTTGAACGTGAGGACTCGTAGCGCGAACCGTGCCATTAATAAGCCTCAGGAGCTTCTCTCCCTTGTCAACCTAACTCCGTGCAATGGTTATGTCGCATATGCTACTTAAAGGGGGGAATCTACAAGCCACGCGCACTTGCGCTGTATTATGTATGGTACAATAAACCCAGACTCTGACCCCTGCTCAGTTCCGTCCAACCTTTTTTTCTACCTGGCCTCGGTACCGTCACGGGCCTATTTTCTCTACGGAGTACATAGTAAGTACGGAACATTGGTAGTGTATGTACAAAAGGTCTTCCCCTCCCCCATTTCCCGATCTACAAGCGGGACCCGGACGAGATCGGATTACAGGGGCTTCATACCCTTGTGGATCGCAGCCACGCCACCTGTCAGATCTTCCCAGCCCTGGCCGCCAACAACGAAGCCGGCGTCCTTAATCATGTCGCGGAACTGGGCCTGGCTGGGGAAACGCTCGATGCTCTCGACGAGATACTGGTAGGAGTCGCGGTCGCCGGCGACGAGGTGGCCGATGAGGGGGATGGCGCTGAAGCTCCAGCGCTTGTATACGGCGTCGAGGAGGGGGTTGGCGACCTTGCTGAACTCGAGGCAGGCGAAGACGCCGCCGGGCTTGAGGACGCGGCGGGCTTCGGCCAGGGCGGCGGGGATGTTGCTGAAGTTGCGGATGCCGAAGGCGACGGTGTACAGGTCGAGGGAGTTGTCGGGGACGGCGGCGGGGGGGAAGGACGTCGCGTCGGCTTCGAGGAAGGAGAGGGCGGCTTGTTGGGAGGCGGGCAGGGAGAGGGAGCGCTGCTTGCCGACTGCTAGCATGGAGGGGTTGATGTCGGAGATGGTGACGTGGACGTCGGGGTTGTGGTTGAGTACGTGTGCGTGGTGTAGCATGCGGAAGGCGATGTCGCCTGTGCCGCCGGCGACGTCGAGGATGCGTTGGGGTTTGGGGGGGACGGAGGAGGAGAGGCCGGGGTTGAGGGAGGAGACGAAGTGGTCCCTGGTGGTGGGATGGGGTTAGCTTGGATTATAGGCTTTGTGTTCTTGTGATGGAGATTAGGACGGAGGTAAGAAAGGATAATACATACTTCCAGACGCGGTGCCAGCCAAATGACATAAGGTCGTTCATGCGGTCGTATGACTCGGCTACGCTGTGGAAGACGCCGGCCACGCGCTCCGTCTTCTCGGACTCGGAGAGGCCGTCTTGGAAGCCGAAGTGTGTTGTACTATTTCTGCTACTGCTGCTGGCGCCACTATTGGTGGTGGAGTGTGCTTGGGAGGTAGAGGTAGAGTTTTGAGAGAGCTCGGGTCGTGCGTTATGTATCGTTGTGCTGAATAGTCGCACATGGCGGGAGGAAGAGCAAAAGGTCGGTCTTGATACTCGTACAGCTGCGCGCAGGACTGATTGCGGGCGGACGGCCATGGTTCTGCGCTGTTTTTGGCCGTCGCCTGGGTTCGAGGAGGGTGTCCTGGGGGTGTATGTTAGAAGCGGTAGCTAATTAATCTCAAGTAGACAGGTAGGAGGTAAAACGCAGCCGGCCCGCTCGAGGTGAAGAAGCTACGGGCAGAAAAAAACTGCGGATCGGACGGTCGATTAGGTACGACGATCTCCGTTCCGCATGTTCCCATGTACCTAGCCTATGTGGGGGTCACTCGGGTGGCTTCCGCGAATGAACACTAGCCACAGTGGGCTGGCCCTGTCAGACTTGACCTTTTTGGGACATAAATCCCGATCTCTGGGTCCAGGATGTTGGGCTTGACGCCAAGACATCTAGCTTGGTGTCTGGGGTATTTGAGATGATTGGCTGAAATGGGACTATCCATCCATCTTCAATGACATTACATACATATATCCAAGACGCGTGCTTCTCGCAACGAACAAATGTATAAGGTATGTATGGATAAACAAAAGCTCCTAGATAGGTACTTACCTCGTTAAACCGCAACCGCGGCGTCGATAGACGAGTCCCGCTCTTGCTGCTCTTGAGCCGCGTGTCGCTGTGCTCGCACGTGGGCTTGATGGTGCTGCGTCGAGCGCTTCATCAGCGCGGCGAACTTTTCGGATGCCGAGTAGCCCCAACATATTAGGACTGCGAGGAGTGGGACGAGGATCATGACTATGATTCCGATGGCGGTGGATTCGCTCATTGTCGACATTTCCTAGGATAGTGGTGCTTTGGGCTGGGGGTTTGGGGTGGTTATTTGTTGTTTTGTTTGGGGTTGGATGTTGTGTTGTTGTAAGGCAAGTACGATATGGAGAGAGGGTGGTAGGTCCTAGGATGAAGCTTTGCTTTTTATTTTTTATTCTCTGCTTAAGAAGTTTGCTGCTTTGGCAAGATTCATGCGGTAAAGGGCTGTTGCTATGGTAGTATGTACATCGAGGACAACGGTTTAGACCAGACTTCGCGCACATGGTTTCTCGAGCGACGCCAATGTCGGGAGTGTCACTTTGTACCTTAGATAGGTACGTATACGTGGGTGAACTTAATTCTTCGGTGCGTTAGGTATTTGTTATTTATTTGCAGATACATTTACGTTTTTCTTGTACTCGGACTTGATTGTTTATATTGTCACATGGCTGGGTCTTGTAGGTATAGTATGTTCATCTCTAATGGGAAGTAGTGGTAAGAGTCAACGAAATAATATAATAGGTAGTCCTTAAAAGCTTGCCTAAAATACCAATATTACAATTAGATCTTATCATATGAAGACTATTATACCAAGAAAAGTGTATTATCTGTGTAATAAACAATCTATTCTTGTCGTCTAATAGAACCTGGAACTTAACTGTTGATTGAATGCAATTGAGTATTACATAATCCTATAGCTACCTAGATACATAGGTAACGGTTAGGTTATTGGGAGAAGTCATTTTATGCTTGGGCTTATGTAATGAATTCGAAAAGCTGGGGAAGTTAGCTTTCCCTCGGTCTAGACCCTTCGCTTTACGCCGGCTTAAGTGACGTCTTTAGCCTCGGAATCCCGTCTCACCTGGAATGTCGGGGGACTGACTATGGGGTTAACTCTTTGCTACAAAATCTTACTTCCTCACTATATACAAGGCCCAATTGCAATTTGCGCTGGTGAATAATCTATAAGATGCTATGATCTAGCTAAAATGAGGTCACAAGTACTCTCTCGAGCGTCCTTACGAAGGGCCGCGGGCTCTGTACTCCGCGCTCCCCGTTCTCCTAGCTTCCAACAGCCTACTCGATTAGCTAGTAGCATATCGCAACGCCTAGGGTCGAGCCATGTGTCCTTCCCTGGCGCCGTAAAAAGCGCATTCACCAGCGATCTTAAATTTGTCGTGCCCTCCGATTACCCTGCCTTAGCGACATACCGAGTGGTCGATCAAGATGGCAATATCGTTGACGATTCATTCAAGCCAGATCTTAGCGATGAGGAAGTTATTAAACTATATAGAGATATGTTAACCGTCTCAATAATGGATCCGATCATGTTCGACGCGCAGCGACAGGGTCGTATAAGCTTTTACATGGTGTCGGCTGGGGAAGAAGCTATTAGTGTCGGATCTGCTTCAGCACTAGACCCGCGAGACGTTATATTCTGCCAATACCGTGAGCAGGGGCTCTTCGTACAGCGTGGATATACCTTAAAAGACTTTATGAACCAGCTCTTCGCAAATAAGCACGACTTAGGGAAGGGTAGAAATATGCCAGTACACTACGGAAGTAAAGAGCTGAATATCGTATGCTATGCCAATCTATGTCTCATTAGTTCATTGCTGACCTTTTTTTCTTTTTGTATAGCATACAATTTCATCGCCTCTAGCTACGCAGATACCACAAGCTGCTGGAGCTGCGTATGCCCTTAAAATGCAACATATCAATGATCCAACTGTACCTCCCCGCGTGGCTACTGTCTACTTTGGTGAAGGTGCTGCTAGTGAAGGAGACTTCCATGCGGCATTGAATATCGCTGCAACCCGATCCTGTCCCGTTATCTTTATATGTCGGAACAATGGCTACTCTATCTCAACGCCGACCTTAGAACAATACCGAGGCGATGGCATTGCTAGTCGAGGGATAGGGTACGGGATTGACACTGTGAGAGTGGATGGGAACGATCTATGGGCGGTTAGAGAGGTTATTAAGAAAGCTAGAGAGATGGCCCTTCAGGATGGAGGCAAGCCAGTTCTTGTAGAGGCGATGAGCTATCGTGTTAGCCACCACAGCACGTCCGATGATTCTTTTGCATATCGAGCACGAGTAGAGGTTGAAGATTGGAAACGCCGGGACAACCCTGTTGCGAGGCTACGGAAGTACATGGAGGCAAAGGGATTCTGGGACGAGTCCAAAGAGAAAGAAGCTCGGGAAAGCATCAGGCGGGATGTGCTGAAGGCATTCTCGGAGGCAGAACGAGAGAAGAAGCCACCTATCCGGACTATGTTTGAAGATGTTTACGAGGAGCTGACCCCCGATCTGAAGGCCCAAATGGAGCAGCTGAAACTCCATCTTGAGAAGTACCCAGACGAGTACGATTTTGCCGAATATGAAGACGGCATTAACAGCTTAAAGTCATGAGTAAATTACCACGATTGGGGAGATACCCTTCAATATAAGGAGAAGAAGCATCTGTATCTAATTGGGAGGCTACAAATACATTTCTCGTAACTAGATTTTGAAATACCATGGAATTGCAAAGAACATACAAGAATGACTATGGGTACATAATAACAAAATGTTAAAATTTCTGTCTACTGATTGGTAGATACTGAGAGACAACCAACGCTTGTCAGCCACGTCGGACAAAGAAATGGAGAATGTCAAATTTTTATAGTGTATTTTATATGATTTCGCCAATTAGGTTAAGTTGGGAGAGCATAAGGACTTCTCTTAATTTGTCAAGTCTGCTTATATGAAGAATTTCTAACATGTATTATGAATGTGTTGAGTTGTAGACTTAAGTGTGGAAAGAAAGTAAGAAAAAAAAACCGGTGATGTCATGGTTTAACTTGGTGTTGCTTAAATATCGAAGCACAAGCATTAGGTCATTACCTACCTAAGGTATAAACATCAACTAAGCGTGTACATAGTGTAATTTTAACTTTGACTATTGAAGATAACATCGAGATAAGAATGTAGACAGTTCAAAAAGAGCCGCAAGAAGTGAATTTTTATATTGATAATCAAACGGCTCAACGTTATCGCTTGGTGGGCATTACATACTAGGTACATGCACAAAAGTAGTAAAGATCTAATCACACCCCTGCTCAGCAGTTCTCACCTCATCAGAATACTTAAGTACATGTATATGCACGTATCTTTACCAGGTCCCTTGTAACAAACAGTACATCCCTGCATGCAGTGCTTTAGTTGATTTGCACTATCGACACACCTGTTACGCCATCAATAAAGCATCACTAGTGTACACGCCCTACCCGCACGAACTACTACAGGGTCTTATAGCACGGCTACAGACAGCCTGGCATCGGGTCTAGGTACTATGGTTTAAGTACCTACCACACGCCCGCACAAACCCACCCTACCTTTCGCCCAACCGTCTAGCCGCCCGCCGACGCATTCGAATGAACCTCCTCCGATAGAACCTCCAACTCCGTCCTAACGCTTTGACGACAACAACTTTGCCGTCTTTGGTTTCATCATTTCTATTGTTCAAACTGTGACAGCATCGACGGCTCGTTAGTCGCCTTCCTGTATATCAAGTCGAATAACGTATTGAATTAAATAGTATCGTTCCTATTAATCCATCTCGACCGACGTCTCGTTTCTCTCCTGTTCCCAAGTTCCCAAGTTCCCACGAGTAGTTTTATTAAAAGACGGAAGAAGAGGGTTGAGCGCGTGGCCAAGGTCTCGAACTCATCAGAAAGATTCAACCGCCGCCGTGCCTCATGGCGTAATCCATGGCAGAACGAAAACCCTCTGCTGCCAACCCGCGCTCTCGATCGGCAGTCGATAACGATCCTCAAGCGCGACTTCCTTCTATTACAGATTTAAATCTAAACTTGAACTTGCGATCGGCCGCTCCTGCCTCGTCGCCGTTCTCCTTATCCCCCAGGTACGATACACATACAGTTTCCAAACAACATACCTTACATCTACGTACATACCTACCTACCTTCTCCTACACTCACATACACTCACTCACATAATCAACCTACATTATACGATATACCTTGGTACAACACAACGAGTACCACTTTATTTATTTTTTCTCCCGTATCAGGTCTGATTGCTCTTCAACCTCCTTCAACCAGCCTAACAGTAACCTCCCCGTTGCCTACCATCGTTCCTCCTCTTATCATATTTCTACTTCGTTGTCAATTGTTCCCTCCTTAATCCTTCATCGCCGATACGTCTAGGCTAGTGCCTTGCGGTTGACGGTCACATTTTCGAGGGAGGGGTACGAGTTTCGGTTTTCAACATCTTTTTTATTTTGATGCCTCGATTTGTACCTAGGTACAATACACTCTTTGTATTGTTGCCCCGGTCACAGCAATCCACCTCTAGTCGACGTCGTTAGTTGCTATGCTAGTTGCCACAAAGACAGCCAAGCACAGCTCATGACAAGTGTAGAGGTGCATTTGACAGTACTTGCAAATCGTCGACAGATTTAAACCTAAATCTCGTTACGAGAGCTATCCCACCGTCAAAGCTTCCCGAGGCGAGGCTTATCAAAACCTATCAAAACCATCTCGCCTTCTTTTGAAGTCCCTCTTGCACTCTCCACACTTATTTTTCTAGTTACTCTACTTACCTACCTATTTTTATTTCCCATTCACTCCCAGTAACTACATACTCATGTCTTCCAGAGTTACACGCTCCTCTGCGCGCAACGCAGCGAGTCAAGGAGCATTACAGGGAGATCTTAACTCTCCCCAAGCTTCTGTTGGCCATTCGCCTGCAACCGCCGGAAATAATACAAATACGAACCAATCCGCTCAATCTTCATCGAGACCGACGTCCTCGCGAAAGAGAAAACCAACATCGGGTGAGAATAGCTCGCCAACCCAACCCCCACCGAGCGAGCCAGCTGTATCGGCTCGTCGATCTAAGCGGCAGAAGGTTTCAGAGCAAGCTCCACAACCTCCGGCTGTGCCTACGCCTGTTCCTGCTATACGTAAGCGGAAAGGAAAGAATACGGCTTCTATGTCTAGTCCAGCAGGGTATGTTTCGCAAAGCGCCACTTTGGTATTTTGAATGCATAATCGATATTAATATTTGCACACTGTAGTTCTGACCCACCCCCACCCGCCAGGATGCAGGACTCTACCAATTTAACTTCAGCCTCGTCAAGCCGCAAGTCGAGTCGCAACAAGAAGAATAGCCAGGCAGCCCAAGGTATGAAATAATTCTATTATTTATTGTTATGCCAATGCGTTGCGTCCAATTGTGTACTAACTTTATGAATAGAATCTCCTGCGACAGGTGCTTCTAGCTCTACGCGCCGCTCGAAGCGAACGTCTAGCAACCATCCACCTCCTCCTGACCAAGATACTACTATGACGGGTACCAAGGACCACGAGGAAGAGGAGGAAGCGCCACCGCCTCCGCCGCCACCCCCGCCCGCGCATGAGCCCGACGAAGACAATAGCGACGATAATGACGACGATGATGATGAACACCATCGCCATTACGACGACGATCCGTTTGGCGGATTTGGGGTGCCTCCTGGATCAGGATTGTCCAACACTCTTAGGGCGTTGACTGGTATGATGTCCGGACTCTCGTCTAGGCTACGAGATATCCTCCATAATCTTCGACAGAAAGAAGACCCGTCGGCACAGCTGGTGGCTCTGCAGGAACTGGCTGAGATTCTTCTTGTTTCCAACGAGGATAATCTGTCGGGCCATTTCTCCCCCGATGCTTTCGTGAAGGAGTTGGTGACCCTAATGCAGCCCAATGAGATTACCGGCGAAGAAAATTCGGAGATCATGCTTCTTGCTTGCAGATGTCTTGCCAATTTGATGGAAGCACTGCCGGCCAGCGCTGCCAACGTGGTCTATGGTGGCGCTGTCCCAATCCTGTGCCAGAAGCTCCTAGAGATCCACTATATTGATCTCGCGGAGCAAGCGCTGAGCACATTGGAAAAGATCTCTGTCGAGTATCCCACGAGCATCGTCAGAGAAGGCGGCTTAACTGCCTGTCTTACTTACCTAGACTTCTTTCCTACGGGTACTCAACGAACTGCTGTCACGACTGCTGCCAACTGCTGTCGCAACATCCCGGAAGATTCGTTTAACGTGATCATTGGAGTCATGCCAATTCTCCTAAACGTGCTGAACAGCAACGACCAGCGAGTTGTGGAACAAGCATCGCTTTGTGTTACTCGTATAATCGAGAGTTTCAAATATCAGTCATCGAAGCTGGAGCAGCTCGTCAGTGTGGATTTGCTGAAAGTCATATTGCGCCTTTTGGTTCCCGGAACCACGAATCTCATCAGCGCCAATATTCACACCCAATTCCTCCGGGTTCTGGCTATCACGGCCCGTGCAAGCCCGAGTTTGTCAGCGGAACTCTTCAAATTAAACGTCGTCGAGACTCTCTATCAGATCCTTACGGGTGTCTCCCCTCCTAGTGAGACGGAAGATGTCGCTTCGAAGCTTGATAGTGTGGTTATCATGCAGGCACTGATCCATCGGCCACGTGAGCAAATTATCGAGACTCTTAACGTCGTCTGCGAGTTGCTCCCAGGTCTGAAGTGGACTGACGGTTCGGGCCCCCCAATCCCAGCCGATCTTGATATTGCTGAGCCCGTTACCCCATCCTCGTTTGGGTCCCGGAAGAAGTCATTTAACGAGAAGAGACTCGAGCTGCTCGACGAGTGCAAGGACCAAGTTCGAAGATTTGCGTTGATCCTCTTCCCTACGCTGACGGACGCATTTTCAAGCACAGTAAACTTGAGCGTCCGACAAAAGGTACTCACTGCTCAGCTGAAGATGCTATCGAATTTAGACAGAGATATTCTCGTCGATGCCCTGAAGGCTGTTCCATACGCTTCGTTCTTGGCCTCTATACTGTCGCAGCAGGATCATCCTTCGCTTGTCATGTCTGCCATTCAGATAACGGAACTTCTGCTGAACCGGCTGGATGATATCTATCGCTACCAGATTTACCGTGAAGGGGTTATTATTGAGATCATGAAGTTGGCGGCTGAGCATCAAGAGCCCGAGAACAAGGCGGCCGAGACACCGGCAGACCATAGTATAGCATCTGGAGACGAAGCAGACAGGGTCTCGATACATAACGGCTCTGGAGATGAGGACGAAGAGGACCGTGAAGAGGACGACGATGATGACGACGAGAACGACGATGACGACCAAGAGAATGATCATCATGACGACGACATGTCCGGTTCGCCTGCTAGTTCTGACGGATCTACTATGTCTATTGATGGGCCGCCTCGACCCTTTGTGGGGGATATCCCATCCATGAAGACCCGCATCGCCGAGACCGCCAAGAAATTCTTAGAGACTCATGAGACAGAAAAACATAGTAAATCCATGAAGAAGAAGGCCAAAAAGATCCTAGATAATCTTGAAGCCCTTGCTTCTGGGATTGAGGGATTTTATCTTCGAAGGACTGCTAAAGATCTATCTCCTGAGAATGGGGCCGTCCTATTTGAAAAGCTAGCATCCTATTTCGATGCTGACGTCTTGGACAGTGTTACAAGCGCCGAGCTGCTCTCTTCAGGGCTCGTGCGTGTTCTAGAAGAGGTCTTCAGCAACCCCGACGAGATGCTAGCAAATGCTGCGCGAGCCGCATTCCTCGAGGTCTTCATGGGTCGTTATGTGAATTCGAAACCGAAGACCGCAACCGCAGATTCTCCTGCGACGCCCTTCAGTATCTTAATCCACAAACTTCAAGATCTACTTAGTCGGTCGGAGCACTTCGAGGTTATTACCGTCCACCATAGCACGTTTGATGGCAATCGCAGCAGCGCGGCGTCCATGTTGGCGAAACAGATTAGGCTTAGGCTAGTCGCTGACGAAGACTCTGATATCCCTCGTTCGTTCCGCAGTATCAATGTCCACATCCATGCAATTGCAACCTTTAAAGCTCTAGATGATTGGTTACGACCCCGAATTAACCTACACGAGCGCCCTCGTGGCCCGAGACCCCGTGACGGATTATCTCGAGCTCTCGCCGCGATGGCTAGCTCGGCAGGATTGTCGTCAGCCGAACGCCTCGCTGAGCGGTTGGGATCAAGCTATTCGGCTCCTCCACCTCCCGTCCCAAACCAGGCTTCCGGCTCTCGTCCGGCACGGAGATCCAAGTCGAAGCAACCGGGGCAGTCCGATACCCCGTCTACTCCGGGCTCGGTAGCAGGCTCTGGCCGCGAGAAGGCAATTCTCCGTAGATCAGCGCGACGACAACCAGCTCAACCAAGCGAGTCTCATACCCCGGCACCGCCTCCTCCGCCACCGGAAGATGACGAAGATTTGCAGAACGCACTGGAATGCGCTGACGAAAAGCCGATCACTGACGAGGAGGAAGAAGTCGAGGCCGCTGATAGTAGTGCTCTGGACGCTATAGTTGGCGAGTTGGACGAGGATATGGAAGATGCCCCTGCCCGAGAACCATCCGCGGTGAACTTAGTGGAAGCGGCTGGAGGAAAGATCACGGCTAGGAAAGAAGATGGAACCCGTGTCCCTACTCCAGCTCAGACTGGTGGTGCCAACCTTCCAAGCCGCAGCGCGCCACCTCAACCCCCAGCATCGCAGCAGAGCACGCCAACTCCTAGCGCTCCGTCGACTTCTCGACCGCTTTCTTACGCAGCTGCTATCCAAGCCATACCCCAAGATTGGCATATCGAATTCAGTCTTGACGAGCGGGTCATTCCGAACGAGACGACTATTTATCGGGCTGTTCACAACAATTTGTCGCCTCCTGACGATCACGTCAACCGCAGTGTTTGGTCAATGATGCATGTTATCAAATTTCGTCGCGTGCCGGGGCCTCCTCCCGCCGAACCTATAGGATTCGGGCCTTCATTTGACGGTGCACCTGACGTTAACGGTGTACCCGCCTCGCTTGCGAACAATCCTACAACGGCGTCTATTCTCCGCCTACTAAATATTCTACACGATCTCAATGCGAACATCGATGATATTATGGTGGAAAACAAGAACACTCTGAAATTGAATGTCGAACCCTTATCACAATTTGTCAATACAAAGTTGACTGCCAAACTCAATAGGCAACTGGAAGAGCCTCTCATAGTGGCTAGTAATTGTTTACCGGGCTGGAGCGAAGACCTGGCCCGGCTATATCCGTTCCTCTTCCCCTTCGAGACCCGTCACCTGTTCCTCCAGTCGACATCATTTGGCTATGCACGATCTATGAGTCGATGGCAGAATGCACAGCAGGAGGAGATGTTGCGCCGCGACCGGCGTGACGATAGCGTATTCCTTGGCCGACTCCAGCGTCAGAAGGTACGAATTTCGCGTTCCAAAATATTGGAGTCGGCGTTGAAAGTAATGGAACTTTACGGGAGCTCGCAGAGCATTCTCGAGGTTGAATACTTTGAAGAGGTTGGGACAGGTCTTGGGCCTACTCTCGAATTTTATTCAACTGTCTCGAAAGAATTTTCCAAGAAGAAACTCAGGCTCTGGCGTGATATGGATTCTAACGACTCGGACGAGTTTATCTCTGGTCCTGCTGGATTATTCCCTCGACCTCTAAGCGATGACGACTCAAGCGCAAACGTAATTCTCCAGCTGTTTAAGATGCTTGGGAAATTCGTTGCACGATCTATGATCGATTCACGGATCATCGACCTTAACTTTAATCCCACCTTTTTCCGGATTGGTGAAGGCTCTTCGAGCATAAAGCCATCTCTTGGTGCTGTCAAGATCGTAGACCCTGGGCTAGCCAATTCGCTTAAGCACATCAAGAAGTTCGCCATGGCAAAGAAGGCTATCGACGAAGACCCTAACCGCACTCCTGCGCAAAAGGTCGCCGACACTGAGAAGATTGTGGTGGACAATGGAACATTAGAGGACCTAGCATTGGACTTCACGCTACCGGGCTATCCCGAAATTGAGCTCATACCGGGCGGATCTCATATCCCTGTTACGATCTACAACGTCGAGTCATATCTCGATAAAGTTACCGACCTGACTCTGGGTCGCGGTGTTAAGCGTCAGGTCGAAGCATTCCGCACCGGCTTCTCCCAGGTATTCCCGTACTCGGCCCTGAGCGCTTTCACGCCGGATGAGTTGGTGGCACTATTCGGTCGCGTTGAGGAGGATTGGTCTCTAGAGAGTAAGTTGTGTTCATCCGTGAATGATACCGGTGAAGCTGACAAATATTTTTTTATAGCTCTTATGGATTCTATAAAGGCAGATCACGGATTCAATATGGACAGTAAATCCGTTAGAAACTTGCTCCAGACAATGAGCGAGCTTAGCTCTGCACAGCGCCGTGACTTCCTACAATTCACTACTGGTAGTCCAAAGCTTCCTATCGGAGGTATGTATTACGATTCCTTGTCCCATTAATGCGGTTCTAACTGTAGCTACAGGTTTCAAGAGTCTGACCCCTATGTTCACTGTGGTGTGCAAGCCTAGTGAGCCGCCCTACACATCTGACGACTACCTTCCAAGCGTTATGACTTGTGTCAACTACCTAAAGTTACCCGATTACAGTAGTATCGATAGCATGAAGCGACAGCTATTCACCGCTATTAGGGAAGGTCAAGGTGCCTTCCATCTGTCCTAAATATCTATATCTACCGGTATAATGGGCAGTAAGCAAGCGCAATATTCTTCGCGTTAATATCGCAGTACATGGATGGCATTGATGAGGAAAATGAGGCATTGATTTATTATTATTTTTCCCTTTTTGCCTCCCTAGCGCAACTGACTAGGGAGCGGTTGTTTTTTTTTCTTGGCAAACTAGCCATAATTCCTTTCTGATGCCCGATCGTGACTCTTGACAAGAAGGAAATTGGCACAAAGCACAAGAGAGATACGGACGGGTTGCGAGAGGACTTGTCTGATGCATGGAAAGGTTGTTTCGGCGTAGGAATGAAACATGATTCCCGGCAGGATTTGGCATCAGACTGGACAGCCCTGACACAAGGCTTAGTGCTTACTTTGTTTTACTTTCGCAAAAGGAGTGGCTTTCATCGGTAGATAGACTGGCCAATTTGTCTAGGTATTGGTTCACAACTCGTTTGCCCTTGTGCTTTAGGTAATAGTGATTTGCTACTTTGCTACCTTTCCAGTCTTGTGTGATAACTTTAATAATGAAATTCTCAATATCTATAGCTAATACTATCGACTAAATGCTTGTTAAAGGTATATAGGTACCTTCGTCTTAAATCCTCCTAGCCAAAACATTCGACAATAATCTAGATTCATTACGGTAACTGTATTCCTATAATTCCTATAACTTGGACTCGGAACCAGCTGTAGATGCACTCTTCCTCGGCAGCGGACGACCGACATTATCTAGGAACTTCTCACTTAATGTCGTCTTCTCCTTCACCGGCAGCTTGACCCACTCCTCGTACTCACGCTCCTTCTCTCGCCACCGCACCATCTCTTTTCCTATCCACGCCGCTGCATGTTTCGCGCATTCGTCCGGGATCTCCATCGGAAATAAGTGACCACGGCCCTCCAAGACGACCTGGTCGACCCGTCCCAACTTAAGACCACCGCTGCCCCCACCTCCAGTCCCACAGGTTTCCGTCTTCAACTTGCGGCCTTCGGGAGCGCCTAGCTCGCTATCTCCACCGAAGACCCAGAGCACAGACGGCCGCACCTCAGGTATATGCTTGAGAATGCTACCTCCCTCGGACCGGTAGAACGGGAACACGCTAGCCGGATCCCTAAGTTGATGCTGCACATCCGGGTCGAAATCCGGGGCTCCGTCGCGGTCGACTTCCCGGGTAATAGAATCGACGTACGGCCACAGCGGCCGGAAAAACGTAAATACTTCCTGGTGCTTCGTCGTGCGCAGCGTTGCCCCGCCGTCTTTCTCCGGGTTGGGGAATAACGCCGTAGGCGTCTCGCGTACGGCGTGCGCGATCCACGCGTCGAGGACCCGCGGGTCCCAGGTCTGGTAGAAGGGGCTACGCCGGAAGGATTCGGCGGCGGCGGCGCGGGAGGGCCAGGTCTCGCGGCGGAAGGTGGAGGCGCGAGCGGCGGATTTGCCGGGGCCGAAGCGCTGGAATGTGAATTCTGTGACGGTTGGGTCGAGCAGGACTATGGTCGTGAGGAGTCGCGGGTGGAGCAGGGAGAGCTTGGTTAGTACGGCGCCGCCGAAGGAGTGGCCTACGCCGACGATGGGGCGGGGCATGGAGGCGCGGAAGACGTTGGTTAGGTGCAGCAGGTCGCGGGCGTGGTCGTGCCAGGAGGGGTCGTTGCCGAGGGCGGATTCGTTGATCTGGCCGCTGTAGCCCTGGTTAGACACGTCGGCGATCCAGACGCCGCGGATGCGGAAGCCGTGGGCCTTGGAGCGGGCGTGCAGGTCGGCCCATAGCGGCTCGTAGAGCTCCTTGGGGAAGCCGTTGGCGTGGGCGCCGAGGATGGTTATGTCGCCTGGTTGGGGGGCGGGGTTGTCGACGGGGGTGTATTGCTTGATGCTGATGTAGAGGATGTCTTCTTGGGAGTTGGATGTCGCGCGGGGGAATTCTCGGATGTGTTGGGAGGGGATGGTGTGTTCGGTTATGTGGAAGGGGAAGGGGTTGGGGTTGGGTGTTGTCATGGTGGGCAAGTGGATGTATGTATGGAGTGTATAGGTAGGTATAATGTCTGGTTAACTTGGGTAGTTGTTGATCTCTTGTGAGATTTGGTCAAGAGGATAGGAGTTCTAATAAATCTTAGCTCTAACAAGCGGTGGGATATACTGTTATGACTGAAAGCATCAAGTAACGGGCTTTTAGTTAGGATAGGATAGAAGCATCGAAGCATCTAAATAGAGTCTTGTCTAAGGTCTTGCCGTCGATGAGGTGTTGTTATATTTAGCCGAGGCTGTCCTTTATAACTCCCAAACCAAGAACAACGGGATAGATGTCGCTCGTATAAGAAGAAGAAACAACCAATTTGGACAGATTATTAGCTGATACTCAACTAGACTGTATACTAAGCTTGCATACAAGAAAATCTAAAGTTACGAGCATACGTCTAAATATAATACACAGAGCCAACTTACCGATTTAATGGTTGCGATGGTCAAAGGCGATCGATCTGTTTATGTACAATAGCTGCAGGGATAATGAATTATACCTCGGCCGATGCAAGGGGCGGGGGCTTAGCGCGGGGGCAGATAAATTGATGCATTTATCAGGTGTAGATGGCATTTCGAGCGGTACTTTAATTAATTGATATGCACTTGACGCGATAGTCACGCCATGCAACCCACATTTCTACCTTAACCGCGTTCATGACGCATTCCAACTCTTATCTGCCTAATTAAATGGGCTTGAGTAACAACATCTCAACTTCAACAAGGGAAAATAAGAACTAAGTTTCCAAGTTGACTACTATTATAGTTAAAGGAACGCTGACGTATTATATACCTTTAAACTTTTGCAACTGATCTGAAAATACTGGGCGCATACTGGGGGAATTGTCCAAAAGGTCCACTTGGTCATTGCGATCATGGCGCCACAAACGAGATCCCATGGCAATCCATCCAAGCCATCAGAGACCAAATCATACAGGTCAACTTCTGCAGCCCCCAAGCAACTATTATTTCCTGAACGTCAGCGAAATGTCAAAACATACGGGAAAACATATAGACGTCCTCGCGCTCCCAAAAAGGAATTGAAACAGGGTACACTAACCCAGATGGATTTCATATCGCCATCAATGCCTAAGGAGTTACTCAAGTCTGAGGATGAAGAAGATGTCGAAGATGATGATGAAGAGCCCGAGCCTCCTGCACCTGTAGAGGCAGTTAAATCCAAAAAGAGGACCCGAGGATCCCGACGCAGGACTGCGGGAGACGAACTAGTCAAGAATGAGAACCCAAGAGATACCAAAAGACGGAAGACTTTAGGAGACGCACCCAGCTCAAACCCGTCGAGTAGCTTCCATACTCAGACTTTAACTCAATTCTTGTCAGTCAAGGGTGAAAACAATAACGAGGACTGGCAAATCAATGACTCGGAAGACGACGATACTGGCTTCATACTGGAGACTCCCAAGAAAGCAAAAGAGCCTGCCCCTTCCAAGGCCAGCGAGCCACAGTCTGGAATCAGATCTTCAGTTCCAAGTCTCGTCGAGTCTGTCACCCCAACCAACCGTCGGACGAAGACGGTCATCCCATCTTCTACATCGCCAACAACACCGATGATGATGCGATACAGTCCAGCACCGCACAAGTCACCTCTAGTAGTTAAATCTGCCAACTTGACAGGTCCTTCTCCTATTCTTAAGAAGATTAGCAAGACGTCAAGGGATCGAGTGATTCCAGACTCGTACAGTACGGTTCATAGCTCACCAACTGTACGAGCCCAGAACTCTGCCATTAAGGCCACACCGGTCAAAAAGACTCGTTTCGAACTTCCCGAGGATAAAGAAAACATCACTCCAGGAAGGACTAAACCAAAGAGTCCTAAGCCGCTGAGGAAGACACCGGCCCGGCCACCCCTACGGGAAGTACCTGATTCCGATGATGATATCGATGGAACGGGAGACGTCGAAGATGAAGAGGCCAGTACAGAAGATGAGAACGCGCCAGCAGAACGAAAGGGAGATGGGATCCCGTCAGCAGATGATGCCGAAGAAGCAGAAACCTGCTACGGCGTTATCGGAGACGAAACACAGGCCGAGCTTCTTTCTTCAGCAGAGGAAATTAATCGCCAACTTGAGGAGAGTGATTCCGCAGAGTCAAGTCGCTCACGATCGGCTACTCCCACGCCAAACCCAAAGAAAATACGTGTACTTCCTAAAACACAGGTTGTAAACAAATCCACACCTTCTCCGGTTTCTGTAGCAGAGAAATCACCGACGTCGTATCTACAGAAAAGACAGTCAGACGAAAGTCCATCGAAGGCACAAACTCAGATGTTTACTCAGGGACTCGAGAGCCAACGGCTCCCCTTGGAAGTCGTTCATGCTCTTGGCCCCCAGACTGACAACTCTGATATTATGGTGTCTCTTCACCCTGAACCCTTGGCAAAGATAATCAACGGTACGAAGAATCACGAATTCAGGGTCTGGAAAATACCGCCTACCGTAACCCGCGTCTGGATTTATTCGACCAGGCCGTTCTCCGAGCTGAAGTACATGTGCACTCTCGGCCCTCCTAAAGTACCCGGAGAAATCGAGGACAACAAAGGGGTTGGAAATGTCGAGTTCAACCAAGGGAAAGCCGTCGCCAAGTATGCATACGAGATACTCCAGGTCTATGAACTCAACGACCCGGTTCCCCTCGACGAGATGAAGAAAAAGGGCTGGGTAAATGCTGCCCCGCAGAAATATGTATGGGTTCCTCCTGCAGTTATTGGAGAACTTACAGCGAATTTGAAATGTGCCCTGTTTGGTGAAGATGAGAAAGACCAAGAAGCAGCAGCTGCGTTGGTGCCAAGTAGTCCGAATTTTACTGAATCACAAGAACTCAAGGCCCAACTACAGGATGATGCTGAATTCTCAACCCAGCATCATTCTAACAACGTGGACGAAGTGATTCTTTCGAGCCAGTCTACGCGTAGATCTAGTGGTAGAGGCAAGAGAGCCCATCCAGAAAGCAACGAGGGTTTTACAAAGCCCGCACCACCTAGATTACAGTCAGGTTCTTCAATTCAGTCACCGCCAGCACCCCCGAGCCAGAGAACACGCAGTGCCGTTAGACCTTCGCAGGCTACCACAGTCTCAAGTCCAGCGCTATCTCCTGAGAGATTACCCCCTCAAGTAATATCCATCACCAGCGACTCGCCCGCCGCCAACCTGCACAGCAGCAGCCCGACGGCGTTCCGGAGTGCGCGAGATCACTCTCTACGGTCCTCGCAGTTCCAAACGCGGAGTCAGATGTTGCCGGATAGTCTGGTAAACGACGAGATTCAGGAGCCGCCGCCCATTGTATATGATTCTGCAGATGAGCAGTCGGATTGATGAATGATGATGAAAACTACATTGACGTATGGCGTGTTTGTAAGATATTGGATTGGCGTCGTTGCATGGATAGGTCATGTTATTTGGCTTGGCAGGAAAGGAAGGTTGCTAGGTATAGCTTGGAGTTCTAGTACGATAGGGTATGATGCTCAGGTCTGTAAGAGTGTTAGGGATCAGTCACGTAGTGATATAGCGTTATATAATAATACGAGTATTTCTTATATGGCATTCGGGTTGATACTAAGTCCACAACTCTAGCCTAGTGGGAATCCGGTTGATAAACTAGTACTAGACAAGAATCAACGTAGCATCCCAATGTATTCCTTCACTTCAGCCTACTAATCAGCCGGCCAACTTCCTAATCAGAGTATCATAACTCTTTGGGTATAAATAACATTAAACAGTCCGTCTTCTTGGCCGCAAAACACATCCATCCGCCCCTCCCCAATCTCGACTACCTTAAGTAGTCAATATAAACACCCCCAGCAAATCAATCATAGCTATAACCAGGCTCGTAAATGTAGCGGGTCCCCTTATTGCAGCGATACATAATCATAGCGAAGCTGATTATCAAGAGGAACCCTCCGGCGAATATCAGCGCTGAGCTGCCGTATTGCTCGGCGCTTTGCTGGACGGGCCTGTATCGACTGCCAGGAGTCGGGTCCGAGCCGAGGAGGGGCGGGGGACAGACGTGCTGGAAGAGGTTTTTGAAGCCGGGGTCTAGGTTGCAGAAGTCGTGGTTTACGATCTCGTATCTGTTGTGATGAGGGAGGGGGGGTTAGTAGGGTGGTTAGAAAGGGGGGAGGAGGAAAGGAGAGGAAAGGAGAGGAAAGGAAAGGAAAGGAGAAGAGGGGAGGGCTTACTGTTCGCAGGCACCTCCGTTGTTTATATGTACGGACACGTTGCCGTCTAAACTGGGCACTTGGATCCAGCAGCCGTTGAGGTCGGCGATGAAATCGCGGCGGACTGCGCGGGTTATGGGGATACTTGGCATTTTGTTTATCGAGTAGGTGTACTTGACTGTTGCTTTGTATAGGAAGGACCTAGGTATGTATATATGGCTGGTTCGGGATGTTGTTTGTTTGTTTGCGTGTGTAGTAGTAGTAGTAGTAGTAGTAGTAGTAGTAGTAGTGGTGGTGTTGGTGGTGGCGGTGATGATGAACAGAATAGGGGTGAAAATATCAGACAAAAGATCCATGCTTCTAGTTGCCATTGTCTGATTGCAAGGTATATAAGGACTCGTTTCGTCTGATGAGGATTAGGGTCTGAGTTAAACTCTGGGTAATATCAATGCTTAGCGTAGGAGGCTTTATAGCAAAGGCATAAACTTTTGCCTGGGTGTTTGGCTTGGACTTTTTTGCAAGTGAGGCTTTTGGGAGATATTCATGGTCACGGTATATATATGCTATGGCTTCTAATGTATTACGACGACTATCTGATCAGGGGAAATTTTTAGAGCTTTACGTGTATACTAATTATATTCAGGCTGGTTACTATCACATCTGGATTCTCAAGCTAACGGTCATGAAGGTCAACTGAGTAGGGCGTGTCTAGAAAAGGGGAATATAGTTGTCAAATAAGGCGTGAACTAGGTAGATTGTCTAGAAACTATATCCTATGGCTTATCTGAGCCATCTGAAAGTTGAATAATAACACGAACTTCACTGAGCACGTTTAGTAAGTACCTCCTGGATACTTAAGAAACCATGAGCATTTATGTGTGCGTATAGATTTAATATTTACTATATTAAAATAGGTAGAGTATTGATATGCTTGTTGGTTATATGGCGTAGATCCGAAAATAAAAGGGGGAATAAAAGGGGAAATAAAGGGGGGATAAAATCATATAGTTATAGGACTACGTACTCAAGTTATAAATGCTAAGCAACGTCAAGTCTCAACAAACCCGATCCTATGCCTTGAAGTGCTAACTAGATTTAAAGCGATCCCCTTTAAAACCATTATGAAAAATCGTACCAAGTTAGACGTACTATGTAAAGAAGCCTTCCTCACAAAGTATATACTAATGTCCAACTGATTATTTTATTAGCTAGAGAATCGCTCCAAGGTAATTAGGTACTTAACATTTCAGCAGATAAACACCTCAGCGCTCCCACCTAAGCGTCTAAATTTGATAGGAAGCGTATAGTTACGGTACGCAGCAGCGTAACGTGTCCATCACGATGACATCATTGCAACGACAAGGTGGGTGTTATCTATGATTCAACGTAGTGTATTGGTGGCGTTGATTGTGATAGATAAGCAAGAAATATATGATCATACGTTTAAGAATAATAGTCCCATTATCAGGTAGTAACCGCAAGCAAACGGGATAGCATATCACACCGGAGCAGATACTACGCCATGCCATCGTTATTCCAGCAGGCCGAAGCAAACAGTACTGACAGGCCCTCTTTAAGTGAGTTCTAGCGTCTTGGTACATCTACTATGTAGTAGGCTGATAGCCTGATACTTCGCAGCCAAGTACGGCCATACTGCACCCGGCCCAGGCAGCGGATTAGACGAGAATCCTAACACTCGGTCCGCGAACCAGCTTCAGGGAGGGAAGAAGGCTGAGGCTGCTACCGGCCAGCAGGCTCGTACGATGAAGGCGTCGATGACGAATGCGGCTAAGACGCGGAGCGGCGTTGGAGGAGAGGAGCAGAGTGGTATTGAACACTTTGAGACGTAGATATAGTACAATGATAGCTGAAACCGAGAGTTATATTGGTATCTGTAATCGCAAGACTGGCGATACGCCATCTTAACTACAATAACAGCGCCTATTAGTAAAGTTTACATTCCTGACCTACCACAACCTAATAGCAATGCACTTGTGCTTTGGTCAGTGTTCTTTTGATCTAGACAATAATGTGGCTAGAGTGCCAAATGGTAATAGCGTCAATTGCGTCACAGTTATGTACAAGCCGCCTAACTGGCATCTATTTCTTAGGCTCCTCTTTCTCCTCTTCGGGCTTAGGTGTGGGTAGTTTGAAGGTGTCGGGCTTGCGGTTGTCACCAGGACCAACTGGCTCCCAGGCTGTTGAGCCTCCCTCGAAGTTACGGAAGGCTTGCGTCAGCTCTAACGGCTCGGTGACAATGCGCTTCTTCTCTTCGTCGTATCGGATCTCGGTGTATCCTGTCAACGGGAAATCCTTCCGCAGGGGGTGGCCTTCAAAACCATAGTCGGTCATGATTCGACGTAGATCCGGGTGGTTGAGGAAGAAGACGCCAAACAGGTCGTAGACTTCTCGCTCGTACCAGTTGGCGCCGTCGTATAGAGGGGTGACACTCGGCACCGGCGTCGCCTCGTCGGCGTACGTCTTGACTCGGATTCGTGCGTTATGTCTTACGCTTAGTACGTTGTAGACAATCTCGAATCGTTGGTCTCTGGTCGGGAAGTCGACGGCCGTAACGGTGCTCATTTGAGTGAATTCGGCAGCCGTGTTGTCTAGCTTTCCGTCAGCTACAAAGCTCATCCCTAGGCGGAAATACGGAAATATATCAGCCCGGAATATGGATGCGGGTCTTACACTTGAGGAATGAAAACACGGGTATGACGCCGGCGGGAGGGATATAGATAACTAGCTCATCCTTCCAGACGGAGAACTGCTGGATGTACTTGGGCAAGCAGCCCATAAGCCAAGCTCCGTACCGGTGGAGGTCGTTGGCTTTGGTGGAGTACTTGTCTGTAGGGTTGACGATAGGCGCCTTAAGTTCCTTGGGGTGCTCTCGCGGCGCATGCCTCATATTCGGAGCATCCTTAGGCATATTGACATTTTGACGAGCGGTCGCAGAGATGCATCGAACGGCGACCTGCTCGGTACGGGACGGCAACGAGGGTTTCGCAGGTCGCAGAGCTGAGGCAAGAGCTCTGCTTCGGCAGAGCTTTGTCGCCATGGTCGACAGACGGTGGCAGGAGAGCCAATTGATTGTAGAGGGATTATAGTCTATCGAGGATTTGAGCTGAGCCGTCTATATATTATTTAGGAAGTTCATGACCTAAGAGCCGGGCCATATCTAAATACAGTGCAAGATAGATCGGGGAACTAGTCCAATCAGGTCAAGACAATTCCCAATTCGCGGAACAATATTAAGGCACCCTCCGACCATCTACCTAGCCTTAGGTAGGTACCTAACCTGTTGCCCAGGCTGCCAGGGCACTTGCCTTAGGTAGGTATCTAGGTACACACGTACCTGCTGCCTTACCTAACCTTACTAACTTTTTAACTAAATGGCATCTGCCCAATGATATACGAAATCACATATTGCCAAATCCGTGACGTAGCACATGACCTTTGTACTTCTAGTTCCCAACTTAATAATAAGTGTTCCTATCCCTCGGATTCACCCAGACCAAGTAAGAAATTCACAAAAAAGTTGGATACAGCTTACTGCAGCGGTGAGACTACATCAAAATGCGCTATTCGTAAACACCTGGCAACCGCCAGTTCAGATTTAAAACCCCGCTGTTACCTAGGTACCTACCTAGGTTTTGTTTCCGTTTCTTACAATAAAAAAAAAACCAAAAAGAAAAAGAAAAAGGTCGAGCACAACTTAGGTAATCGGTACCTAGCAATCTGCCCCGGTGCTCTGGCAAACGCAGGTAGCAGGGTACACAGCCTTGGAACAACAGCTGAGGCAAAAATCAAAATTGACGCTAAGACGCTAAGCCGTAACAGGCTATTGCAGTTTCCTAGCGCGAATCGGGTCAACCTTTCCTCTCGGCGCTCTGAACCAATCTTTCTGCCATTAAACCTCCTTTGCCTTTTCAAACCTTCACCTGTTCTTACCTTTACGCCATCACCGCAAACTGACTAACGGTCTGTACCTCACGTCTGCCTCGTCTCCTACCACACGCGACGTTACAGATACGCCAGTCATTTTCATCTTGCCTCTAATCTTCCTCGGTCGCGTTTTCACAAGGGGTTTCGCATGTTTTTTACTCCCGCTATAATATCCATTTCTTTTCACCTGCATAATCACCCGATATTTCAACCCAAACTTGACACATAGACACGACGCACCCTCAGTGCACGCACTTGCCTTCGCCTTACTGGTCTCTGGTCTTGGACAACATAATACCCGAGTTAAGCGTCGCTGGTCTAGCCCAGTGCTGGAGCTATTCTATCAACCAACCACAAGTTTCTAAGCCAACTCTCCACACAGATCAAGATGGCTCCTCAAGATAGCTTCATCGACGATGAGGAGGATACATGGTAAGCATATCCCCATACAGCTAGTCATATTCTCTACATCCTTAAGATAGAAAGCTGACACCTCGTATATAGCCCTCTATGCATAGAAGAGTTTGATCTCTCAGATAGGAATTTTAGACCATGCCCTTGCGGATATCAGGTACGAGCTTAGTACGAGTTGTTTTATAATTATGGGATAAGATACTAATGGCTCTTCATTAGATTTGCCAGTTCTGTTACAATAACCTGAAGAACAATCTAAATGGGCTGTGTCCTGCATGCCGACGACCTTATGACGAAAAGGATATCAAGTGGAAGGTTGTCACACATGAAGAGTATGTTTGTAGTGGAGAGAAGAATATACAAGGAGGATGTATGGCTAATTTTATACAGGGAAGCAGAATTTCGCGCCAATATCCAAAAGAACCAGAAGAAGCGAGCATCGGAACAACGTCAAAAGGAGGTCCAGAAGCGCGAGGCCGAGAAGGAAAGTCGCAAGAATCTCCAAGGCGTCCGTGTCGTACAGAAGAACCTTGTATACGTAACAGGTTTAACGCCTACCGTACGAGAGGACGAACTGCTCAAGACACTTCGTAAGCCCGAATTCTTTGGTCAGTATGGCAATATCCAGAAAATCTCGATTAGTAATCGCAAATCTGCCGACGGCCAGCCTCAGTCGCTGGGTATCTATGTGACTTTTGAGAAGAAGGATGACGCTGCTCGTTGTATACAAGCTGTGCACGGTTCACATAATGGCGATCGCGTCCTCAAGGCCCAGTTGGGAACGACAAAGTACTGCTCAGCGTGGTTGAGGCACGAGCAATGTGGAAATAGACAGTGCATGTTTCTACACGAGCTAGGCGACGAGGAGGACAGTTACTCCAGACAGGATCTTTCTTCTCTGAACAGTGTTCATACCCAACGTCCGCTATCGAATGCCGCCTCATCGTCACGTTCTGCATCACGACAACAGGTTTCCCACCTACCCGCGGCTATCTCACAGCCTATGGCCCGCACTGCTAGTAAAGAAGGGTCAGACGCCGGTGACGGACCGGCCCTGCCAGCTTCAGCAAATTGGGCACGCACTACTCAGCAGCGTAGTAGAAGAGGTAGTCACGCCACGAGCGGTGCAGCTTCGAGTCCTGCCATCTCGACCTCATTGCCGGTTACCAGTGAATCAACGCAAGAGGCTGTTGAAACTGCGGTGACAACAGAACCGCCTCCTCCGGCTAGCCGAAAAGCAGAGAAGCAGCCGGTAGCTGATAGTCCTGCTAAGTCTGAACCCGCCAGCACCAAAGCTGCGTCCGATCCGGAAGATGAGGTGCCTGACTTTGGCGAACTTTTTAAAGTCATTGCCAATTGCCCTCCCGACGCGTTTCTACCCCCTAAAAACAAGGATGACTCTTACCCCCCCTTATTCGACGTAAATGGCGGTGCGAAAAGACGAGCTATGAGGGAAGAGGATGAGAATCGCTTAGGTGATCACGAAGAGCAAGTCGACAACATAGAGGCATCAGAAGGCGAGCCTGAGAGCGGCAGCCTCGCGCTTGGTGGGGAACCGGAAGATAGAGACCAGGGTCGCGATAATGGCCGCTATGACCAGAGACGAAATCCGACGCAACCTCCGATCCAACGAACTAACACGAGCGAACTGTTTGGACCAAGCCTATCCGGCTACGCCCAGAACCCCACGGCTATCGGCTCTATTGGCGGCCGTACGATAACGCCACAGCAGCAGCAGCAGCAACAGCAGCAGCTCTTCGTTCGTCCCCAGGGTAGTTTTGCGGACCAGATGCCGCCGGGTATCTCGCCACAGTCCTCGCTCTTCCAGGGCCAGGGGCACAGTCGTCAACAGTCTAGGTTTAGCTTTGCGAACGAGAACAGTTCTAGCTCGATCAATGTGAAGTCAACTGCTGACCCGCGGTACATGGCACAACAGTCATCTATGATGCCGTCCACATATCGCTCGCAGCCAGGCAACCAGCTCTATTCTTCTATACCAGGACCCCCGCCTGGACTCAAGTCCGCCGGTTCAACGCCCGTTAATGGTGGCATGTTTGGCCAGGGGCATTCGTTTGGAGGATCAGCGTTTGGCGCGGGATCGAAGGATAATTCTAGTGAACTCCTCCAGTCTATCATCCGTGGGAGGGGCGCGGGCAGCACCCAGGCCCACGAAGCGGCAAAGCGTGAGTACTTCCCTTTCAGTAATCAATACCCACCCTCCACCTCCTCCACCCCAGCTCCTGCTCCGGCTCCGGGCCTCCTGGCATCGCTCCATGGTACCCAGCCTGGGGCTTTCCAAGATTTCGGACCTAAGCAGAAGAAGAAGGGGAAGAAGCACAGACACGCTAACACTTCCTCCTCTGGGGGGAGTGGCTTAGTAGATCTTGCGGACCCGAGTATCCTGCAGGCGAGAATGCAGCACCAGCAACAGGGAACCAGCACCGGAGTCGGACAGGGGCTGTACGGAGGACAAACCCAAGGTGGGTACAACCCCAGCATGGTTTATGGGAACAGCGTATACGGCGGCAGATGGTAGCTGCTTTGTAGCGCATAAGGAGTATGGCGGCGCGTTTGTTTTCTTTTCTGCTTGGCTTCGCCAGGGGTACGTCAGGGGCGTCTAGGTTTTCGGAAGGGGTCAAAGGAAATAATCGGAATATTCCACAACATTGTTTGAGCGAGCATTGCAGAGAGGCATGGCCCAGGGCGGGTCTAGGTTGCATTTGGCGTCCCCATTGCTCTTGGAAACGACGAGGCTTCGCGGCCAGTGCTTTGCCTTTCAGATGATACACACTTCTTTTCTGGCACTATTCTGTTGTTTGTTCCTCGCATTATTCGGTCGTATGGTCACGCCAGGCAAGCTATCGTCGTCTTCCACAAAGTTCTTCATGTACGTTAACACGCAGGTCGATCCTCCAGACCAGGCCTGAGAGGCTGCTCAATATAGCATTTCTTCCTCGTACCCGATGCTCTTGTCATATATAAACTTGTGGAAGACGACGATGGAAACTCCGTGATGCGTCGCCTGCTTTTTCTGTCTCCTTAGTATTGTAGTTCATCGCGTATATTGGTAAGAGTAAGCTAACGTACCGTGCCTCTTAGACGATGACCTTTTACCCCTCGACGAAGTTTCCTCGTCGGTGGATGCTCTTGTTGCGGATCCCGACGTCCCCGAAGAGCCTCGTTTACCCTTCTTGAAAGACGTTGTAAGGATACCGTCCGTGCCACCCGGGCTTGGACTCAGTCACTCCCACCCGCCGGCGCAACTTAATGAAAGGAGCTCAACGCCCGTGCCACATGGCCAGGGAAGCCAAAATGCAGCGATATCTGGAAAGTCGCCCGCTATTCCGCGGCCCGTGACTCCGCTCATATCTAAAACTCCTGTGAAGCCAGCTTCAACTAAGAAAGAAAGTATTCCTGCCGTCGGAACCGAAGCGAAGAAGAGTATCAAGGAATTAGCGGCAAAGAGTGGCTTGTCAAGGGACATAGCTGCTCAAGCGTCGAAGTCTAAAGGAAAAGGTGTCCTTCAAGAAGAAGATTTTCCAGCTTTGGACTCGGTCAAGGCGAGCTCGCCCCCCAAAGTAACCCCAGCCTTACCGTCCAAGCCACCAATTACTACCAAAGCGTCCCAGGGTAAGAAGGTTTCGAACGATAATATAATCAAGGCGTCGCCAGCCAAACCCACGCCCACCAAATCCGAGAAACGTCCAGTTCCTAGCACGCTTGACATCGCAGCCGCTACAAAGACTATTCCACAGCCTGCTGTTAGCGAAACAACAAGTGGGACAGATAAACCTCAGCAAATCCCTACTAGTATTTCCCAAGCCAGCAAAGCCCAGGGAGCTTCCGCTTTGTCTACTCCTACACCCACGACAGCATCTGTATCTTCTCCCATAGCAAAGGTTGCACCAAAAACACTCCGTCTTGTCCATACACCCAAGGCGGAGGCGTCGCCTATTCTGCCCCCCGCAGCTGTCGCATCGATTCGAGCTGCTGGAGTGGCCGGTTCCGCTCACCGACCCGCGACGCCTGCAAGCGAAGCCATCTCTGACACCGCGTCCATCGTTAGTGCGTCAGTGTCGGTGTCACGGACTAGCTCTCCGCCACCCTCGAAGATTGGCTCCGCTTCTGTGCGCGCAACCACGAAGAGTCAGCAACGCAAACAACGTAAAGAAGCTTCGAAGGAGGCCGCCGCTCAGATCGCCGAATCAAAGCCCATCGAACAAGAGGTAGAGATAGCTCCCATCCTTGGCAGAAAGAAGAAACAGAAGAAAGAGAAAAAGACGACCGGCGTAAGCCGCCCAGACACACCTAGTGGTTTAGAGCAGCAGCCGGATACATCAGCCCCTCAGAAAACTGCTGCTACAGCTCCTGCAGAAGTAAGCGAGAAGACTAGTAAAGCTAAGAACACTAACTCGGTATCCGAGCTACCCAATGCTGCTGGAGTGCAGAAGAATAAGCCGGCCAAGAGCCCTCCCAGGAGCCCTGTCACAATCGACACTTCAATAAGATTGAATGAGTCGACGAAGACTACGGTTCTTACTCCTGATTACGTCGGCCACGCCCCAGAACCCAAAATCGAGCAGCCCATGGACGAAGATGTTGGTGACATTCCTAACCTGCGTGACGTCTTTCGAAGTATCATGGAAAGCGGTAGTTACCCCGATGCCGAGGCGATTAGTTTCTTCAAGCCCGCGCCCGGCTATCGCTCGGATTTCCCTGGTAATATTCCCACAACCTTACCACCGACGCTGAAGACTATCGTCACTAAGGAAGATGAGGACAAGCTCAACGCATTCCAGCCCGTTCAAAAGACGGTGAATGAGCACACCGTACTCCTGACTCCCAACGGGGACTGTCTTCTCAACTTGACCGAGGAAGAAGCAGAGCTATTCCTCGAACTACAAGACCGCATAAGAGCAGATAGCGCTCTCCCCACCGCCTTTTCGGCACCTCGCCACACTCCCGCTACAGGATTCAGCCTGGTTAAGAACCGCGCTGTACCTAACGGCACTCCGTCATACTTCCCCTCCGGACCAGACAACTACCCCAGCGATCCCGTCGGCAAGATGCACCGCGAGGAAGCCATCAGCTGCATCAACCAGCACGTCCTGCCGTCGCTAAATCTCAGCGGCTACAAGGCCGGCCCCGGCGGCGGCCCCAGCTCCACCACCGGCCGCAACGTTAATCTCCAGCAGCTGGCGCCGTGGATCTGCCCGTCGGTCGATAACGCCGAGGAGCGTGGGAAGATGTTTGGAGGCCGTGCAGGCGACGAGTTCGTCGGCGGCGGTGCCGGCGGGGTCGATTACACCTGCCACGACCACGTCCCCGGCGTTAATGCTAATGGCGGCCCGGCTATCGGCAGTGCCCCGTTGATGAGCGTTGAAGATGCGGAGGCGGCGCTCGTCCTTGCCAAGAAACAGCATGAGGTCCTTGATAAGAAATTCAGACAGCTCCAGGCTAGGAACAGGCGCCTCGTAGGCCTGCATTGACTGCCTGGCTCCGCGCGTGATCCGTTCGCGGGATATGCGGCTGCGATGGCGGTGTGGGTTGCGAGGATTGTGGCGGCTGCTTTTGTGGGTGTTTTACGCTCTATGATGAGAGCGGCTTTGGGGGGTGTGGAGGAGGTGAGAGTTTTTACGCAGTATTAATTTTGATGCATTTGTTTGAGGGGGTGAGAGCGCGAGAGTTGACCGACCGGCTTGACTACGTTATGGTAGTTGGCATTCATTCGTTTCACTTTCACACGAGAAGAGAATAGGATGATGGATGGGTGGCTCCATAGCGAGTGTCAAGTCGGAGTCAGAGTCAGCGTAGAAGACCACCTGTGTGTGGCCTTCCTATCACGACGTGATATTTGTACGAGTATTGTTTCTTACTAGCGGAGTATCTGCCTAAACGTCCGCATCGCAGCTCAGTATGCTATGTGTCTACGAGTGCCAATTCGGCTCGGTTTGCGGTATTGACAACGGCAACGGCAACGGCGTTGGGAGGCAGGCATACATGAGAGACGGTGCGCAAGCATGTTTGTTTGTATTGTATTGTATTCAGCATTTGACCTACTGGGTCGCAGGAGTTCGATAGGTTATGATAGGCTCTTGGAGCCGTGCATGATTTGATTTTTTCACTTATGCTTTACTCGTGTTTTACCTAGTATGTGCGTTGTAGTCTTACGTTCATCTTAACGGTGTTGTTAATATGACATCCATTCTAAGTAGTGAGGTGTCCTTCTGTACGTTTTATGTTAGGCTAATGATGTTCCCATGGTTGTGACTTGTTCTATATGCTAGTGAGTTTCGTATTAAGAAGACGGGGCTTATGGATAAAGTATATATTAGAGACCTCGTTAAAAAGGACTCTTATTATATCCTTTCGTACAGCGAGGATATTACTTCGTTTCTTGTATGTTTGCTCTTCTACTATCACATGTAGCTTATAGCTAGTAGTGCCTAAGTCCATCTTAGCGTAGTAGGTTAGGTACCTACTTATCCGCGCGGTATGAGCCAAGATGCTTCTATAATTATCCAGTTTATGACACTAACTGTTCGTGCTTTGTAGTAGGTATTTCTCATAAGTTGCATTTGCTCTAACTATCACGAGAATAATGAATAATAGTATTTTATGTGGTACTTAAACTTGTATTTACATGTATGAACCTTTAGTTTTAATACTCGGCTTACTCTATTGTCGTAGTATCTTAAAACAAGAAGCTGTAGTACTTGTTATACTCGAAACGTTAAAGGTATAGCTTTAAGGCAGTATAAATTTAATATTAATATTCCCGGCTAGCATTTTGTAAATTCGAATGTTCTTTCAACTTCAAGGTCAAGAAATAAAATGTATAACTGGAATGGGAATCACTGCGAGGGCTTATTTCACGTTTATCTAGTAAGTAATTATGCTAGGGGTAGCTCTACGGAGTAACTGAAAGTCAGCCTTTAAATCCGAGTTGGGCCATGCGCCGGGAATTCCGCGTTGTAAGATCTGTTACTAATTTCTATTAGCCCGGCATGGCTTCTCAGAACGGCTACCACTTCGTGACTGCAATTTACCAAACCCCACGTCATGTGCCCATCACGATCTAAGCCACGAGGTCTCCATCTGTCACTAATAAGTTTGTCGATGTTGTTTAGTGAACTTGGCTAGCCTTGTATATTCGCCATTACACTTATGCAATCAGATGTTATAGTAATTGTTAGCTACAGAAAGACAACTCTTTTACAGGAGTCTATAGAGTTTGTGGAGTTTAGCACATCGTCATAACAACTCTATTAAACGTCGAGTTGCTGGAATAAGTTGAATTATTTCCTTCCTTTACATAATATATCGTTAGTCCGGCCAAATTCGTATTAACCATTTGACCGTTTCGATTTAACTGGAGCAATTGTTCTGTCATATCAAACTTACCGTAATATCACCAAGTATACTACTTACGAGATGGAACAAAAGTTCAGCATTTGTTGTTGTAAACTAGAAATAAAGATACGTCTTTATCCCTAAACTTGCGCAAAACCTGTAAATACCTAGGTACCTATGTAAGCTTGCTTTATGATGATTAAAGAACAATAAACCGAAGAGACTATTCATGTGGCAGAAACGCGTATGCAAGCGCCCGCTCAACCATTAAGTTGCATTAGGGGACGGTTATCTTTGTATCTTTACTAAAAAGCAAGCGCGTGCGGCATCGAGGGATCAATGGGATCGACAATAGCGCCGTATAATCGGATTTTAAAATAGGGAATTTTAAAGCTGGTAAAACACGATACGCAATTTCTGAAATGCGATGAGTAACTATAAAGATTCCTGTTAGTGTTACCTTTATCATGTCTTTAAAACTCTTTTTCTATAATAATAATATATTGTCTCGAGAAAACAACAACAGTAATAATAATAGTAATCGGAATATAACGTCGAACTTGATTTATTTTCGTTGTTGCGTCATCGAAGATGGCTTGTTGCAGATGATTACATATACGTTTGCGCTTACACGACAGTTACGGTTGAATAATAATACTTGTCACGTGGAGGCCGAGCTTGAGGCTGATTAAAATCGGCCATGTGCCGATGTGCTAAGGGGTTAGCATCGGGCATAACAACGCATGGATCGAATATATTTATTAATATGATTGGTGGATCTGCATAAAAAGACCCCACATGGCCTATAAGGTTAAAATTCCCGATCCAATAACGATCCAATAAAGATGACGATGACAGATTCTTTCAAGATCTCGAAAGAAACCGCTTCTGCAGCGATCGATGCGTAAATATGTACATCGGGTTACCTAATGTAACACAGCTCAACAGCTCAACAGCCAAGTCGGTCTTCATTCATTTTAACCTTTATTGACGCCCAAAGCCGAGATTTGAAATTACCGTTACCACATCGCCATCCGCCCTAAGAGCCTCCCCCAGACCGGTCGAGGCTTTTACGCGGTTAGCCTAACGGATGCCATGCTCGAATAGTTAATATATTGGCACAATAATCGTTTATGGGTTATGGTGGGCCTTTGATGTTGTGCGATGTAGAACGTATTGTCTCCGAGGTTGTCTGCCACTAAGAACAAGCCATTTCTCCTATGTAATACAGTAATAGCAACGAGCTTGTCTAAGAAGCGTGTCTAAAGGGGGCTCAAGCATGGAGCATGAGATCTGAGACTTAAGACAAAGGGTGTGAAACTGAACAATTGGATAACTTTGAACCATCGGATTTTAGGATTCTGATCGCAGATGCGCGAAACTGTAATTAGGTAGACTGGTTTTCCCGTTTTTCCCGTTTTTCCCGTTTTTCCCTTTTTTCCCGAATTAGAATAGATTCTAGGTAATTGCGTTCCCGTCAACCGTGGGATGCTTTAAACCGTTCCGGCAGCGGGGCCCTGTAGCTCAAAGATGGGGCCTTTATGATGCTCGATCATGCTCGATCAGAGCTATGACACGGGATGGTGACGATCATCCAACAGAGGCGCATCTGAATAGCCTATTACCAGTACTCTGTCCGTACTATCGGTAACCTCTGTTTGCCGAATGGACTAGAACATGCAGTTCTGCCCGCTTGCAACTCAACGTCCGATTCTCCTCGATACGAACCATCACGCGCGGTCAGTTTAGTAAGACATCTTTCATACCTACCTCTTTTACTATCCAAACCAAGATCCAAAGCCATACATCAGCGTGAGACATAAGTCGAGTCAGATGGTACATAATCGTCTCTATCCACTACCAAGTCCCAGCTATCTCGTCGTTTAAATATAGCAGAACATCGTCGCCGCACCCTATAAGCTCCAAGGAACAGCATCCTTAGCTAAACGTTACTACAACTAGGCTGTTTTAAGTTACGGTGGAGATTTATCCTAGGATTCTATGTTATAAGCTTGTCTACCCGCCGCGTCTCTCTCTCTCGTTATAAGGATCCAACCTTCTCGGGATACGCTTGGACTTACAAAACCATACTCTCACCAATAAATACCATCTCACAATGACCATCATGAACTCTTGGGAAGAGAGTGCGTTGCAAGTATGTCACCACATTCCCTTTCTAGTTATTTCTACTGCAAGCTATTAGGCAGTATTTATATTACTTGCCGGATAGCGTCATACCAGGCCAACCGCTGACGTACTTTTAACGATACAGTACCGATACCAGGACAATGGAGCATTTACAGGAGGATCGGACAGCGTTGCAATAGATCCAAAAGATACTGTACACGATGGTATAATCTATCCAGGACTCTATGCCCCGAGTGGCTTTGATATTATGAACATACTCGTAAGCACCTATACAAGCATCTCCTGCAGATATCAAGTTCTCTAACACGGCAAAGATACAAGTCATGACAAGACCAAACCCTGTCGTCGAACTCGGCCCCATCGATGCTTCCTGCGCCCTTATCATGTGCGATCTCCAGCAACAAGACTACCCCATAGTCTACGCCTCAGATCCCTTCACCGAGCTAACCGGCTACTCGCATTCCGAGGTGATCGGGCTGAACTGTCGGTTCCTCCAAGCGCCAGGCGGGAGAGTCCGAAAACAATCAACTCGGAAACATGTGAACAAGGAGGTTCTCAAAACGATGCGGCGATCCGTTGAAGCGAACGATGAACTGGCAGTCGAGGTTGTCAACTTCAAGAAGAACGGGGATAGATTCGTCAACGTGTTGACCATGATCCCGGTGCACTGGGAGAGTCAGACGCCGCGGTACTCGGTGGGCTTTTTGGCTGAAAAGACATGGTGAAACTACCAGCCTGATTTCAACGTAACAAATACAAAGGGGAGGAGGGGGACAAGAAGGAAGAGGGCGTTAGGGAGCGAATGTTTTCGAACTTGAAGTATGATACCCCGTCGTTAAACCACGCTACCAGGCACCAGCATCGCGTTTTTTTTTTCCGTCGCCAGGCATATTTTCTGCTTCTAGGCATCTAATCTGCATCTGATACCCATTTTTTCTATATCACGGGACTGGCATGGGCATGCTGTCGATGGGATTCATGGAATCGCGTTTGAAGATTATTTGAGAGGGGGGGGGGGGGTGAGGACTATATATGAAGTTACGAATGAATGGTTTTTACTTTCGACGGAATGAGGTTATTCACATATTTGGACCTAGGTAGTTTACATATATATACATATATACATACAACAGCTTGGTCTGGGTGAGATATTGTGGAATAGCTGGATTTTTGTATTACCTAGCCTGTCTACTGCTCCTTAGGTGCTCAAATGATGTTACTATATTCCCCATGGGAATGTAAAGGCTCAACAGTACACACCAGTCAAGTATATTATTATTGTTAACAACTAGACAAATTCCCATATACTCTCTATTATATATCGTACGATAATCAGTTTAGTGGGTGTAAATAACTTCGATGCCATATACTACTAGAAAGCGAAAGGCCCCTTTGACAAAGGAAATTCTTGACCTAGCAAACAAAACACAGCTAGTTGGGGTAGCCTTCCTTCCTAGCATATCGTGTCCTCACTCAAACCGGGGCTCCTGCGGGTTAGCTGTAGTCAGACCGATAGTATCTGAGCCAGCACCCACCTTTCGTCCTTTCGTCTGGGCATACCATGCACGCATGCACACTCCTCTCTCCCTCCCTTCCTCCCTCCCTCCCTATACACACGCAGCGATAACATAACAACAACACATTACGTCAATCGAAACCACAGCATTATCTAGCTTTCCATCCATCCATCCATCCATACATACATACATACATACATACATACATACATACATACATACGAGTTAGCAAGCAGTAATAAGAGAGGGGAGGGATCTTACCGGAAGCCCTAACAAAAGCCGAGTTGTCGAATACGAACAACTGACTACCTACCACCCCTACCTCCCTAATGCAGGTAGCGTGGCATCCTTACCCACTCCTGCTCACCCGTTATCTTTCCCCGATCGCCCTACCGTAGGCAGGCCGTCCCCATCGGAGCGTGACTTGCATTGCTTGCTTTCTTTCTTTTTTTCCCTTTTTTTTCGGGGATTCGGCTAGGAATTGTGCTTTGCGCTGAGACTCTCCCGTACTGACATGACGGAACCGGTGGGGATAAGGAAGGAAGGAAGGAAGGGTCTTCTTTATTGGTATGTGTGTTTGCGTGTGTGTGTTTATTCCTGCCGGTGATGGCGGCGGTGGCGAGAGGGGCTTGTTGGAGAGGGGATGTTGGCTTGTTCCGTTTGGGTTTCTTTTCTCTTGAGCATACGTGATGCAGATGGGTGTTGTCTTAGTATGCTACTTGTCTAGTTGCATGAGGCAGGGTGGATTATTGGCTTAGTACCTAATGTAGCTAGTTTTCTCGTTTACTTATTGGGCCTGCGTAAAGGGCGTAAAGGGGCTTGGTTCTGTATATTGTCTACCTACGTCGGTAGTAATATTGAGGATTTATGTGTAAATGTCCTGGAGCTTCTGTGTTCGTATGTTAATTCTACTACTATTCGCGATGGGCGTCTACGCCTGGGACGAGCTGGCTGTAGGTATTATGCGGAATACTCGTTAGAGTGTGAAATCTAATGGTATTGTTCGTGATGAATCGAGGTCGTAATAGTACATCAGGCTAGACTGGAATATGCAAGTTATATTTAAGACATTGGTGATTGCTGTAACCCCGATGCTTAATCTCTCGACAACTATTACTCCCCTAAGCAATAGTACACGGCTATGACACTCTTCAAAGACTCGTCTATCTTCGTTGTAAGAGCTAGTACATGTAAGCTACATTACGACCCGATTAGGCGTGTACATAATATCATATCGTTTAATAAGTCAACAACTATAAACAGACTTAGTTACTCTACTCCCTCCAAGGGCAGGTCTCATCTTAAGAGAATCGTGAACACCTCTATTAGCCTAATATCCCTACAACATTGGTATCTTTTATTCCTGAGAAACAACATCTAATAAACAGGACCCTTACGGACAGCACACCCAAGCGGAACTCCCGTTCCGCCCCGAGCCGTGCAAGGTCGACGATTTTAATTACCATGCCCCGATCCTCTCCAGCTGCCTATCCCCACCATGTCCTTCCTTGCCTTACATATAAGACGCGACATACTTCGTCAAGATCCAGAGCCCTCGACTTTACACGAGGGAGCTAAACGACTATCGCAAAGCTTTCATCTGTATCCGAGCCCTATGCCATTACCACATCCAACTTAGAAGACCGTCCCTCAGACGAGTCTTAATAATCACGTAGCTCCCTCTAGCCCATACGCTTCTCCTTGCTACGGAGTGCGCTGAATCTTCATAGCCGATCCATAACACGAAGATCCGTGGTCCCTAATTCCAAGGGCCCGAACCTGAATCTCGTAGAATAACCGTTCATTAAAACCGCACCTTCTTATCTCGTCTCGACTCCCAATCCCTCTTCGAGAGTCCCCAACGAGCCTAGCTTATCATCCAGCCAGCGCGCCAGCTCCTCCGCCTGTCGCCGCGTAGCCACCACCGCCGTAGCCGCAACGCTAGTCGTAGTCGCAATACTCGCCGTCGTCGCAGCTCCGGCACTAACCACGCTTTCGACCTCCGACGGCGATCCAAGCGGCGTCGCAGGATGCGGCTCGTTTGAATTCGACTGCTGCTGTTGAGCGGGGGGCACCGTTCGCGCCGGCGTATGCGTGACGTAATCACCTCCCGCCCCCTCGGCACCCGCACTCGGGCCAATACACACGAACAGCAGGCCGCAGCGCAGCCGTCGGATAACCATGACACCGGCCACGAGTTGTATCGTCACAGCGCTAGGCGTCGGATGCGGTACTGGCGAGGGGGATGTGGACTGTGCACGTTGAGACTGGGGCAAGGCCTCGGCGACGGTCTCGGGCGTCGAATACAGCGCCCACACGGAGGCGGCGACGGTGCATTGCGTGCGCAGGGTGCCGACGGAGTGGGGTGACGCGTGCGCGAGGAGCTTGCCGGAGAGAGTCGTTAGGACTGCGGTGTGGACCTGGGGACCGAGGTTGGCGCTGAGGAAGGCGGTTAGGCGCTTTGTGAGGAGGAGGGAGGGCGTGGGGGAGGAGGGCTGTTGGTTGGGCATCGTGGGTGGTGGTGTTGTTGTTGTTGTTGTACGTTGTGCGATCTCACGTGCGGACTTTGGGGGGGACCTTGGGGGGGAGGGGGGATATAACGAAAGTGGGAAGTTGTAATTATAGCCGTGGAAAGACGACGGCGCGCCGGCGCTATCTACGCTGATTTTCTCATTGACTGGAGCGAGGCTGCGAGATTAATAGCTTTTCGCTGTTTGTTTGTTTGTTTTGGATGCTCGAGTTGGATTGTAGCGCTGTCTGTTTGTTTGCTCACTTGACTATGATCATCGTCGCGATGGTGGCAGAAGGTTGGTTGGGTTAGGTGACGTCGAGGGTTGGTTGGTTGGTTGGTTGGTTGGTATGTAGCCGGCGTCAGGGGCTTATGACTTAGTACTTGCATGGTCCGAGCGCCCAGCGCTGTACTTATAGCGAACCTCGGCCGTTTCTAGCGTGATAAGATAAGGTTGAATTGCATCCATCTCCTAGCATCTTCCCTATCCTGCTAACAACTCACCTACCGAACTCCTTCCTCGTGCGGTATGGCATCTAGCGTATTGCATCTCCTCGTGCTTGGGCGAATGCTAGTTTATTAAAGGAGGTAGATCAACTCAAACCGAAGTTGACAGTATAAATAAAGGTGAACTCTGAGAAAAGACTCTATAGACCGATTCACGTGATTGATGTATATAGTTCTCGAGTTCAAGAAGATGTATAGGTAGGTAGGTTAATTATATTATCCAAGAAACGTTCATTTATACTCACATTAACCTACCATCTTCATGTTTTAGGAATGATTCAAAATAGCAGCTAGAAGGAGAGTCAGTGGTCTTGAATTGAGCCTAGAGAAACGGTGTCGTCTAAGACATGTAATTGATACTTGACCTACTGATGACGTCTATTCCTCGTAATTCCCGGCCGGCAGGGCTTCACAAGGCATAAATAGATGCAGCTGTTCCGGCGAGCTGCATTACCTATCGTCCAACAGTTGAGCCTGGGGTCCAAATTCACTCAACCCTGGAAAAACAACGAACAATATATCTCAATATCTTTTTTTCAGTTCCCCGGTGTTGTAAATAATAATTCAACCTCGGGCTACGATAAGTCTATACGGTAGATTTCTAGATCTTCGACAATAACGAAACTTCACAGTATAAGCGAAGACTACAAGTTAAGCTTACAATCTCATGGCGGACACTACTACCACCTCGCCCCCTCTTCATAGTGATACAAACAGCCGCCCATCACTAGCGAATAGAGGAACTTCCAAATCGTCCTTGAAGAACACCCCATCTACCCTGCAACAGCACATCGCATTCTTCGACCCCGACAACGACGGAGTCATCTGGCCGCTAGACGTATACAACGGATTCCGCGACCTAGGCTTCTGCATGCTCTTCTCCCTGGGCTCGCTCCTCATCCCCGTCTTCTTCTCCTACCCCACGCGGCTAGGCCACTCGTGGATTCCCGACCCGTTCCTGCGCATCTACGTCAACGACATCCACAAGGCGAAGCACGGCTCCGACTCGGGCGTGTACGACTTCGACGGGACCTTCAGCCCGGACCGGTTCGACCGCATGTTCGCGCGCTTCGACACGTCCGGCGTCGGCGGGCTCGACGTGGACGACCTGAGGTTGCTGCTGAGTAGGGACCGGTGCGCGGCCGATCCGGCGGGCTGGTGCTTTGCGTTCATGGAGGTCTGGACGACGTGGCTTTTGCTGCAGAAGGATGGCCGGGTCTGGAAGGATGATCTGAGAGCGTGCTATGAGGGCACGTTGTTCTGGAAGATAAGCGAGGAGAGGGCTAAGGGGGATGGCTGGCAGAAAGGCTACGGAGTTCACGACTTTGTACAGAGCTTGTGGCTTCATGGGACTTGGAAGAGTTGGGAAACGCAGGCCAAGAAAGCTACCTAGTTAAATTGACTAGGTAGTTATAGATTGAATAATACACAAGGTTTTCGATCGTATCTAAGACTATTACTAGGCTAAGTAGGCCATCACCACAGAAAATTGCTCGTTTAAGGTATAGGATGTTGTATTCTTATGAGTGAATTAAGTTATAATGTGCCCCTTCGCGAAATTTGACTCAGTCCATCCTCCAACCAGCGTCCCTCATAGTGATCTACCAACCCTCCAGGCTTCAGTGACGTTAAAAGCTATCCATCCATAAGTCTACGGATCAAAGTCCCAATTGTCATCGGGCGGAATTTCGCTAAGACGATACGGCCTCTCGTCATCGTCATTCGCCAAGTCCTGGAAGGTAAAGCCCGAATCTTCGAGACCATCCAATTCATCATCCTCATGATCGTCGAAACGCCAGGGCCCCTTTTCCATTTGCAGTTTATCCACAATCCGGTTCATTTCCACGGTTGCGTCCCATATCTCGGCCTTCGCTTTTGTGTCTTCGGCAGTTTGCTGGGCTTGTTGAGACTCGACGGTGATTAGCTCTCGGCCCTCGTCGGTGGAAACTCTCCACCGTCTGTGCCTCTCGAAGGCTTCTACGCATAGGTGCGAGGTTAGGGTATCTCGGTTTGGGTAAAGGTATTTGCCATCCTCTGACTTCTCGTCTGGGTTGAGCGTCATCATCCTGATTATCACGTTCTTCAACCCAACCGAGTAATCCGCGCCTTCGAGGTTATACCTTACTCCGTGCTTGGTTACATTTTGGATGTGATCGTTTACGTTTGTTTTTGTTCCCGAGGGAGGTATCATCATCGCCTGCATGATCTCGCCAAACGCCCTCCACTCACTGATTATAGTGTAAGGCTGGTCCGGCTAGCGATGCGGTTAGTAAACATCTCGAAAGGAGGCATATGAATCTCGAAGACTTGCCTGTTCCTTATAAGTATAACCATATCGATCATCTTGCTGGATGAGGTCATCTAATAATGTGCTAACATCCCCCTTTCGCGGAACCAAGGCCTTGCCCCTGACCCGTTCGACTCTGGACTTGCCGTCTCCGTTATGATGATTCGATAAGTATAAACTGCCATAGTTGCCTAGCTTGCACTGCCCGTACGTCTCTTTGCGTCTAGGCTGTTGGAATTGTATGTTGGCTGGAGTGATATCCCGGTGTAGAGCAGGATTCCAGTCCGGAGTGGGATCCATACCGTATTTATTGGGACCTATACGGACGACTTCTGGACTACCGTCATGTAACCACGCCAGGGCCTTCAAGACTGAAGTAAGCACATGCCAGCATAGGGATTCCGGTAAGAACTTCTTTGGTTTATCCGTTTTATTGACATAGACATCGACATCGGTCATTTTGGTATCGGTGTCGGATGTTTCATCTTCGGTGTCGGGAGACGATGTACTGTCATCGGTCTCCTGGTCTGGTTTGTACTTGTCATATTCTTCGACCAAAAGGTTTTCCAAGGTTCCGGCGTCGCAATTATCCCAGACGATAAAGGTTCGTTTTTGGTAGTCTCTCGATTTGGGCTTCAGCATTGCAATAGAGAACCAGTCCCGCAGGCATATTAGGTTCTCGTGGTTTATGATAGCCTTGACTTCTTGGAGCAAGTTGGCCCCATCCGAGCTTAATAGGAAACCTAACCCTTTCTTTGCAGGACTTTTCGAGCCTGAGTCTGAGCCTGAGTCTGAGCCTGAACCTGAACCTGAGCCTGAGTCTGATTCCGAGTCCGAGTCCAAGTCCGTCGTAGCCAACATATCAGTGATATCATGAGCCAAAAGTGTCGTCCTGTCAAGTTTCTTGCAGAGCGTCCAGACACCGGGAGCGAGCTCGGTGTGGAAGTCATAATCTAAAGCTCTCTGATAATCATCGTATGGGCTTGTGAACTCCATGGTGATGATGGTTATTAGCGAATCGTTATTCAAACTAAGAAAAAGACTACCCGGTGTAAGAAGGATGATAATTATGGTTTTGACTACGAAGACCTTAACTTGGATGTAGAGGTGTGTCGAGGCCGATTCTTTTGGAATGCTGGTACCTTCTAATGCCTTTGTTCCTCACATCCGTATAAGGAAAAGACTACATTCCAAAGACAGATTCGTCCAGAGACCTTCGGTTCTCCCACAAATAGTTGGTTCCAACAGCGTCCATTGTTCATTCCGTAGGTCTAATATCACATTGCAGACTCTTGATAAACCAATGCATGCGTGGTGTATATTAGGTATTCAACTCGTAGCTCATAGAGAGTTCATGTATTATCACGGCCGTGGTAGAGGATAGTGACGAAGCCTTTTCCTACTTATAGGTAGGTATGTGTGTAGTTTTCCATTAAACTTGATTGCTTTTCTTCCTTCAACTCGGAATAACAATATATTTAATCTTACCTAGATACTAACTGCTATGGCCTTGTTATCGGTTAGTGACTGGACCATTACTCACTAGAATAATAGCAGGGCTTATTGAGTGTCTTTATATTTTAATATGTTACTCGACCCTTCCTTATATAGAGTGTGACCTGTCTCGACAGGTAGTAGGTGGAAAGCCGTATACAATAATGCGTGTTCGTGATTGGAATCCGACATATCCGCAGACAGCAGACAGACTTGCGGAGGATGCGAATGAGAAGATATACATAACCCGACCACCTGACGAAAACGAACGCCAAGAAGGGTCCTGCCGCCCTATTTGAAGATCTGATCTAAGGATTCGTTGATATTGTAATGTAGCTGAGACTATAGTCCACCGTAGAGGAATCCACCGTAGAAGCGCGTAGATATCGGGCTTTTTAGGTAGTTAAATTGGAGCTATCCGTTCCGTTGGCTGTGAGAATTTGAACCGACCCGACGCCAGATGATCGCGTAGGGCAAAACATAAATCAATTCACGCATATTGCAATTTCGTAGGTTAGTAACGGTCGGTAAAGGATTTTAGCCGCCTATATAGAAAATGTAAACAATCAGAGCAGTCTAAAATAAATGCACGACGTTTCAATGTTTCATGTTTCCTTTAAATTGGGCAGTTATTAATTGGCGGTTGGTAGGTAATTTCTATCAGGGTTACAAAGCCGCTGTACGTACATTTATTTCCTGCAGTGTGCAGAGTGCAGTCGCTGAAGAGGGTCCACCACTTGCCCCCGCTCTTTGGTAGACAAGCATTTTCAAACTGACGAAAGGAAGCCAAGGAGCCCAGGGAGCCCCAAGGAGCCACAGGGGTCTAGCGCTAATCTGAATTTAGTGTCCGTACCTTGCATGACTGGGGTAAGAGGTCCAATTAGCGATCGAGTTGATAAATCTGTACGCAGGTACATCTGTTGTCTTCGCGCAATCTCAAACCGCCAAAACGGTCGACCCGATTTCACTCCCCCCTCTTCTAACCCAGGAACCAACCAAGCCCCCCCTCCCGAGGCCTTGCCCTCCTCCCCTTTTCGCAATCCTTTGTTCGGTCGCAAATGTCAATTGACCAAGCCACTTTGTCCCTCAATCTTACCTAACAAAAGAAGTCTTCCGAGGACAATAACACAACGACATTCGTTCAATAGGCTATCAAGTGTTGTGGTTCTCATCATCCACCACTTCCCACTCTCTTTTATCACTATCACCGAGATACCCACTTAGTCCACGTTTCACCCAATTCCGTCTTTGATACTCCATTGTGCCCTGGGAGTCGATCAAACAAAGCCCAGCGACACCAGCCAACGTTGGACCTGTGCTCTTTAGTCGCCCACGCCTTGATTAGTTTGTCATTCCACTCTGACCTTTCGGCACTGGAGATTCAACCAAACTGAGACATTACTCGGATCATTCCTTGGACCACTTCCATTTCCAAACGAATAGCGAACCGTCAAACCCGCAGTCCAAGAATACCTAATCTTCGACTGCAATGAGACCGCGATAGCGGCCTCCCGCATTTTCGGATACCCACTAGTATGTCTGGCATATCTCTCCGCTAGTGCGCTGAGACCTATCATTACGGACGGATATCATTTCCAACGCCTCCTTGTCTTAGGACGACGTTCGTCTCTCTCTTACGAACAACCCTTCCGGGATTTCATTCTCTTTTCAAGTCTTTTCTTGACGCCCTACGAGCTTAAGCTCTCCTTCTGATTCGAGAGCGCGGTCGATTACTTCGCGGGCGAGGAGCGACGACTATGCAATACGGCGGGTCCGATTGAACAATTGACAATTGATTGACGACGGATCAGTATTCGTTTCGAGGGTGTCACGACTTCAATTACATTCACTTACCTTCTTTTCTTCGAAGCCAATCCCTTGATTGGCAACATTTTGATACCCCATCCCCTTCGTTTTGTTAGTTTCCCACACTCGGGTGGGCAGGTTCTTGTCATAGCAACTTCACATATAGCAAGATGGGCTGCATTCGAGGTCGAAAACAGGCGGAAATCCGTCCTGAACAGAAGTGGGATGCTATTGTAGGTTCCCTCTAGGTGCACGTTCACTTGTCGGATTTTATGCTAACGACTTCGCTCTGTAGAGTCTGAAAGACTTCAAGTCAACGTCATGTTTCACTCCCTTCGCCTACGCTTACCTTTACTTTTCTCTTATTATATCCCTGGCCGTTTATGGTGTTGATACCTTTACCGCCATCAATCTGTTAGCTTTCGATACCTGGTCGTCTAGTATTGAACCTACTCAGCTTGTCTCGTTCGACGTATCGAAATGGATCTTTTCGATTTGCATCATCGCCTCTGTCGTTAACTTGGCGTTCGAACATATTCGCGCCATGAGGGTCATGAAGCGAGGAAGTGTAGCCGAATGCTATCTTGACAATCTCGCCGTGCGCTTAGAAAGCGTCCGGCTCGGGAAGGGTCAAGGATGGAGGCGCTTTCTTGTCTTCGCCGAATTGACCAAGTCCAGGAAAGGTGCTGAATACGTCGCGCTCTTTACGTATTTCAACTTCCAATGTAAGTATCGATATTCGCAAACGCAGCAAGAAGTAAGCTGCTGACCTAGCCTTAGCCTGGATTCGAGTCATATTCTGCTCCGGACCGCGACAAGTTGTCAATGCTCTGACCTTGTACTCTGTTTACAACTCGAATCTCATTCCGACCGATGTTTCTTCGGTGCAGAGCACGCTCGGGACATTCTTTGGTAAACTCCAACATCTCGCCGATGAAAACAAGCAGCAGGTGGTGATCCTATCGGGTATGGTGTTCACGTTGATCGTCTGGGTTTTTTCTGTACTTTTTCTACTCGCCGCGACTCTATTTTACGTGTTCTTCCTCTGGCATTATATCCCCCGACAGGACGGTGGACTTCACGGTTACTGTGAGCGGAAGGTCAATAAACGATTGACAAAAATCGTGACGGTCAAAGTCAATAAGGCTATCGCCAAGGAAGAGCGAGACCGGGCGAGGGCCGAGTTTAGGGCGGCGAAGAAGGCCGGTGAAAAGCCGCCCCTTGGACGGCAAGCGACCTTACCCACCATACCGACTTTCATGGACGACGGTACCGAAGATAAACTCCCGGATATGCCTATGCTCAATCGTAACGACACCATGGCTACCTTGCCTGCATATACCTCTCGACCTGGTTCGCAGCATAGCATTGAACTTAATTCCTGGGATCAGAAGCGACCAGCACCATCACGACAGGGAACAATGGGTACGAATGCCTCAGCATCCAGCTTTTCTTCGCGAACTCCCTTGGTGGGCAATGCAGCTGGAATGGGCTTTGATCGATCGGCATCTCCCGCGCCAACTCTACCGCAAATTGACATGGCCAACTTCCAGCCGCCTGCGCGTCCGGGAACTGCAGCCTCAAATAGGAGTTTCGGACCTGGTCCCCAACCCGTCCGGGTGCAGACTAACGGGAGCGGATTCGGTGCCGGATATGCTGCAAGCCCGTCTACGTATTCGCCGGATACCTCGTCTCCAATGGACGGTTATCGCCGACCCGCGCCCGTGCCCCGTCCGTTTAACCAAATGGGTGGACGCTCTAGTCCAGCTCCATCCGTTTATTCGAACCGCGGGCCGCCTTCGAATGGGCCACCATCCTACGGTGGCCAACCTTACCCACCCCCTCGTAGTATCACGAATCCTATGCCCTCTGGACAGAGAATGCCACCACAGCGGAATATGACAGCACCGATGCCGCCCCGGCAGCAGGATGGATATTACGGGCAGCGCCCTGCAATGGCTCCGAGTCACCAGAGGGATACGAGCCAGGGATATAATTATGGCAGTGATTTGGAATCACAGCGTGATTTTCCAAGATACTAGTAGTATTCATTGCTGAATGACGGTTACGCAGGGGGGTGGGATAGACGTGGATACCCTAATATCATACCACTTACGCAAATAACGTCGATGGTATATCCCTGATCATGGTTTGGGGCTGGTGTGAATAGGCAGAAGGCCGTCGCGTTTAGGAAGCGTCCGGACAAAGTGGCGTTCAGAGGCAAATCCGATGATTTTTAAATAATGAGACTCGATGTATTATACATAACCGCTATTTGCTGGCATTCTGTTGAGTGGCTACGGCTACTAGTTTAACCTATACTACGGATATTCCTCGGCCTTTGTGTGCGCGCGTGTATTGCTTTCTTTGCTGGTGATAGGCTCGATGTTTCTAATTACCTAGGTTAGTTCTTTTGCACCCTCGCTTTCTAGGGGTTTGAATGTTAACGCTAATTCCCCGGCGCGCCCTTTTGATTACTTACATAATAACCTACGCCTTTTCATAGGCTGCTTCTCCAACGGGATTTATACGCTCGCCGTGATGGCGTCACAGAATCCTTGTTTCCGGGGATTACGGAGGGTATTATGCATACCCAACATGTAGTTTCTCTACGTAGAGCCTTGGCAGATAGAAGTTAAGGCGAATGTTATTTTTATAATAGCCGTCTAGGTTAGTTATTAGTCAGGTTCAGGTATGGGAATCAGTAATTCTTCCTGGACTATTACGAACGCACTTCTATATTAAGTTAGGGTCGTTCTCTGAGTTGAGTTGGATTGCTTAAGAGGGTTTCTTACTTGACTGTCTTTTTGTTCTTGCGCTCGACGACTCGCTATATATATAAAGATATACCTATATTGTATTGTATCTACGCAGACTGTCAGGTTAAGTTAGGTTGACACCAATGGCTCAACTTATAGCCCTCGACTCGAGTTTCCACCCCGGCGAACAGGCAGTTCATAAGCTGCTGCGCGTGTCGCACCGCGAGAACCCAACGCATCATAGCCTACCACCGCAGCTCGGATACCGCGTCGCGATTTCGCCGCTCGTGGCGGTCGGGACGCTGGATCGGCAGGGTAGGCCGTGGGCTAGCGTGTGGGGAGGTGAGAAGGGGTTTGCTCAACCGGTGGCTAGGAGTGTGTTGGGGGTTAGGGCGACGGTGGGGGAGGCGTGGGATCCGGTTGTTAGGGAGTTGCTTGCCGTTGAGGATGGTAAGGGGGAAAGAGAGGAGGGGGGGCTTGGAGATGGAAGACAGATCGTCAACGATGCAGTCGTCAAACCGGAAGGAGGTAAGCTGATGGCGGGTCTGTCGATCGATCCCGAGACAAGAGACAGAGTTAAACTTGCCGGCGTAATGGCCGTTGGCACTGCGACAAAGACAACGCCCGGTGTTGCGGACTTGCAACTTGCGTTCCGCGTTGATGAGGCTTTGGGGAATTGCCCGAAATACATCAATAAGAAACGCATCTCACCTCGCGTACCTTCACCACAGCTTGTAAGCAAGGGAACCGGCGTCCCGCTACCCCAGGCGGCGATCAAGTTGCTAGACAAAGCGGACCTATTTTTCATCGCGAGCAAACATGGCACTAAGAGCATGGACGTGAATATCCGCGGCGGCCCGCCGGGGTTCGTACGTGTGCTAAGGAATAGAGATGAGAGTGCGGGTGGTGCTGCATTGGTCTACCCGGAATACTCTGGTAATCGATTATACCAGACGCTGGGAAATATCCATAATGACCCAGCTGTCGGCATCGTGGTCCCGGACTTTGAAACAGGCGACGTGTTATACCTGACGGGGAACGCGGCGATCTTGGTTGGCGAAGTAGCAGCTGTGGTAATGCCGCGTGCGAAGTTAGCTATACGTGTTGAAGTTGTGGAAGCTCGGTTTGTGCGAGAGGGTTTATCGTTCAGGGGCGAGGTTATCGATTACTCGCCGTATAACCCAACCGTCCGGCGATTGACATGCGAGAAGGGATCTAATAATCCTGCGGCGGATTCAAGCAGTGACGCTACTGCTACAGCAAGGCTGGTCACTCGGGAGAGGCTAACACCAACGATTTCGAGATACGTGTTTAAGCTTACTACCTCAGGGGCAAAGGATGTTATAAGAAAGCGGTTGAAAGCTTGGCATCCTGGGCAGCACGTCACGTTGGACTTCAGCGAAGAGCTAGATATGGGATACTCGCACATGCGGGACGAGGACCCGCAGAGTCTGAACGACGACTTCGTGCGCACATTCACGGTTAGTAGGCCCATAGACGCTGGGGTCGTGGATGAAGAGGGGTATATGAAGGAGGATACGGAACCGGAGCTTGAGATCACGGTTAGGAGACACGGTCCGACGACGACGTTGCTGGAGCGCTGGAACATAAGGGTCCTGCTTCAAATCCCGGTGATGGGGTTCGGCGGCGCGGAAGGGTTTAGATTACCGACGGGGAATGGTAAAGGGGATGAAAATACAAGTGTGTTCGTTGCTGCAGGCGTGGGAATCACGCCGTTGATGGCACAGGGTGCTAGTATTCTAAAAGCCACGGGAGAAGGAAATGAACTCAAGCTACTCTGGAGTATGAAAGGCGAAGATGTGCCTCTAGCAGCAGACGTGCTGGAGAAGACAAGCGGCCTCGGAAACGCGACTAAGCTCTTCGTCACTGGGAGGATAGGCGAGAGGGAGCGGGCTATTATATCTACAATACGAGGGCTTGGCGCGGAAGTGATAGAGCGGAGGATAGGGACTGGCGATGTGTTGGCGGAGGGCGAGAAGGGACGGAGGAAGTATTATTTGTGTGCGGGTCCGGAGATGACTATGCAGTTGTTGAAGTGGACGGAGGGCGAGGAGGTGGTTTATGAAAGCTTTGAGTATTGAGGAGAGTTTCGCGGGTTGATGTAAAGGATTGGTGAGATATATATGGCTGAATAGGGAGATACTGAACAAGGTATCTTAAGTTCTTTACTAATATACCGCCAATAACCATGATATATATGCTGTGATTGGGTTTAGAGTATACGACGGATGAGTAAGTGTAAATTGTTGAGAGAACTTATACAAGAATCTTACTTTTTAATTGGTCGGTTCCCCTGAACTACCCGTAAGGAAAGCCCCTCAGCTCGAGCCACTTATGCATGTAGGTATATCTTTGCATAATGCGGTATTTGGCCACCGTTTTAAGCCACGCCAAGACATGGGATGCAGGGCCGCCTGGGGTAGCACGGGGCTAGCATTTGATGACGCAGACAAGTGCAGGCCAACTCATGTGATGCATCCGTCTTAGGAGCTTGTAGCTTCCATCTTCTCCATCATCAACAACTTTCTCATATCAATCCCTTCATCAAATCTTTTAACGTATTAAGGTACCCCACACCCATGGTGCTACTAATCTGTTGCGCAGAATAGTAGAGCATCGCCATGGCTCGAATATCTAACCTCGTCGCCGGCGTTCTGCTGCTAGTCAGCACCGCCGCGGCAGGTGAGCTCTATACGCCTAAACATGAAGCTGGACGTTGCGCCATACGAGGCCACTGTGGAAAGAAGAGTTTCTTCGGAAAACAGGTGCCCTGTGTTGATAACGGACTAGCTACGACTCCCGACCCGGAGTTTTCCAAAGAAATTGAATCCCTATGTGGTCCCAAATGGAAAGACAGCAAGGTCTGCTGCAGTGCTGACCAGGTGCGTTTGCATGCCTATCCCATTATCACTACTATGTTCTCGTAATTATATACGTATATGCGTAGATGTAGAGAGATAAAGGCGCTACTTACTAACAGCCATGTAGCTCCAAGCGCTCAAGTCCGAAATGTCCACTCCAAACCAGATTATCGGCTCCTGTCCTGCGTGCAAGGACAACTTCTACAACTTGTTCTGCACCTTTACCTGTTCCCCTGACCAATCCTTATTTATCAACGTGACCAAGACGCTCGAGAAGAACGGAAAAACTTTGACCGCCGAGGTGGACCACCTGGTGTCTGAAGAGTATGGTCAAGGTTTCTATGATAGCTGTAAGGAGGTGAAGTTTGGCGCTTCGAATTCCAAGGCTATAGACTTCATCGGCGGCGGCGCAAAGAACTACACCCAGTTATTGAAGTTTCTGGGTGATGAGAAGGCTATTGGGTCGCCTTTCCAGATCAACTTCCCCACCGAGTATTCCGAGCCGAGCATGGCACCGAGGGAGATGAAACCGAAGAAGTGCAACGATGAAGATCCGAATTTCCGATGTTCGTGTGTCGATTGCCCCGCCGTATGTCCGGAACTTCCGGACGTGGAGCAATCGGGATCTTGTCGGGTCGGTGTCCTCCCCTGCTTGTCGTTTGCCTCGATATTCACTTATGGTGTGCTACTATTTACACTTATCGCCGCACTGGTCGGTCACGTAGCTTGGATGAAGCATGCGCAGCGGCGAAGCGAACGTCTCCATTTACTTCAAGCTGCTGAACCCAGCGACGATGAAGATGAGGGCGACCTTGTTCGTAACGGAGCCATGTTGGATCGGCCCCAGAGGAATTACGCCATCAACAGTTGGTGTGATACCGCCTTTAGCAAGCTGGGTCATCTTTGCGCAAGGTTCCCAGGCATTACAATATTTAGCAGTCTACTAGTGGTCATCGTCCTCAGTCTTGGCTGGATCAGATTCGCAGTAGAAAGGGAACCAGCAAGGTTATGGGTCAGCCCAGACTCGGCGGCAGCTCAGGAGAAGGCATTCTTCGACGAAAATTTTGGAGCATTCTACCGCGCACAGAAGGTTTTTGTAGTGAATGACACTCAAGCATCCGGCCCTGGACCAGTACTCAGCTATGAGACATTAACATGGTGGTCAGAAGTTGAGGCAAGTGTCAAGCAACTCAAGGGCAAAGACTTTGGTACCACTTTTCAAGACGTGTGCTTAAAGCCGACTGGTCCTGCTTGTGTTGTGCAGTCCCCGACTATCTATTTCGACGGCACAAAGAATTGGAAACCCCAATTTAGAGAATGTGCCGAGTCTCCTGTTAACTGCCGACCCGATTTTGGACAGCCAATAGAGCCAAATATGATCGTAGGTGGCTACGATGGCATGGAGAATATTACCGAGGCGCGTGCCTTCACAGTGACTTGGGTTGTTAACAATCACCCTGAGGGTAGCCCTGAACTTTCTCACGCTATGGATTGGGAACAGTCCTTGAAGAATCGGCTCCTAGAAGCTCAAAAAGAAGCGGCGGATCGCGGTTTACGCCTTTCCTTCTCTACGGAGGTCAGTTTGGAGGAAGAACTAAACAAATCTACCAATTCGGATGCGACAATCATCGTTATCAGTTATCTCGTAATGTTTTTATACGCTTCCATTGCCTTGGGTTCGAGCAGTATGACTATTCGCGAGCTGATAAGGAACCCAGCTGTGGCCTTGGTCCAAAGCAAGTTCACGCTTGGCCTCGTTGGCATCTTGATTGTCTTGATGTCTATCACCTCTTCAATTGGTCTATTCTCATGGGCGGGTGTTAAGGCCACACTCATCATCGCCGAAGTCATCCCCTTCATCGTCTTGGCTGTCGGAGTGGACAATATCTTCTTAATTGTTCATGAGTTCGAGCGTGTCAACATAAGCCACCCAGACGCAATGGTTGAAGAGAGGATAGCCAGGGCACTTGGGCGGATGGGCCCTTCCATCCTCTTTTCGGGGATTACAGAAACGGTCTCTTTTGCTCTCGGTGCGTTCGTTGGAATGCCCGCTGTGCGAAACTTTGCCGTCTATGCTGCAGGTGCGGTATTCATCAATGCTTTACTCCAGATGACGCTCTTTATATCTATCTTGTCTTATAACCAGATGAGGACCGAAGATAATAGAGCAGATTGCTTCCCTTGTGTTCAGGTCAAGGCAGCCCGCGTTCATCTCAGCGGCAGGAACGGCTCCAACGGCCCTCGCCCGTACGATGTACCGGACGAGAGCTGGTTACAACAATTTATTCGAAAGTACTACGCGCCTACCTTACTCGGTAAGAAGGTCAAAGTTCTCGTTGTCGCCATTTTCCTCGGCCTGCTTGCTGCTGGTGTTGCTTTGATTCCATATGTTCAACTTGGATTAGACCAGCGAGTCGCTTTACCCGACGATTCTTATCTCATTGATTACTTCAATGACATGTACAATTACCTGGATACTGGCCCGCCCGTTTACTTTGTTACCAAAGGCGTGAACGTGACCCAGCGCGCTGGACAGAGAGAACTTTGCTCTCGCTTTACGACGTGTGAGCAGCTATCGCTCACAAATGTGCTCGAACAGGAGCGGAAACGGCCCGATGTGTCTTATATATCCTCCCCGACTGCTAGTTGGCTTGACGATTTCTTCCTCTGGTTGAATCCCGACTTTGAGAACTGCTGCAAAGATGGCCGCCGGTCTTGCTTTGCCAATCGGGATCCAGCCTGGAACATTACCCTCAACGGCATGCCTGAAGGTGATGAGTTCGTCCATTACCTACAAGAATGGTTACATTCCCCGACCACCGACACGTGCCCTCTAGCTGGCCAGGCTTCCTATAGTCAAGCTGTTGTTGTCGACGATGAAAAGCTTACTATTCCTGCGAGTCATTTCCGCACGATGCACAAGCCTCTTCGTAGCCAAGACGACTTCATCAATGCTTACGCGTCGGCTCGCCGTATTGCAAACGAAGTCAGCGCAAATACGGGAGTCGAAATATTCCCCTACAGCGTCTTTTACGTCTTCTTCGACCAGTATGCTAGTATCGTCAACTTAACCGCCACACTCCTTGGCTCTGCGGTGGCTATCATATTCGTCGTTTCCTCTATCCTCCTAGGTTCTATTGTGACGGCACTTGTTGTCACCCTGACTGTCGTTATGACTGTCGTGGATATTATTGGCGCGATGGCAGCCTTCAACGTCTCGCTCAACGCTGTTTCGCTTGTAAACTTGATTATCTGCGTCGGTATCGCTGTCGAATTCTGCGCCCACATCGCCCGCGCCTTCATGTTCCCGTCAGGATCCGTCATGGAACGTGCTAAGAACCGTTTCCGCGGCCGCGATGCCCGAGCCTGGACGGCGCTCGTCAATGTCGGCGGGTCGGTCTTTAGCGGTATCACCATTACAAAACTACTAGGTGTCTGCGTTCTGGCCTTTACTCGATCCAAGATCTTCGAGATCTACTACTTCCGGGTATGGCTCGCGCTCGTCGTGTTCGCGGCTACGCACGCCCTTATCTTCTTGCCGGTCGCCCTTTCGCTAGTCGGCGGGGAGGGCTACGTTGACCCAGAGAGTGAGGGAGGCCTCGCTGAAGACCTAGCGAGCAGACGGTGGTACAGCGTAATCAACAACCCGGACGACAGCGATTCTGGCGAGGATGGCGAAGATGACGAATAAATTAAAAATAGATATATAACCGCAAGTAAGATACGGGTAGGATTAATTTACAGAGCTAAGCATATCTTCTCAGGGTAACAGGAACTAGCAGATTGGTTTGAATTTCGGGTAGCGTTCTGTATAATAATTGAAAAATAATTGAAAGATGTTAGGCTAATATGTAGAACAACATGGAAGTTTTGCTTGAGACCAGTTACCTCGTCCCCTTTCTACGTCATGTCACGAGCAAATTTGAAGAAAACCTACAAGACCGATATTTATATACAAAATTTTCTTTGTATTTTATGGCTAACCTTTACAGGATTAACTTTAGAAACCAGAGCAACGACTCGTATGATTCCAAACTCCGCCAAATAACCAAGCCAGTCTAGGGTGCTTTAAAGAAAGCTGCCGTATCTGACTTGTCATTTCAAACACCCCTAGGTAATAAGGAAAAGCACTCAGACCAACCACCCTCAAGGAAATTTTGCGAATTCGGATTGCTGTGTGTGTGACTCGGAACTTCAGGCTCGGGATATCCAGAAAAATCAAAGACCAGCGAAATACCAGCTAAGAGATTTTTTTGTCGTGGGTTTTCTTTTTTATAAGTTTTTATAGGTTTTTTTCCTCCTTGATCATATCATCTGCCGACCAACCTAACCAAGGCTTGGTTGCCGTGGTGGTGATGATGCTGTCGGACCGTGATTGGCAACTATTACCGGGGATAAAGTGGTTTAGGGACTCGAACTAGTAGCGGCTGCGGTAGGAATTGACAAGTAGGAGAAGAGACGGGTAGGAATGGGCTGGTGATTATCGGGTTGACTAGTTTTCCCATGTACTGCGCCATGACCGGTACTGGGGCCGGTGCTGGGGTTCGGGCTGGGGCTGGGGCGGCTGCTGTTGCTGCTGGTACTGCTGTTGCTGTTGCTAGAAGAATGGTAAGTTGAGGTTTTCTATGTATTAGGAAGGGATGAGTTGCGGATCTAGGATATTGACTTTGGGGGTGAAGCTGTGGGATAGGGGGTTGAGACGATATGGGGTACATGGGCTGAAACCTACCTCGCTAGAACCGCCGCAGGACTCGCCGCAGGACTCACCGGCGGTTGCGTTGGCAGTACGTCGCCGTTCCTGTAGTAGGTGATACCTTCGTGGCCCTGACCATTGCCGTTACCAAAGCCCCGAAAGTCACCGTTACCCCATCCATTACGGCTGTCCTCCTTGGCCGGGGTACTCGGCGGAGTTTCCAATTGGACCGACTCATCCGGTTCCCGTGGCTTGGCTCCCTGAGGCTCGGCCTGGGGCTCGGCAGGTTGTGTGGGAATAAGAGCGTCGTGGGTAATCCACGGGAGATTGGTGAAGCTAGAATTTGGATATCTAGCATGGGCGTTGAGGCAAGGAGACCTGGGGTAAGGTGAACGAGAGAGGGGGACATGGGGATAAACAGACGTCCTGTGTTCCATCGGGGTTGGCCTACGACGCGTTGGGGTTCCCGGCCGGTATTCTAGCGACGCAGACCTTGGGCACCGGAAATCCGTCGGTATTATTGACGGCAATCGAACGCCACTGCTGGTGACAGTGTCGGTGCCGTACGGACCGGCGTTATTAAGCGTCGACGAGGACCCAGGCTGAGGATAAGTCGTGCCGGGCGATACCAGCAGTAGACGATGACGCGCAGCTGCCATACGGGTTTTCATCTTGTATTCCTCGCGATCAAGCTGCTCTCTGCTGCTCTCCGCGGTATATGCCATCTCACCCACCTCGCTGGCCACGCGCAGAACTTCCTGTTGGAACTGGGGACGGTCGTTTAGGTATTCTTGTGCGAATCTGGTCATACAGTGACTGACCTCGGAGCCACTCTGCGATATCTTGCTGAGGTCTAAGCGGCACTCGTCGCAACAAGAGGCTCGGTCAGATCCAGTTCTGACCACAGACACGAAATTCGCAGGCATTCCGTGCGGGCATACTTTCTGCCACCTGCCGTCAGGGGGAAGATCCATCAAAGGATCCATCAAAGGCAGAGAGGGTTGGGAACCAGCTGACTAGCTACCTGGGTTCGCCGGTGTTTTCGGGGTTGCCTTTCATAGTCTGTAAGATACAACAGATGACGACGATAATAAATACTATCCAGTAAGCCACCAAAGTAACCATGATAAAGACCAGGAGAGCGTGAGCTGCAACCTCGAGGTAGTCGGTGTGAGGCATAATATGCGAAAGTAGTGAGAGTACTTATGGTTTATGGGAAATGGTTTATGGGAAATGGTTTATGGGAAATGGTTTGTGGGAAATGGTTAATAAAAGCAGTGCAGTAAGAAAGGGAGAAGAAAGCACAAAGTAGAGGAGAGGGGAGTGGATATTTATATTATACACTTTGTCTAGTACGAGGGAAGGAGAGTATCACATTAGCGTGCCTGGCCTATAGAGAAACCTACGCATAGTCACTTCCTAGGAAACTACAACTATACGGTTGGAAAGTATGACTAACAAACACAAACTCTAACCATGCCTTGATACATTAGGTACATATAGAAACATAACGCCTCGAAAGATCATGTGGGCTGCTAATCCTATCTTGACAGACCATTTCTCGTCAGATGAGAATACTAGCACTGATCTTTGTTGAAGCGTTCTCAGAGCTAAGAAACTTAGACAGGTAGATACTAGTGAAAGTTATATTGCGAAATATGGTCTAACTATAGGGACTCACTATAATGTTGTTCGTGCTAATGATATCTCAACCGGGCGGTTTGGGTAGGAATTCGCCTATACGCTACTACATTAGGTACGCTCGAGGCTTCACCCGGACATATACATATTGCCACTTTTGATAAAAAGACGGGTTCCCTATCTACCTATCTATGAGGCCTCGAGAGTGGCAAAACCTCATAGCAATCGAATCCACACTTCACGGTTCATATTCAGTCAAGCCAACCCGATCCCATCGCTCAACAGCCAGCGCCCGACATCCCACAACACAATCCGGACATGTTCGCTCGTACGATTTATCCACCGGCGAACTGACCCTAAAACTTTGATAGCAAGGAAGACGTCCAAGAACGGGGAATACGAGGAGGCCTTGGAAAAGGGGGCATTGAACATTTCGAATTCGTAATTGTCCCTAGAATAGTGAATAGTTACAAAGTACCTAATCAGAAACCAGGCGTAAGGCCTCTCTAAACTCGCAACTACAAAACTATAATTGACTCTTTCTTCAAGGTCAAAATATACTTTATATGATCAATAACATTGCCTATACACAGTATAACTAGGTATAGTCAAATGTATGAAATGTTTCAATGCCCTTAAACTCTTCTATAAGCTTAACCAAGGCTTCACAACTAGTATACCTGTATACCTGCTTACCGAAAATAGTATATGCACATACCTCTCCCACTCTCAATAACAATAAAAAAAAGTTTATACATAGTCCCCATAATCCCACCAACTTAGCACATACCTACCCTATACCAAGTTTTCCCAACCGACGTAACCTAGTCAACCAACAACAACTCAATTACACCGACAGGTGCACATCCCTTTTCTGCCACCCTTCCGCCAGCTGAAACCAAACAAACCGCCAACCAACCTTAGACACTTGCCGCCAAACTTAAGACAGCTGCCCACAGAACTTATGTAAACAGCTTCCCACAAAGGACACCAACCCCGAGCCCATTCCACGCTCAGATCGGTCCGGGTACCGCGGAGCGTAGGGATACCTACATACACGCACGCTTACGGACGCGCACGTACCCTATACAAAAGTTAAGTCCGGGGATAGCAAGAAGCTTATTATCGGCGTTAGGAGATCTGTCCGTAACTTAGGTAGCTATCCGATCTAGAGTTTCGCATTCTACGAATCCTATGTACCATGTACCTACTCTCTCACTATTATGGAACCTTGTAGGTACATCCGAGCTCGTGTTAAGGTTTTGTCTGCCTGTCCATGACTTTGGATTAGGAACGTGATGAGGCGGATCTGTGCATACATACGTCGCATCCTAAATTCGACGGACAGTGAATTAGTTTTGTATGTATCAAGTACATAAAATACGCTCTAGCAAAATACACACAGATCACCAAAAAAACCTAGGAATAATACTAGGTACCTATGTATATCATAATGTACATAGCGAATAAGTGAGTGAGATGTCAGGGCCATCAGCCGACCCGATAAATTCGAATTGCAGCACCGTACTATACCGTACTGTGCGTATGTACACTCTATGCTATGAGTACGTTAAGTAACGGATATCATCTCTAACCGCTAACGAGGTCGCGCAGTAAAATTCCCGCATCCCGAATAAAAGACGAAAGAAAAAAGAAAACTGAAAAAACGACGAAGCTGACGCGGGATGCCCCATGAGTCAGCGTCTCGAAGCTGTCGGGAATATGCATATCTCTTGTGGTACACGATGCGTGGTCACGACCGAACACTCCATCGGAAATACCAAATCGGGTTCCTTGTTAGCGAATGTGGGGGCAAAAGGGCAAAAGGACGTTGCCATTTTCGAATAGAGAAAGCCCCTCTTCTGCCCCTCATCCGTAATTCCCCTTGGGCCTTGGCTGAAAGCTGCCCTGGTCTGGCTTCGGAGTACGTATGCCCCCTAGATGCGCCCCCCGCAGATTTCAGCTTCCGTGGCTTGAGCTCTGCAACCGTTGCGTGTCGGACCAACTCGCGTGTCCGTCTTCTGATCGTACAAGATGCTGGAAAAAGCAAGAAATACAAGCCACCACATCCTGCGCGATACCGAACCCGATCTTCATCAAGTGCGACCATGACGTAGTTGCAGATTCAAACACATAATTATTCAAAATCCGAAAGCGATAAAGCCTATTCACTTCACCACTTATTGCTTTTCCTTGCCTTTGGACTTCGCCTCGTCGTTGTCGGTGTAAAGCTTGTGCTGGTCGATGTACTGAATAACAGTTGCTGGAATCAAATATTGTACACTCATACTGTAGCATCTCATTAGTTGACCTGCTTCATGATGGTTTCGGGTTTCAAGAAATATGGAACCAAGGGTATAGGGTATACTCACTCCCTCTTAAGGAAGAGCCTAATCTTAGTACTGCTCACGTTGTTCTGTATCATCTGCGTGAGAACGTGAATGTTATCTTCCCACTGCTTCAGGTTGCCGAGCGCCTCATCAATGTCCGTCCCGCTCCTCTCGACGATCATGGCGCCGTAGTTACCCAAGATGTGGGCAAGATCCTTTTCGGCCCATACGCCGGGAGTAGACATGGTGCCGATGAGATCTGCGCCCGCAAGCAGCATGATCTTGGCCGGCTTTCGAGATTTACCATCCTCGGATAAAACACCGCCTAGATTGTGGTTGATTTCGTGTTCGAAGTGCTGTAACAATTCGAGTCAGCAACTGTTCACAAGCGATATCGGGGATCGGACCGAGTGGCAACGATTGTTTCATTAGACCCTTACGAATGAATTCATGTGTTGTGGGACATGCCAATACAAGAAATTAGAAGGTCCAGTATATACTCACATCTAGCACCTTGGCAGTCGGCGTGTATTCGGGCTGAATAGCCTCCCACGGATCGACCATCAGCCAACTTGATGTCTCTTCTGCTGCTAATTCACACATGCGCACTCTGTTAAATGACCCCGAATGTTAGTACATCAATTGCCCCAGTAGAATAAGCTATAAGATTGGGAACGGTGCTCAGGTGTGTCAAAATGGAGTTATTATTTGCGTACCTGTGGTGCGCCTCTGCCAGGCCAGCCTTTTTATATGCGTCGGATACGGGGCTGAGGTAGCCTCCTACAACCTCGTACTGGGTATTTATGCGAGCGTAGTCGTTGGCCATCTCGAACATGCGAAGATGAAGGTAGGTGATGGGAGAGAAACTACCGCAAGCGACGAGCACCAACGGAGTACGGTCGGGTGTTCTCTGCTGTCGCAAGAGCCGGTGGGATGGGAATCTGTAGTTTTCCAGCGTCATAGTTGATGCTGCCTGCGGCGCTGGCCCCGCGGCGGCGTTGTCCGTCATTGTCGATAAGTATTACGGAATGATTCGTACTCCAAAACTTGATTATTGTTTTCTTCGGAATATCGCAAGGATGGTACGAACGTAGAATCGATGCAGAGATCGAGTGGGTTTCTAATTAAATATGAAGAATTAAAAACGAAGGTCTTCGTGTATGGTAGATGAGATGTATGGTTTATGTAGGTAGGTATGTAGGCAGGTATGTAGTTGGTAAAGCTGGTCCGGTTGGGAACGGGAGTTGTTGATCAAAGGAAGTCTAGGTGGGCCTTGCCTAGGATAAGAGGTAGGTTAGGTACTCTTGTGACTTATGTGACTTTATGTGACTACTGCTTCTTATTAAGTTGCGACTTGGAGGGTCCTTGCCTTACTTAGCCACCTAGTTCAGTGCCAGTCGCGGCCGTGGTCGGCCGCTGCCCGGCATAACTGTTGGACTAAAAAAGCCTGTATTTGTAAGTGCCCGTATTAATTTTATGTAGCCGGTACATTCTATTGATATGTGACTTCCAATTGCTTCTAGTAGGATAATTAAACCTTTGTTAATTTCCCCACGTGAGAAACTGCTTCAACTTTTAACTAAACAGAACATACATAGTCCGACCAAAGGCACTTTTTTTCATATACCTTTCTGCTACCTAAGAACTCTATTATTTTAATTCTAAACTACTGCCTAGGAATGAACCAGGCAGCATCAGTAACAGTTTGTAATAAAAGGCTATCATTATGATCGAGGAACAGTCTCAATTTTGGTCGAGATCCGCTCGCTTAACCAGCCCGCTTTAGTATCTGCCTCATTGCCTGGGAGGTTGTCTCAGCCCCGGTTGAGTCTGACACAGTGTATTTTGCGGGGTGAGCCTTTATGAAGTTGCCAATATTCTTGGTCTGTCACGCAATGCATATTACGTACGTACATTTAAGGCCTCCTAACTAAGACTATTCTGCTTGTTATCTTATATAATAGACAACCATCTCGGCTTGTTAATTATGAAAAGCATCTTATGAATAAACTTAATCTACTGTTCTAGAATTATCTCTGACTTCCTTAGCTAGATATACACAAGGTCGATTATTGATTCTCAATATAGCCTTATGTCAGTTACAAAGTGGCTTATACATGTCTTTGTGTTGCCGCGGATCTATCTGACAAGACCCCTACTCCATTTGTTACCATTCTACACTGAAACAAGCCATTGCCTTGTCAGACTCATAACTAAACTTGTCTTACATCCAATTCATATTCACATCAACCACAAATGCAATAGAAATAGATAAATTATTGCATGGTCCAGCAGTAGCAGATAAGTTCAGATGAAATCATCAAGCTTTAGATATCTTCTTTCTATTGCAACAACGATTGATCATCTATATCCCTGTGATCCTCGGCCTTGAAACACCGCCAATGTTCAATGTTCTTTCGTTGCAGTATGACATGTACTCTGCACAGTGACCTCAATGCTAATGCATGTCTTTGCGTGCCTAAGAAGCCATTTCGGTAGAACGGAGCATCATCTCATTAGGAAGTGACTTATAGCTGTGGTATCTACTGTCTTCCCGTGATGAGGCACGACCCAGTTTGTATCTGAACTTTCCAACCATCAGCGATGAGCGTCTTAATAACGTTAATGCGCAATGGCGACCTCCCATCTGAAGAGTGTTTACCAATGCCAGTAACGACGGTAAGCCCATTCATCTTCGCTTTCCGCACTCGCTCCTCACCGAGGTTTCGCCACCATCTCGATACTCGATCCAGGGCAATCTCGACGCCATCCTGCACCGTGACGCCGTGGAGATCGATCTTGTCTTCTGTGCTCTGTTGATCGACATGGCGATTCGCCTCGACACTAGTAGCTTGCCGGTAGCTCGTGTATTGTTGCTGGGAACGTTCAGCGTAGTACGCGCCGGCTTGTCTAAATAGAGGGTCAGATCTGCCCTTCTTGAAGGCTGACGCAGCTGACGATAATGAGTGGTTTCTTGACTCGGCAATTGTCTTCGAGACAGCTGCGGCAGCTTGAAGATTCCCTGGACGGGTTGAAGCCCGCATGGGCAGATCAACTGTTGGCGAACGGGTAGCTATAGGAGATCTTGGTGATTGCCTCGAATTCGACGCTTTCGTAGGTTCAGGCATATCAATTTCCTCGGAGCCTGATGCTACCACACTGTATGGTACATCGTATTTCAAATATACCGGCTTCTCAAAGTGATCCGCCAATATACGGATAATGCTTATAGCATCGCTCTGCGTTGAGCAGACCTCGAATGTGGCTTTGACGTACTCATAAGGTACCCAGGGAAATCTACCCATCTCCTGCTGGACGTCAGACAATAAATGGGGATCTGATGATGATATACCCATAACAATATAATTGTCCAGAATTTTGACTACAGTAGCTCCAAGGGAGGCGTTATGGTGTTGGTAGATGCTTGTTACCTCTGAAGATGGTAGATTAAGCTTGTCAGATATGAGTGCAATATGCTCCGCTGTAGATATCAGTTAGATACGAGCTCGATGAACTAGTTATCGTCTTTAAGTATTCGGCTTCTCACCACTCTGTACAGTATCGCCGTCGCTTGCTTCCTGAAATGTATTTTCCGAATCGGCATGTTTGGGTGACGTCACCTTAGCCACTTTCTTCTTCTTTCTGCCTTTCTTCTTCCTCCTATTCGGAATGTTGTCATCATCAGATACATAAAAGCCATCGACCCCTTTAGGACGTTGACCGGTCTGCTCAAGCCATTGCAGGTTGAGGAGTTCGTCAATAGCGAGGCTCGCATTACCCTTCGACTTCTGCAGAGACAACTTCACATCGATGGGCTTAAGGGAGACGAACATCTGAATGAGCTGCTCTTCCTTCTCACTGTCCGTAAGGTCGTCAAATATGTCTACATGGAGAAACCCGGGGTTCTCAAGGGTGGACGTTTTCGACGACCCCGAGGATACAAGACTTGGGGGTATGGAGCTCTCTGTTGTGACAGTGAAGCCGTCAACACTCTTCATGTCGCTACTAGTTGCGCCAGCGGCCTCCGCGTCATCATCCTGGTTTGAGGGATTGATATCTACAATATCATCGACACCCAGACCGCTCGGATTGAAGCCAGTAGCTTCTTCTGCTTCCACATCCTTAGAAATTGTCAGTAGGACTTGTCGCGCAGCAGCAAATTCCTTAGGATCTTCCAAGTTATAATCACTGGAGATGGACAGAATAGTAGTCTCATCCAAGAGAGACCGGAGCTCGTCCTTGGTTTATCCGTTAGCCATGTTGAAACCAGGTGTAGATGCTAGATGACGAGGAGATACTATTGGTAAAGCTGTATAATCGTAAATAGTATTCTGGCGCATCATAGATATTATGATATTATGATTTTTGAGTTATTTGACTCGGTCTTTGTAACTCAGCGCGGACCACCTAGACCAGACACGGCACAAAGACGCATTTGTATTTTTACAAATGCGCAAAGCCTGATACTAGGAATAGGAAAAACACTTACCAGTAACTTCTTACTGTGATCGCTCATAATAAATACTAGAACGCAATATGTCCTTATCGTCAAAATGAATATGTACCCAAGAGATCTGAAGTCAGGCTACAGATACATAATGTTCCTATAGCGGGAAAAACTGGGAGAGACCGGAACTATACAACCAAAAGAATTGAGCCCGTCGTTGATGCATTATAAAGCGTTGTAAAGTAAAGGAGATACGTTGGCGGTTGACTTATGCGTTGGCCGTTGTGAATGACTCTCGCGTTTGCAATGCACAAGTTAAGACGGGAAACGTGAATCACACGCTCGTCTTTTATTGGTTGCGCCGAATTTCCGTCGGGAAGATTTGTTAAGTAGGTACATGAGGTGTATGTTACCACGGAAATGTAGCGGGTTACGGGTGGCAGTGGCAGTGGCAGATTAGCGATTAGGTGGTAACTGCCCAAATGACCTGCTGATTCCCGGCCCGGTGCTAAGGTTAGCCGTCTGGTGCAACCTCGATGCCGTCACTAGCGCATTCCCGCATGTTGTACATATGTACATGTAGATTGATAGTGTGTGTAACATTTGCATGTAATTTATACCGGCCCTTTTGACCTTATTTCTATTTCGAGAGAAGATTGTAATCTAGAATCGTATATCATAAAAGGTTTCTATTCCCCCAGCCTGATTTATTCTACCACCACTCCAAACGCCATATTCTACTTCCTTTGCCCGCATATACATACAATATTGTATAAGTAAACATGTAGTAAAACACGTCGAAATCCCTTTGTCGGGGAGCAAGACAACTACCCAAGCGTCTCAAAACTCGCGACTCTCACCAATACTACACGTATCAAAGACCCCCGTCTCCGCCAACCCCTTCCGCTTCAACGCCTCCTTCAGCAACTGCGGGGGCTCCAGCACCGGCTCAGCCGTCAGCACCCAAGTGCCCCAATGGACCGCCATCGCTCGCTTGCACTTGGTATCGGTGAAGATCTCCACGGCGTCGTATGGGTTGGCGTGCACGCCCGAGAACAGATGTCGCGGGTGGTACGCGCCGATGGGGATGAGGCCGAGGTCGAACGAGCCGAATTTCGAGCCGATCTCTCGGAACTGGGGACACACGGGTAGGTGTTGGTACTCTGGGCCGTAGTCATCTGCGCCTTCGGGTACTTTGGGTACAGCGCGGTAGCCGGTATCGCCGCCGAACCAGACGGATTTGGCTGGTTCGCCTGAGGTAACGGCCCATGATGCCCATAGCGTGCTGTTTTGATCCAGGATGCCTCTGCCGGAGGCGTGTTGGCAGGGAAGACAGAATATCTTCGCACTAATTGGCCCTGGCAGGTCTGAACTACTCGCGCTCTTCGTCTCCGCCTCGCCCTTACCAGATTGCGGCGTTAATGTTATTTCTGCCTCTTGCCACCAATCTAACTCCGTCACGTTATTGAATCCGCCCTCCTTGAACCATTTCTCCAACCCTAGCCCGACGAAGAAGTGCGCATTAGGATGATGTTGCTGGATCTCTTTGGCGGACGGGTATGATAAGTGGTCGTAGTGGCTATGGCTAATAACAACGGCGTCGACGAAAGGCAAATCGGCGATGCTACATGGTGGCTCGGTATACCTCTTAAACCTAGAAAGGTTGACAGGTGTGCAGCAGTCTTCGAAGACAGGGTCAAATAGCACGCGTAGCCCTGACGGGTACTCTACGTAGTAGCAAGAGTGGCCCAGCCAAGTGGCGCGGAGCTTTGAAGATGACGTGCGCGTTGGTAGAAATTCTGGTTTTATCACTTGAACAAGTTTATCCTCAGTGCTCGGCTTCGGCCAATTTAATGTACCAGTAAGCGCTTTTCTATATACTCCTAAAGTTAGCCAAGTCAAAGACTACGGTAATGATATAATCGCCTGGAAACGCACACTGTCATCTCCAGTATTTGTAGTTGGCCGGGGAAAGAGAACGAAGGATGCGGGTTCCGGAATTTCACAGTCTCGCCATGGCGATTTTTAACATGGTGAGCTTTGGAGTCGAATTCTCGCGCTTCAGTTGGTTGCGGCGGGCGCAACGTGACGGTACTATAATACGTTGCCATTGAGAAGGCGACAGCAGCTCCTCCTGTCGAGGCCATCTTGGGGAATCGTGTCGGGGATATCGCAGGTCCTCTTCTAAAGAGAACTCGGGAAAAGAAAATCATGGGATGGCGAAAATGGTAGGGGAAAGACCAAGAGGTCAGACGCGCTAGATATCTATATGGGATTTAAAAATTGTAGTCATGTAACTTCTCACTCAGCATCGCCTTTCATATGAAAATTAGATCTCTTCAGCTCGACCCGGAGTTAATGTAAGGTTGGATTTAACCCTTAACGCAGAGTGGCGCATCTCCGGCGCGTCACCTATTTAGGCATATCGTGTCAGCTAACGTACGTGTTTAAGCTACCTAGACTATCCTAGATGACCTCCATATGAAGAAAGTTTCGGACTAGCGGTCCAATTTTGAATCCGATAAATCCTACTAGTAAGGACGGCCGTATCGGAGTATTTCAAGCTGAACATCTAGTCAGGCGAATCCGAAATTCGCCGTCGAAAGGTGCTACAGTCCACCCCGCAGGCTATAACTGGGGTTTTCTTAGACTTTATGTAGCTAGGTATGTAGGGGTTTAGCCCGTCGTGGCATGCTTCTATCGGGATAAGTCTGTTATTCCGCGTTTTGTAAGTGACTTGATGCGAATGCGAATCAAGCAAAACTTAAGAACTGATAGTTAGAGGCTACCGGCATAGAGTATAGTTCGTCATAGCTAGTTATTATTAGTTACTTTAGTAGTTATCTATAAACCAGAGAGCCTACGGTTGGGTTTACTTAATAAGATATCGCTTCACGGTTCTAGGAAGTAGCCTGATAGTATATGCAAAATACAGCCAACGAGTTAGAGATCATGTCTTAATAAAATTAACTCCCAACATGCACAATGTGAACGGCCATAATTATGTCTAGGACAAACTGCCACAAGCACTGACATATCAATTCTTCTAGACCAACACCTACAAAATCACATATACTTCATTCCAATTACCGGCGTTACTACAAAAACCCATCCATCCATCCACCCATTCTAAGTCCCCTCCCCAGTCTCTTCACTCTTGCTATCCTCGCCATCATCCTCATCCTCACCCTCACCCTCTTCATCCCCTTCCACCTCCTCCTCAGGCGGCACCCAAACCAACACCCCCTCCTTATCACTCTTCATGCCCTCCGTCGGGATGATCTTCAACACCTTCTGGAAGTACTTATCTCTAACCACAAGCGTCGGCCGTATCCACGCGCCCCTAACGAGCGGGAGCAACCTATAAGTCACGGACCTGCGCGCGACGGGTAGCACGTTTAGCGTCGTGGTCTTAGCGCCCGAGAACGCGAACTCGTCGCTCGGCTCCATCACCAGCCCGAACGTCAGGAAATGCGACGACGGGTTCTCGATCGTGATGTCTAGGAAGAGTAGTTGAAGTGGGGGGTTGGAAGAGGAGGAAGAGGAGGTGGTGGATGGGTTAGGTGGTGAGTAGTAAGATACGCTAGCTAGGACGCGCGGTTCGGAGACTGTGACGAAGAATCGCGGAAGTGGTAGGACTGTAGTGTTCACTGTGTCTTTTGGGGACGTGAGCCGGCGCCACTTGACGATGAAAGCAAGATCCGCCGTTGCCGGTGACCGGTCATCTAGGTCAAATTTCTGGGCGATGAGCTCAAACTGTGCTTCCTCGATCGTTTTGGGACTAATAACCGCTCCGTCTGTCACGGGCGGTTGGCCCTTGGACGCCTTGCAGCTTACATTCCCTTGTGTAGAGAGAATGTTGACGTCCAGATCTAGTATAGCTAGATCTTCATGTGCAAATGAAGCGTACCGGGTGGCGAGAGACCATTTCTGTACCAGTCCTCTAGGCCGGCGGACGACTTCGTCTCCCTCAGATGGGTCTTGGATGTCTTCGGGGTTGAAGTAGCTTGGCCACTCGGAATGTAGCCGAGGAGATAGATCATAACTTGCTTCGAAGGGGTTAACAATATTGACTTGGTATGTTGCTTGTTGGATGATCGGTGTCCCCGGATCCGACACAAGATGATACCGTGCTCTCACTATCAATTCAAGCACTATGGGTCCATCAACCGGGTCAATGGTAATCTTAGCTTTTGAAGACTGAGAATTCGGTATCGTCCCAACTGAGATTCCGTCAAGCCTCGATTCTTCCACACCAGCATTACTAGTCTTTTCTGCGCCATCTTCAATCTGCACTGCGTAGCCAGGGACATCTTGCCCATATAAGGCTATATCCAATTTAGTATTGGCATCCGCATCTTCTTCGTTAAGTATCTCCAACTCAAGCGGGATATGTTCGCTTGCATAATATTGCTCGAGCATATTGACAAGTCTAACCTCCATTTTTGGAGGCCTTGGGAGGACTTTGATTTTGTGCGGATTCGTCCGTGTGACCTTCTTCCTCGCAGATGTTTGCGAATGCCACAGGCCAACCTGGTTGGTTTCTCGGAGCCTAATCATATATCTGAGGGTGAAAGCTTCCGGTGCTACTGAAACCTGTACCGAAGACGCTCTGGCGTCACCTGGTTCTCGTAATGGGACGTCCATTTCAAAAACTCGTGTTTGGCCCGGTAATAACGTTAAATCGTCTGTTCCCTCCAGTAGAACTGTAGGGGTTGTCTCGGCGTTCGATTCAGAATCATCATCAGAATCGTCATCATCACTGCTCTCCGTCTCGACTAAAGCCACTTTCGACACTCGTGGCTTTGAAGATGAAGGTGCCTGATTATCACTAGCTTTGTGCCTCAAGTATATTGTATGTAAGCTGCCGTCGAATTCAATTCGAATCCTCTCCAACACCACCGGTGCAGCATCTGGGAAGGAGTTGGACGTAATTGAAAGTTGGGTTGGGCAACTTTGCCCAGCCTTCCCCTCATCATTTTTGAAAATAAATGAAGCATGTAGGAATGATGTTACATGCTCGTCGCCGATTTCTATAACAGGATGGTTCTCTGTAGATACACCATCCAAAGACTTCGTTATATCGTAATGCCAACCAGGTCGCCTAGAGAAACCTATAATAGACGTTAACTTCTAACCTGCTAGTTTTTGTAGTCAGTGCTGCTTACCCTTGTTTAAGAGTTCCCAGTCAATAGCAACAATGAGGTTCTTGTGGCCGACTTCTACCGCTGCACCCCTTAAAGTCCAACTGAAAGCTTCCATGATATCCCACCAGCCTTCTGTACGGTAAGACATGTCTCTCCACAGAGGCGTCAGGATTTTTAAGATTTTTCTCCACTCCTGCATCCTCTCTAATTCTTTACAGCACTCGAGCGCCAGCTCCGCCGAGGTCCGAATTTGATGTCGCTTCTGGAACTCGTTGTGTGCTAACATTAGGTGATTGAAGATCAGCTGGTTATGATTCACACCCGTTCCTTCTAAAGGAAACTCCTCGTGAGGTTCCGGGCACATGTATGTGTCATAGCTGTAGGTCTTGTTCGACTGCGACGGCGAAGACGCATCTGGCGGCTTGCGGTCCTCTTCGGGTATAGACCACGCCAACTTTCGTCTATAGGAAAGGTGTCGTGCAGCTATCCGGTACCAGTAACCCTGATGGTGAAGAAGCTCCCATGGGTGCAAACGCTCTGCTGACAGACTCTTTTCGGGAGGGCGGTAGGGTAGGGTACTGGACGGTTCCAACTCAGGGAACTGGACTCTTTCAATCAGATTGGCCATAACCGTATTCCATCTCGCTTGCCAGGCTTTCCACCCATAGTTTTGCGTCCCTCGACCCCTTCGATCGACCAAATCAAGTATTCTATCGTGATGCGCTTGCCACCTCCTAACGGCGGCAGTACTTTGTCCGGCCCATAGTAAACATTTCAAGACTCGGATAGCTATTATATCAGCTAGGAGCCGAGCATCGTTGAACCTAGGATTCCATCCAGGAATGGTTTCGAGAACATCGACACCGAGAAGAGTATCGTATGCTTGCTCGTAGGAACGCAAAGCAACATCTATTTCTTGACGGAACTCGGCGAAGACGGCAGTTTTAAAATCATAACGCACGTTCCAACCCTGAAGTGACAATGTATGAGAAGTACCGGTAGTAGGAGGAATAGTCGGCTGCGGCGCAATTCCCCTTCCTCTCTTTTTGCGAGAATGTCTACCGAGATCGCGATAGTACTCGATCGCTTGGTCAAATACCGCAGTCAGTACGTTGTCTACTGCGTTCTCTAGCTCTACTACAGTACGCTGGGTAGGCAGGACAAAAAGCGAGGTTTTTGGGTCCAACCCTGTGCTCCTCCTAATATTATCTAGTCTTTCTTGAAACTGGCCTATGGAGCTTGGCGACTGGTCGCTAAGGATAACCGCAACGAAGCGACATTTGTAACCAGATTGCCCAATGACATTCTTGACAGCATTTATGTCTGCCTTAAGCTGGTTGTCGTGTAGGGTCGCAAGGGTAGGGTCCGAGGTCAAGCTATAAAAAGCCAAATAAACACTGGGTACGAGGTCCTGGTGTTTCTTAAGCCACTGTGTATCTATTAAGCCGTCTGGGTATAGGCTAGAACCCGGACTGAGGGGTGAAAATGGAGAATGTAGAACAAGTGGTGATAAAGGCGCCTCGAAATTATCAGGAAGGCGTGCACGGCGAGGCGGCAGCAGGAATTCCTAAGAGTCGAAGTCAGATTCGTCTCTTATAGCCACCCAACATGCCGTAGGGATAACTCTATGGGGCATGGACATACCCTCCCAACAGTGTCAATCTTGAACTTGTATTTCCTCGACGCGTCTCGAGAGTTCCATGGTAGGTCAGTGGCGTCCTTCTCTTGGATGCAGCGAAGGATGATCTTTGACTCCCGGCTCTCTATAGGGGGTAGCTCTGATCGAACGAGAATGCCCTGTTCCCTTAAGCTGGGATCGGCTAGAGAAGACTTCGTAGTAGAAGAAGCATTGCCTAGGCCAGAGACGACGAGGAATGGGACATTATGGTCCAGGCTACCCGCTGGAAAGTCGTCCATTGGTCTAGTAGGAGAGGGGCTCGAAAGACATTGGTGTTCGCTTATACGAACGGATCAGGAAATGTCATACCAGAGTACGATCGGTTCAATGTGGGTTTCTAGTCGACTCAGATCATTATTCTATGGGTATGTAATTAGTTCCAGGGACTCTTAAGTCGAGTTGAATAGGTAGTAGTACTCAACGAGGCACTCGACACACGGATCACGGTTATATTCAGGCGATTTAAATGTGTAGATAAATATCGTGGCCCATTGTCGCATATAATAGAGGTTGTGATTATTGTTCCAGCAGATATCGAATTCAAAGCTTCAGTGACCTCACACAGGTAAAGGTACCATACAATATTACATTAAGGTGGGGCCATTTAACTAGTCGGACCCTGGTGGCTTACTTGTGCCGATTTCCTTACCTAACACCGTCACCAACCAATTCCTACCGAGCTGGCCTTGTAAGGTTTGATCATCTTTTCCATTTTTGATTGCATGGCGCTACAGCGCGGTAGGTACATTACATATGTACACAATATGTATCTACCTAGGTACTTCGTACATGTCAGGGAACACCGTTATCTTGATTGGTGAACCCATGCGCGCACTGCGGGCAGCAGCCTTGTCCCAGCTCTAGTCGTGTCGTTACGAAACTTGAAGTCTTCTTCCGCAGTTCTTTTACAATTTCCCGCAGTCGCAACACATTTCGACATTATATTGTTTAAGGAGCTCGACTACAACGCCTAACGATTCACCTACACCTTCATAATACTCCTAGGACCTGTTTAATTCAACCATCTCAGCATCCCATTTTCGATTAGCCTCTACCTATCTCGCCATTCCGATTCTGCGACCGACAGACACGCTATTCCACCCTTTGTGCCAAAAATATTGTCAAAGGAGGCAAGCTTATACGCTATTACTATCATTGATAGCTCGACGTTGCCATTATTTTATTTATTAAGGCTACCAAAGCTGGCGGCGCTGGGCCATTGCGGGAACATACTCAGCTCTTGCACATTGTAGCCGACTACAAAGGTTTACGATCGCAATGACTTCCCAACAAGTTCTCTTCTCTGAGACCATTGCGGCAATGAAGAAGGCGCGAAAGCGCAAGGCATATGGTAAGCTCCTTCGTAGAAATGCTGCGTGTTAGTCGCTGACGTACTGGTCTGGTAGAATCCGATTCCGATTCTGAAATACCCTACCATGGTAATCGGGGGCACAAATTAATGAAGAGGGCTAGGTTTGTCCACGAGGGACAGTTAGCACCGCCCTCGGGGCCTGAAGTATATAAGGAGGTCAGTGTGCCATACTTTCTGAGATGATTCGCGGTGGATAGTATCTAACCGAAGTTGACTTCATAGATCGTTAACCACGCTGGTTACCAAAGAGCGATCATTAGTCGAAACCCAGTTCTTATTGACGACGAAGGTTACGAAATCGATAGCGATGATGATCAAGAATATATCCAAGACGTTGCCGACGCAGCAGCCGAGTTCAATCCGTACGCCAACGTGCGACTCGAAAGTTGGTTACCACACCCAACCCAATCCATCCACAGTTGCTAATAATCGGTCTTTTTTGCAGACATCCTCGCGCCTCTCACCTCTGTTACCGATCTTCCTACACACCCTACCTTATCGCGACCTTATAGTACAAAAACGCTCACAGACTTAACGAAGCAAGCCTGCAATATCATGCACAAGGAGAACGCCGCGCTTTGGAGGGTTAAACACCTACAGACAAAGCTAGTGGGAGATCATATCTGGGCCCCCTGCGACATAATGCTTGGTCCTAACGATATCGAACTGTATCGTGACGACTATATGGATTCGAATAGTCAACCACAAGGGTCTGTCAAGTCGGACACCAACGTGCTCCCGCTAGAAGACACACGAACGAAGGCCAACAAAAATACTGCGGCCACGGGGAATGAAGACGTTTCTGCAGGATCCGCCGAGGCAATAGCTAACGGGACAAAGCCTGATGATGATACTACGATGATTGACGCTGAACCACCAAAAGACGCTGATACAAATGCACCCGAGCCAACAACAATGCAGACTGCCACGGTCAATGCTGCTGAAGGGCAGAAACAAAATATAGAGGGTAACGCTTTAGGGTTAGCACTAAACGAGCTAGAAGAAAAGGAGACGGGAGTGAACGCAACCGACACTCAGCAAGACACAGTGGCTGGTATCAGTATCAACGGGGCCAAGGAAACGCACTCTACAGAATCTACAAGTGGATTAGCGGCAGATAGCGCTGCGTCGGCCGGACAAGGACAAGTTGATAAGGCAGTCCATCATAGTCAGGTTGGCGAGGAAGCTGAAAATGAGGGTAGCCGGGCAGTGTCGGTGATGTCGGTATTCACGGAGGAAACACCTATCCACCCCCTCTTCTTACATCCTCGATCAGCTCGGCCCGATAGAGATCTCGGAATTCCAGAGGCAGAAGCAGAGGATATGCGACGACTATTGCAACTATATGTGCAGAAGCAGGAAGAAGTATGTCGCGGAGCAAAGCGATTATACGAAGGACTCCTTCGGGCAGACAGGATGCGGAAGACAGTCTTACAGTGGTCTAAGTATGAGGCCCATGTTGGACCAAACCGTGATATGTCGGATGGAGAGGACTGGTATGATAAAGAGGAATGGGGCTTAGAAGATGACTTAAAGAAAGGTGCCGACGAAGAAGAAGAGGATACGGCACAGCCAACCAAAAAGACAAGGACTCGGAGATGATGATAGCTAAAGGAAGGGAGAGGAGGCTTGTGTGATGAACTTTTTAGTTATCGGATACCCGGCGAGAGATGGTTGGTAGTAGTCCAATCCATAAATGGAATGAGAAAAAGGTCTCAACATAACCTTTTCTTACCTACTAGACTCCGTACCTTATGGCGTCAGCATATTCTCATCAAACGGGAATTACGTCGATTATAATGTGAAGCCTGAAAGTAGAAAGCAATGATCTCGGGATTGCTATAAGGTAGATAGTAGTATAAATTATACTTGTATGATGTCCTGAGCTCGGTCGTCAGTTGTTGGTTGATGGAAGTAAATGGTACTACTTAATATAGTTAACTAAAGTTACAATGTAAAGTCGAGGAAGGCCACAATGCAAAAGGCCCAATGATGCACGTGCGTTCCGATCGGATCGATTAAGTTATCGGGAGCCGGGGTTTGACCATACCTACCTAGTATTACCCTGGGCTGCCTGGCGAAGCTGTGGGCAAAGCGGGATGAAAATACATTGTTTTACAAGACCAGCAAAAAAAGAAAAGACTTGGCTCCAATAATTCTAATTCCACAAAACCTAGTTTCCCCAGGCCACGTTCTTTGCTTTCGTAAACATATTAAAGGTTTCCCAACCCCAACGTCATCACCACTTACACAATATCATAATACCATGATATTATAACATCATAAGTATTATTTTATTATTTTGTTTTATACATCAACTGCAGCTAGTACGAGCTTCAGCTATGGCGCCCCTAGATCCTGCTGTGACCAAGCTGGTCGACCTGAACCAGAAGAGCCTATACCGTATGTTGAAGTAAAGCAATGTCGCAAACGATACATATGCTAACAAGATTAGTTTCTGCCCTTGCGATCGCTTTTAACCCGCTATTCTGGAAGTAAGTCGCAGATTTGAAACATCCACCCCATTAGACGCCTAGCTATAGAGCTTTGGAGGGTGGATATGCTAACAGGAACTATAGCATCGTAGCTCGACGAGGTCAGTCCATCCCGGTTTCAACGCTACCTCCTTACTTCACCTAGGTCATATCTCTTTCCATTGTACTATGACTAACATTTAAATAGAGTACCATAACAAGACACTCACCAAGCTTTTTGGCGGACATTCGCAAGCTGCCTGCTATGGGTTAGCTCTCACGATCTTCTCCCTTGGTCTGGTGCGCGACTTCTTATACGAGCGTGCCCTGCGCCATCAACCTTCCTACCCTTTACTCGAGCTGGATGAGGTGAAATATCTGGCATATGGACTGCTTGCTGTCGGAAATATCCTGGTTATATCCTCGACCTGGGCGTTGGGTATTACGGGCACGTTCTTGGGAGATTATTTCGGAATATTGATGGATGACATCATCACGGGCTTCCCCTTCAACATCACAGATGCACCCATGTATAACGGCTCGACCTGCAGCTTCCTCGGCACAGCGCTATTATACGGCAAGCCAGCTGGTATTCTACTGACGGCTTGGGTTTTTGTTGTCTACCAGATCGCTTTAAAATACGAAAACCCGTTCACGGCTGGAATATATGCGAAGAGGGAAAAAGAGCGTGCTGCGGCGGGGACAGGCAGCAAGAAGTCGCAATGATTTGTGACTGGTTTGACTGGCTGGGTAAGCACTCGGCATGCATAGGCCATACCGACATTTACCGAGACTCGCCCGAAACCGGAAACCGGAAACCGGCTACAAGGTGGGCCAACGGGTGGCTGAATACCTATGAACCGGGATGGTCCCTATGATGCTAAGGTACGTATGAGCGTGGGAAATTGGCACGGCGGTGTATTCAGCGACACACCTAGAGGCGTTTGCATGGCGGATATGGCGTTGGAAAAGGGAGCACAAGCTAGATGGGTTGAGGAGAAATAGGATGATCAATTGCGAAGAGACTGTATTAAGCGAGAGCAATCTAGAAGAGCTCTATAATAACTAGTTAAGTCGAAGTTGCTTGCATGTCTTAGATGCTTCTCGGCTAGCTAATGCCGTGATATGGCTTGTGATATCCGATTTTACTCAACCACAAGCCTTTTTTCTACGAATTTCTTCCAATCCAAGCATTGGGACTCAATACCAAGAACCAACTAGCTCTCATCTTTTCCTTTCCAGCCTCCACACATGTATGTGCACATGCTAGAAAGTTCAAATAAAGGCGAACTGGGGAACAAAGGTACAGTTAAATATAACGGTAGTCACTCCGGGAGAAAGGAGTGAATACTATACCAGATATTAAATCCGTATCATTTTTTAACATCTGCCGAAGAGGAACCACATATGTATGTAATCCGGCACGGTCTCGGGTTGAAGGGTGCCGGGATCAGACCGTGATACGGAAGAAATCGTGATGAGTTTATATCCATGATGCACCCTAAAAGTGACCAACCAACTACAATACTACTACAAGACGCAAGTACAAGGCATAAAGATGTGAGTATGAGCCCACAGCTTCCATACTTTTCCTTAGTTTGTAACTGCTGTAACTCTTACGCTAAATTCCGGGGTATAGGTGGAGAACACCCCCCTGGCGTGCATTCCTAGTTCAAACAGATCAAATACATAGAAGCAACGAATCGTCGACAAATCAGTTCGTACAATTAAGTACTTAACCTCTGGAGCCGGTTGCCACCTTACAACCTTTTTTAGGTTTCCTTCTTCCGATACCGTTAACACCCGTCCCATAGTAAAGATCTACGTATATTATCATCATCCTCTTCTGCTAGACTCACAAACGATACACATTTAATTCTTTGTGTTCTTTCGACAAGAAACCTTTCTTGCCAAAATAAAAAGAAATAACAAAAAACGTGGTTATGGACTAAGGAGAAAAAGGAATAGAAAACAAGGTGCTTGCGAGAAAGTTCTTGTGGTCCCCTTTTTTTTACCGGGGCCCCTAGCGAGCGTGGTTCGGTTCGACCATCATGAACCAGACGTCGCGGACGGACGAGCCGTACGAGGGCGAAGGGCTCAACCAGAGCCCGAACGCTTTCTCGAACGACCTCGTCACCAACCAAGACCTCAACGGCATAGCGAATGCCAGAGAGCACAGAGGCGACAACTCGAGGAGTATGGACGACTCTGGACAGCCCGTGGCCGATCGCGTGCCGCCTGCCGTCGAGGAGGACCCTGATGGTAGCGCATCGAATCTGACCATTGCGCGTCGTACGATTGGTCAGATACCTGGGAGGGCAACCAACCAGGACAACGACGGCGGTTCGATTGCATCGCAGAAGCAGTCTTTTTGGCAGCGCGTGTGTCAAACCGTCGTCACCTTTGGCAAGTTTGTCGGACCTGGTTTTCTGGTCGCTGTAGCGTATAGTATGTCGTCGATCTTTTGTTCATCCTCGATTGTACACTTATATATATGAGGGACCCATTTGCTAACTTGGACCAATCCCTAGTCGACCCTGGAAACTATTCCACCGACATCAGTGCAGGCGCTGAAAATCAATTTCGTCTGCTTTTTATTATTTTGATGAGCAATCTTTTCGCCATCTTCTTGCAATGCCTCTCTATCAAGCTGGGAACCGTCACGGGACTCAACCTGGCTGAAGCTTGCCGGGCTTTCTTACCTAGATGGCTTAATTATTTTTTGTATTTTTTGGCCGAAGCTGCCATTATCGCAACTGACATTGCAGAGGTAAGACTATACTATTCAGGATATATTATAGGTTGGCTAATCAATGATAGGTTATTGGTACCGCTATTGGGTTGAACCTGCTCATACCCAAGCTACCCCTCGTTGCCGGTTGCGCTCTATCCATCTTAGACGTAATGGTTATTCTCTTCTTCTATAGACCTAATGATTCTATTAGAGGACTTCGGATGTTCGAATGTTTTGTGATGTTCCTCGTCCTGGCTGTTGTTGTCTGCTTCTGCATTCAGCTCTCGCTTATAGAGGATACATCCGTTGGTGAAGTCTTCCTAGGCTACGTACCGAACGATTCCATAACACAGTCTTCGGGTTTGTTCCAGGCCTGTGGTATTCTAGGTGCTACTGTATGTGCATCTTCTTATAGCCTCTTATTACGCTTCTACGTACCCCTCCCTACCCTGTACAACACTATACCGACCTCTTACAATATTCCTACCCAGCTTAACTATGCTCTTAAGTGAGATCACTAACAAGGTTGTAGGTAATGCCCCACTCGTTATACCTGGGCTCCGGCATAGTACAGAGTCGCCTCAAAGACTATGACACTAAGCGTGGTCTACTTCCTCCACCATCTGCTGCTAACAGCACCATGGACGATAAGATAGGAGAGAAGACATACTACGTTCCTAGTCTTTCAGCCATTAAACACTCGCTAAAATACTCATATGCTGAAGTGTCCCTTTCCCTCTTCACGTTCGCCCTCTTCGTGAATAGCGCTATTCTTATCGTGGCAGGAGCCAGTCTTTATCAAAACCCTGATGCTCTGGAGGCTGACATTTTCGGAATTCATGATCTGCTCGTGCAAAGTATCAGCCCGGGTGCAGGGACGATCTTTGCTCTCGCGCTACTGTTCTCTGGTATCTCGGCGGGTATTGTGTGCACAATCTCTGGGCAAATGATATGCGAGGGTGCGCTGAACTGGAAGATGAAGCCATGGCTTCGACGTCTTGTTACGCGATCCATCTCCATCACGCCGAGTATTATTATCGCCGGCGCCGCAGGGCGGGAGAAACTCAATGCCGCTCTTAATGGGAGTCAAGTCGCGCTGAGCGTCGTCTTGCCGTTCGTCAGCGCGCCGCTTATCTGGTTCACTTGCTTCAACAAGTACATGACAGCTCAGCCGGGACATGCCAGATACAAGACTGAAGGAAAAGACACGTTCATCATCAACGGCAATACCCTTAATATCAGTGCTAGCGAGGGTGAGCTCGGTCCTGCGAATGGAGGTAGCCCGACCATGATGGCTAATCCCTGGTATATCTCCGTGCTCGCCGGCATCATCTGGCTTATAATGGTGGCCATGAACGTGGCGAACCTTGTGTTGCTCGGTCTCGGCGACGCATAGTCAATGAATATCCTATCAGCCCGATACCATTCTGTGGACAGAAATGCCAAATTCCAGTCAAGATCAATGGTTTGCGCATTTGAGGAATCAATTCGGGGTCGAATCTCTCTTGGTATTGTTCTCGGTATAAATCTCTGTGGCGGTGACTTGCATATTCTGCATGTTACATGCACATCCAGCTACCGCTCTCGACGTGAGCGTTTGCGGTAATCTGTTTCTTTCGACTTAACTTATATTTTGGAATGCTGTTTTAGAAGATATTAAGAAGTATGACTTGACGCAGTCAGACGGAGATATTGAATTGAAGTTGCACGTGTCATGGAATAAGTAATTTCCCAATTCAGCGAAAGAGTGTTTGAGTTGTTCCCGATTATCCCGGACCATCCTCCATTTCCGGCTCGGACCGTTGCCCGAGTCTAATTTTAGACTCGTATGTTTCATGTTATGCACACACATATAACCTAATCTTGATACCAGCCCTACGGATCTCAAAAGTACCTAACCCAACACATGTAAGCACTTTAGGATTTAACGTTAGTTACCCGAATAGTATTTGCATAGTATACCGACTGCAGTATACCTCCAAAAAAGTCAAATGATCAATTATATTCACGACGGGCATAAACAAATACAACTCTAATTATAAAAGGGTAGCATAGCTATTCTAGAAGTCACCTAGCAGATAGCGCATGTAACGTAGCCCTATGGTCTGATTAGCAAATGTAAAGCAAGGCCACCGGACGTTCAGGATTCCAAATGAGGGGATGAAAATATATGTGTATTCAATTCGGAAGTTGGAGTGCTTTGAGTCGACGGAGCGAGATTGACTACCTACTACTGCAGCCGGCTTACAGTGGTATATATATATATATATATATATATATATATATATATATATCAGGGCTAGCGATGTTTTATTTTATATATAAATAATGCAAGCTTAAAGAGAAGGGGGGACACGCCAATCCTTCGCATAGGGCGGTGCCGCGGAGCCCCCCATGTACTTTGGTAGTATATGTACCTCAGGTATGTAGAGTAAGATGTCGAGCCAAACTACTTGCCCGAAAACGCGGGATGGGGACTAGCATCATTGGCATCATTGGCGAAGGACGACTTGGACGGGAGTAGTAAGCCGGGCTTTCCTAGCTGGCGGCGTGTTTTTGCGAAAGGAACAGAAACAAAACAAAACACCACGGTAGCGGCGCCAGTATTTAGGCAGCAACTTTGGAATCGAAATCTGTGGTTCGAGTATGTAGAGGCGGAGGCGTCTTAGCGCCCTTAGACGTCGCACCGGTCAGCAGAGGAGTCCCGAGCGTGTCTGGGAGTAGCACCACGGTAAGTATTGGATGGATAGTTAGAGTTGAACGCTTGGGCTTAGCTAGTTGAAATGCTGGAGCGCTACACGAGATGGGAGCGCTCTGTTGTGTGTTCGATTAGGGGTATTTAAGTATCGTGGTTGCCCTCGTGAGGAGGATGATCCTATTGTTGTTGATTAGCTTGTTATTAAGCTTGCTATTCTAGCGGTTAGCAGAATATACATACGACTGTCTTGAACTGCTATCATGAAGCAGAGCATTCTGTTCGCCATGGCCGTCGGCCTCGTGGCGGCTCTTCCTCGGCCGGATTTTGGTGTAAGTGAAGCTTTTTGGTTGTATTATACTAGACAATTGTCTGTCTATTCTTACGGATAATAACCGTCCTCCAAGCTACTCACCCCCTAAATACCCCCAGCACATACACCACCATCATAAACACCCACTCGTCTACATAAACTCCACCACTAACCCCCTCCCAGCCCATCGAGCTCGAAAACGTGACCCTCTCCGAATTCGAGGCCAACGACCTCGTCGCCCGGGGCAAGGGCCCGTGGAACGGCCCGGTCATGGACATCAGCTTCCCGGACCCGACGCTACTCATCGACGGCAACATATGGCGGGCGTACGCGACTTCAAGCGACAACAACGGACACATACCGATGGCCGTCTCCAACGACGGCAACAAGTGGACCTGGACCAAGATGGACGCCATGCCCGACGTCGGGTCTTGGATCGACCCCAAGAACAAGGGTATCTGGGCCCCGAGCGTGTTTAAGAACGACAATGGGAAGTACGTTATGTACTGTAAGTGATACTATTTTCCTTTGACGTAATATATAAGGAGGGGGATCTAGCAACTGACGGATATTCCAGTCTCCGGCCAACGAAAAGGCGGCCGCCGCTGCGCAGGCGTCGCAACGGCGGACTCCGCGCAGGGCCCGTTCAAAGTGACTTCGCAGCCGCTGATCTGCGACGACGCGGGCGGCGGGATCATCGACGCGGCGCAGTTCGACGACGGCAAGTACCGGTGGATCATCTGGAAGGTCGACGGCAACGCGCTAGGCGGCCGGACGACGTGTACCGGCGGTCCCAAGACCGACGACTACAAGCCCACGCCCATCCGCATCCAGAAGGTGTCGCGCGACGGCTTGACGCTCCAAGGTAATCCCAAGACGATTCTTAATCACGCTGGTGATAAGGATGATGGGCTTGTGGAAGGCCCGGTTATGTATAAGCGTAAGCCGGGGTCTTATGTAAGTGTCGTCCCCCTTTTTTCAACCGAATAAAAATTTTATCTTCCCCCTATTATCCCCCTTACCTATGAGTCTAGGTACTGACTAACATCGCACAACATAGGTCCTGTTCTTCAGCACGCACTGCTACAGTAGCGACAGCTACGACATCCAATATGCGTGGGCCACCAAACCGGACGGAGACTTCGCACACCGCAAGACGCTCGCTCGCTCCGGCCCTAACCAGCCTATCTACGGCCCGGGCCACATGGATATCGCTCCGGACGGAAAGACGATCGCGTTCCACGGCCGCGATAAGCCGGGTAACCCCGAGGACACCAAGCGCCGCATGTACATCGGCAAGATCAAATTCCCCGAGGGCGACTACAGCGAGGGTATTAAGGTGTTTAATTACCAGGGTTAAAGTGGTGATAGGTACTGTTTCGTCGTATATATCAAGTTTAGGTTTGTATATAATCGCCCGTGATATCCTGTATATACTCGCTGGTTTACTTACTCCATATATTACTCCTTTAACTATATTTTATCTAACAATTCAGCCGCACTAATGCAGTGGTTGAACTTTAGATATCCTAGTATCTGGTATCTGGTATTGGTGTTCGATTATTATCGCCGCTATTGGCCATTTGGCCATCCCCAGCTGGCATTGCATAGGTAGGTTTGCTGGTCGACATATACATGATGTGGTGCTATGTATGTATGTGTTGGCTAAGATAGAACGAAACTCACCATACGTAACCTGTTGCGCAGGGAACATACCGCGCGTGCAGCAAACCATGCATCAAGCATATCCACAAAACTTCAGTATTGAAGTTTTAACACGAATCGGCTCTCTTCTTCTTGATCTCTTTTTTATCACTAGTTTTTCGTCGGATGCAAGCCACATATAGACCTTACCCAGGTACATATGCAGGCGACGTCAACTTGCTCGGTGCGGGAGGGAGCCGATGAGACTACGAAGTTGGTTTAGATCGGTTTCTTCATATATCCCCCCCGGGCCAATAGAGAGATATCACAACTTAGATATCGAGCACCATTAAGCCCCGTATGAATTGTACATGTAGAAATTTTACTTTTACCTAACCGACACGTATCTAGAGGCTACCTCGAATCAGCTATGATTTTGATTTGCTAACATGTTGCTATACCTAGCTGAACATTTTAGGCATGAGTTAAGGATGTCCACACCATATAGAGATGCACACCCCCGAAGGATACTCTAGGCCACCTCTACTAACCCTTATTCTTATACACCTAATAATATTTAAGTTATTTTAGAAAGGCTCAGCTCTCATTTTAACGAAAGCGACGACGATTTCCGGTGGCCATGGGAAACATAAGGTCCAAGCCCGTACCCGAGGTTACTTCGGACGGCAAGCTAGGAACGGACATCTTAGCTCACAAGCGCCTCTCTATTGCCCAGCGGGAAAGCACTCGCAAAAGACTGGCTCGCATCGAATGTCTTCCAGCTCCAATCGGCGGAAATAGGTCTCAAGCAGTTGCTTTCCAGTATCCATCCGACCATACATTTGACTACGATGAGGCAATCCTGGGCGTGAACCCTAGAAAGGTCACTCTAGGTGCTCATGTTCAGAACGGTGGAGCTTTCAGCGGTGCGTATATCAGCATTCCTAAGCGCTACCTGAGCGTTACTAACGTCATTAAGGAGTTGTGAGAGTGGTATCACTGTTCCTAGGACGTACAGGTGAATGGTGGCAAACCACTGGATCCGGTGTCATTATCGATGATTATCATGTCATGACCGTGGGCCACAATATCTGGTCTCTGGAAGGCGGGCTTGCCTTGTGCATTTCTATTCATCGAGATGAACGTGCCGGTCCTGAACACTTATACAAGCGCTACGTTGATGCTGGAGCCGTCCATTACCAGTGGGCTCAAGCATGTTTCGAGGCGAAAGAGTCTACATTCATGAGGAAGTCTTCATGGGAGAATGATCTCGCTGTTCTTCGCGTCTCGAAACGCTTCCATGAAGGGTGCCAGCGGATGGAGTACCGGCAGACGCCAATTGGTACTACTGATGTCGGGATATACGGTTTCCCTGGGGATATGCCTATTGTTGAGGGAGTATGGCAAGCCAGCCTTTGCATCAGCCCAAGTAAGGTCACATACGCGCCTAGTACCAGCACCATGCTCGACCATGATGGAGATACAGAAGGAGGTATGTGCAAACAATCCTATTAATGGTTAATGAGAGATATTAACCAACCCCCTCCTCTCCTCCTTCCCCCCTCTGGGTCATTTCTTATAGATTGACACTTATGTCGTCTTTGGGGCAATGGCTTACATTTTCAACTCCTTGTAGGTAACTCCGGCGGCCCTGTCGTTGATTGTTTTGGAAATGTCATTGCTTTACATCGAGGATTCGATAAAGTGGATAGGGCTCGTATCAATAAAGCAGTTGCCCTCCTAGTTAATGGTAACGATCCCGAAAAGCTCATGCAAACTATTGATGTCTTTTCTGGGGAAAAATCAATCGAAGACTTCCAGGTCAGAGAGGTCAATAAATTCACCATTGGAAAGTGCACCGCGGCTTATTTTGGCTGGGATTGAATATGAAAGCTAAGGTGACAATAAGGTAGCTTTTCCTTTGTCGTTTCTGTTTGGGAATGGTAGGATAGGGTGAGCAATCACGGAGTAAAAAGAACGGGAGTTCAAGTTCAAGGAAATGGTTAGGCAGGTAGAACTTTAGGCAAGTCAGGCATGACATTATGAGGTAAACATGGGAACCATATTGACATTACTTAGTATTAGTTTCGATTCTAGCCTCGACATTTTCGTTAACAAAATTAATTTATAACCTAAAAGTTTCGATCCGTATAAGTAGTCATATTTCGGTTATAATTACATATGTAGATTAAAACAATTTTCAGCCTCCTAAATGTACCTACTTCCTACTTGACCTTGTAATGTACGCAACATCGCACTGAAGTTGGGTACCCATTGACTTTAGGCGCTAACGTCATCGATTGAGCGTCCCGATACGTCGATATAATCTTAGCGACACGGACGTTGCAGGGGTAGATGTTGGGTGATGATGTGTATGGTTTTATCATGTAACCACCTACATAAGGGTCATTGGATTAAATTTATTGGAACCGGTGTCGGTTCTTTAAGGTCCTGGTCTAATAACTACTAGCATGCCGAAGTCTCCGTATCTCCAAGCCTATTAAAGTGCTTGTTTCGGTCTTCAAATAACAACGCGCTCTGGAGCTACGAACCGTAGCCGTCGTTAGGAACCCGTATAAGAGATGCTCATGTAATAACCTTCAAGCTAACTGCATATATATAGAACATTACATGAAAGTTGGTTTATTAATTAGACTATATATTACCCTATCTCATCCCATTCCATCTCACCTTACCTGCTCTACTAACTAGCCTAATCTTCAAACCCAAGTCCTAGTAGGTACCATCAAGTTATAATCAATCTCTCATCTAACTCCCGAGAGTTCTAATTCACTATATGAAAACAGACCGTCTATTCATAAAAGTATCTCATATATAATGATAACGTAAAAAAACAATGACAGAAAGATCAGTCTTCTCGTCTTAAACCTGCACTATTATGTCCGTTATCATCACCATGAGCCATTATTCTACTGTGTCTCTAGGACTGCACGTAAGATATGTAAAAGGAACCATCGCGCCGGCCCACCACATAAGTCATAGCATCTATCTATACTTCGTACTTCATAGCGATGCTGTATGACGGGTATGCAAACTCCCAATTTCTGCTCTAGAAACCATGCCGAATTCACATTCTGTCTAGGATATCAATACCGACTCTCTAGGTATCTACCAGCTCATCATCCCCGTACTCCGATCAAACCCACCCCGCAGCTGCTTATCCGGCTTGACAACCTTACCCTGCAGAATCGTATACCGGACCAAGTTCTCGCAATCCTCAGGACGCACCCGCGCAAGCCAAATACACTGGCCAGCTCCTACATCCGGCTCCCCCGCTTCCTCCCCATCCTCCGCAGGCACCGGCTTCACAACCTTGACCTGCGGCTCCTGGCCCGGGGGTAACTTGCCTCGATCTACCTTATCGAGACCAAAAGCGTCCGGGCGGCGGTAAATCAGGACGTTGGCCGAGTACTTGTGGCCGCCGACATGGTTGACGAAGTAAATGCCCACACCTCCCGGTCTCTCGTCGTCGAGATCGCGCTCCAGACCCAGAGGGCGCAAGTGTCGCTCAAGCTCCTTCTTGATGAGCGGTGCGCTCTGACCACAACGGGCATCGCGTGTGCGGTGCGAGCATAAGAGGACGACGGCGCGGTGGGGACAGGGGCGCGCGTGCATGTCGCCGACGGCGGAGCGGGATGACGGGATGGTTTTAGGGAGGGATAGCGGGTCCAGGGGGTCTGAGGTTGTGGGCGCGCGCGAGATGTACTTGTTGATGAGTGAGGGGACGGCGGGGGGCGTCACATTGTCGATGATGGTGAAGGCGGGGAGAACCAAGATGGATGTGGGTTGCGAGTAGTCGGCTTGGTGCGACGGTGTGTGCATGTTAGAGGCGGAGAGCATGAGACGCTAGGTTACACGTTAGTATACTCATATACACTCCAATTCCCAATATAAAAGTGACAGGAGAAACCAAGGAATCGAGAAAAAAACCTACCCCATTACCAGGTTTACTAGCATGACCAAACGCCTCCATCACACTGCCCTTCTCATCCTCAACATCCCTCTTCCAATCCGACTTGCTAGTCGCGACAATGACATGCGTGCTCCAGGGCTTAATATTGCCGTACAGCGGGTGCGACTCCTCGACCTTGAAGTGCCGCGGGTACTTAACAGTGCAGCTATCGCAGTCGTGCTTACACGCCTCGCCGTCGACATCCGGCCGCGTCTGCGGGAACAGCTCCGACGCGCGCGCGCTCCCGGTCAATGCCCGCCGGGCTCCTCCGATCAGCGAGAGCAGACCTGCCGCCATCTTCTTCTTCTCCTCCTCCCCGAAGTTCTTCCCCTTTCCCTTTGGGTAGTTGGGTCGGCAATTAACCGCAGAGAAAAAAAAGATGCAAGGTTCGCAACGGAGAATAAGTCTAAGAAGCGACGGAAGCTATGGTGGGGCAGGGGTACTGGGTGAGATGCCAATGTATCTTATCTGATCCGGAGATTGGGTTAGTGCTGCAAGCTGAGTGGGGGCTGTTTGGGGAATTGGGTTTGGTTTGGGGGGCTTGTGCCTGGGAAGGAGAAAGCAAGGGGGTACACCGTACGGTATATATTCCGTTGCTTGTGGCGTAAGACGTAAGATAAACAGGTAGAAAAGTCGCAACACTTACATAACCAACCAACTCTGCTGTGACCAGAATTCTCCCTCCTAGTCACTATGCGACGAGTTTCCTCGCCTCTCACAAACACCACGTGAATACAAGCCGTCCCGTCCGTCTGTGTAGGTATTTGTCGTTGCGCTGACAAACTCCGCCAAATGTCGCACGCACGATATACGACAATCAAATCCGAGCGCGATATCTCCGAGGTCAAACAAGCGAGATCTAACCTCTAGGTACTTCACTTCACCCAGTCTACCTCTTCTAAACGTAGAAGGTTAAAAAAAATCGAAAAACAAGAAGAAGAAGAAGAATACGACTTTGGGATGACAAACTCGAAATAAAAAGATTTCTATTCGAGACCCTGTCGGGGCTCCCTATTATACCTGCCCTCGGTCGGGGGTATCCAACTCGGACAAAAGAGGGCACGTCCTTCGGAGTAAGTCTTCGGCCTCCGAGCTGCCGCGTGTTCGTTCATCACCGCCATGCCACAGGTACATACACTATGACTATAATGTATATGCTACCTGTAGGTACTAGAGGTACCTATATACTGTATGGGTTCCTACATATGCCTGTCACGTCATTTTGCATCAAGTCCAACATTAAGATAAAAACAAAACAAAATAATAACTGCCACGGCATCTCACCGGTACGGCATTACTGCTGCTTGCTGTATTAACTATCTCCCCTTAAATCCGCCCTAAATACCGGTAAGGCTGTACAGTACTTCGTACCGCTAGGTGGGTAGCTGCCAAGTATGTATGTACCGCCCACCCATCCACCAAATCGACTTAGTAATAACACGCCAAGTACGGAATATTCGTAACGATGTTACATGCGTACGTACCTAACCTATGTAACACACACCTCCAATAAGATATCAGATCGACCCCATGGCTCTAACTGGCTCCATCCCCTGCCAAGAATTCCCTCGATTGGTCATACTTAGGTCTTACTTACTCATCTCATCCACCGTAACAGATGAGTAGTACAAAGTCCTCAACCGAGTTTCGATTGGCTAGAAAATGACTCTGTAGCCAAGTCGGACTTCAGGACAAACTTTTAGCTTTTATACTCGTAGTTATACATATAATAGTCTGTAGGTAGGTATATAAATGTCGAACCCCAAGTCTAGACATTACCACAACCCTGTAGTGCTTTTAACCATAACTCATACCTCGCATGTAACTCGCAACCAAGCATCACGCCTATAAACACTCTCAAAGTTTAAGGTCGCATTGTCATTACATCCTCTTCCTTTTATTCTTCTCGTGATCGAATAGTAGCCGTATAGACAACAACGACAGTCTTCCTGTCCACCAACGTGCTGTACGTTCGGGTATACATTACTCCTGTTTCTCTTTCTCACACACACAAGAACTCTTAGTTGTTCAAAAATCAAAAACCCACCATATTACAGTGCTCAGCTCCTTCCTCTCCTCCTTTCTAACCCAGGCTTATCCGTCCAGACCTTTCATTTTAGTCCAGTCCGAGCCAAACTATCTTAGGTACACAAACAAGAACCAAACCCTGTGAACTAAAAAGAAAAAAATCCCAAGTCTCTCTCAAGTCCCCTCGCTCCCCTCCCCATCCGAAGAAAACCCGCTCTTCCTCCGTCTTAGCTGCCCCCTCTGCTTCATTGCCGCCCTGATCTTATTGCTCGCCTCGTTGAACCCCTCGTTAGTATCTAGCGCCGTGAACCCCGACACCGGGAACCCGCCAGACCCGAAGCCGCCTCCGCTGCTGCTGCTGCGGCTTCTAGACCGGGACGGCGGGCGCGTCGCGAACATACCGATGGCGCCGATATTGCTGAAGGACTCGTTTCTTGGGATAGCCTGGCTCGATTTTGTAGTATTCTTCCTCGAAAGGTGCGGCGAGTCCGGCGGCGTCGGCTCCGTCTTGTCCGGAACACTAGCTTCCTTGAGCGAGATCGCACCGTCCGCGCGCGGGTCTGCGACCAGACGCGTGTGTTCGAAGTCTTCGTACATTTCGGGGCCGAGATCGTTGATGACCTGGACTACTTTCTCAGATAGCTTCGCTCTCCGCTCTCGAAGCTTATGGATGCTGTAGCCAGATGTCGGGCTGATGCACAGAACGAGGGGTCTGAGAGATTTGAATATGTCCATACCGACTTCGCCAAAGCGCAAAGCGGCAAATGTGATAGCCGGGAAGACGATCCAACCGGCAATGAAGACTAACCAGAACGGCACCCACTCCGGTACGTAGCCCCACAAGTGATCTTGGTACACCTTAAACGAGAGCAAGACGGAATATAGGTTGTAGAGCACGGGCGCAAACGCCATGGCCACAAGGAGTTTCCATGTGGCCATGACATCCTTGCCTTGAATCTTAACTGACGAAGCCGCTAACGCTTCTTTGGCCTTTTTATGGCTAATGATCTTAGCTGCGGCAAAGACCGGCGCGAAAAGAACGAGGCCGGGGATCACACCAATGGAAAGGACTAGGAGCTTAATAACCCGGTATAGAAGAGTGACGATAACTATCGGGAGAGTCATCTCAGCATAGGCCACCTGGTGGTCCTTAATGTT